TCAGTTTGAGTTTGAATTTCGGGTTTTTTTACTTTTGTCTTTTCTACTCTTCATTAATACTTTTTTTTTGCTGCTTTTGTTTTGCCATCGAAGTATAAAACTAACGATAAGTTTATAGAAAAGGTTTATTTACACTTGAAATGCTCAACAGTCAATCAGAACGATAGCGGATCGATCGATATCTCGTTCACTCGGATCGTATCGAATTGAGTTGGAATATTTACCCAAAATACTGAAACAAACGTGGAGACAAATTAAAAAAAACTTGAAGTATTTACTTCGCGTTGTTGGCATGAGTTTTGAACATAAATTCAATTTTGCCGTGTAAACAAAGTTAATCGAAACTGAGTTAGTCAGTTGTCGGGGTATTTGAGTATCTAGTGCGGTGTGAGATTGCCTGAGCGTATCGTTTTTAATAATTTTAGCCTTTGTGGTAATGAAAAAAAAATTGTAAATAAAGCATAACAATTGATAGATTTCAAGAAAATACCAACAAGGCAAAAATAGAAGAAAACCAAACAAAGCAAAAAACAAAAGAAATATAAACAAATGTTAATGCGCCGCCATTGTGTCTGTGTGTTTTATTAATAATTCAAGTCAATTAAAATACAAAAAAAAAAGAAACATGAGTCTTTGCAACGAGACGACATCCTAGTGAAAGTGGTTTCTTGATGAAATCAAAGAAAGGAGGAGGAAAAAGAAGAAGAAGAAGTTTTAACAACAATAAATCATTTTAAAGTTTCGCAATGGATTTACCATGGAGACGATGGTGGTATTTTGTAGGTAAATATTTTCGAATCCAAATTGAAAAGAAGACCCTCGAGTCCCAATTTTCAGATCATTGTAAAATAACATTTGAACAAAGAATTGAGACAATTGGTTCTAATAAAAATAGCGAAATTCCAATGAACTTGATCTTCACATAATCGGCTGCATCACATGGAACCAGTTCTCTGAGACAAATATTCTCAAGCAAGCAATGGAAAATACCCATGACATTGTCATTTTTATTATTTATGTTTTCAATATCAGTTATAATTCCTCATTTTTATAATCAGCTTCAATTAAGTGCTGGGAATCTTCACAGGTTTTATTCCAATTAGAAATAACTTCAAGCGATGCATTAGCTTTGAATATGGTAAAAGAAATATGTGTCTCAGTTTAGATTTAGGATGGGGAATTATTTAATTTTTCAACATTTAAATACTGGAACACAGCTATTGTCAGTTTTCCAAATTTTTCATAAATTTTAAAGATCTTCATTCCCCTGCCGTGTCCACATAACCATGACATTTTTCCTCTCTTTGGAGGTAATTTCTAAACATTAAAATTTATTTTGTTTACATTATATTGTTACTTACACACTTTTGGCGCCGATTCAAAATACATCGACGCTATTTATAAAAATATATGACCAGTCATGTTAATGACCACAGCGATGGTCACAACTCAATGGTGGCCTGAAGACTACACGAAATTTTTGAGTCTCAAAATATGTATATAACAACATGATGATTGATTTGCCTCAAAAATTGAGAAATATATTGTAATGGATCATGGTTTTGTTAAATCTAATCGGAATGAGATACGTCATTTATTGGATGTATTTTTCTCTTTAATTTTACCACCCACAAATTTTACTATTTTTTGATTGTTTTGTAAAAAAAAGATTAATTTCTGTGATTTCTTATTTTCTGCAAGATCTGAAACAAAGCTATCATGGGTCAAATTTCTATAAATTTATTGTCCTTTAAAAGTCTCCATGATAGAAGAATACAGGTAGCCGTATCGACACAACTGCTGGCACAATGAAATGTCAAACCAATTTTGAAATTGTAATTTTTGAATGAAAAAATATTGAAATTCCTTAAAATTGTTGAAAAGCGAATATCATAACAACCTCCGATTGGCGGTGTATAAAAAATATATAAACATTTAGCTATTTTTGAAAACACATTTGAATAGTTTTGACATATCAATATATCCAAGCGTTTATGCATCTACCAGTATTCTCTTACCATGAAATAAAACACTTTTTTGAATGGCTTAAGGGTGGGAATACATAAAGCGCTTATTTGGCTGGCTTACGTCATCGGCTGGCTTCTTCGAACAAAGGAGCCTAGGGTCAAAATTGACCTAAGTCAACCAAAAACTCCTTTGTCCCTCTACGAAAAAACCCAGCCGATGACTTAAGCCAGCCAAATAAGCTCTTTATGAATTCCTGCCTTAAGAGCATATACAGTACCAAACAGTACAGTACAAAAATTTTTTTTTTGATTTTGTACAATTAAACTCCGAATAAAATTAAATTTTTGAGTCGTCACCTAATTTTTTCTATATGGGCATAACTTTTTTGGACACCCGCCAATTGGGGATTCCCTGCCTGAACAAATCTCATTTTCTCTTTGCTAATCCAATCACAAAAAAAAAACAATCAGTGCTTTATAAACCTCCTCTAAAATAATTATTATTATTTTATTACAAGTAGCCGAAAAAACACCCTATCCACTATTAGCATAAAAGTACCCATAACATTTTTATGGTAATGAGTGGTGACGGTAAAGTACCCATATCGCTTGAGTTCCTTATTGGTAGTAGATATTCGTGGTGCTTTTTTTTTTTTTGTTGTTTATTTTCCACAACAAAACTGACCTGCCTTTCTAAGCAATCTTTTCAATAATGGCGTGATTAATATCAAAACAATTCACACTTTGCGCAATAGAATTCAGCTATTTTTTTATCGAGTATCATAAACCCGGTATCGGGGAAATTAGTCTTCCTCAGACATTTCTTTATTTCGTTTTTGGTATTCTCAAGCTCATAATTGATCGGTAAAGTGTCGAAATGTGTATGTGTGTGTATGATAGATACATGTGTAGCATTTTGTTAATTTGATTCGCTTGTTAGTACTTTACGGCTATTTATATGAGCCATTTAAAAAGAACAATTAACTTATCTAAAGCAATTCTCCTTTAAATGTCAATAAATATGCTGTCAGCAAATAATTATAAAATTTTACAAATAATTTTAATGAAAAAAAAAATGATGAATGGTTTCCAAAATTCCTTGAAGTATTATCAACTGTTGAGTTAAAGACTGTGGCTGTCAGAAATTGTTGAATATCTCTTGAAAACCTTTTTCGCGCAAATATTGATAAACAAATAAAACTCAGAAATTGCAAATATTTCCATTTCCAAAATTTTAATCGGCAATTTGATTGTTAATTGTTATTAATTATTAAAAACAAGGAAATAAAAAACCTATGATTAATCAAGTTTTTACTCCAAAGAAAGTCTAAAATAAACATTTAAAATAAAAAGTAAAGTCTATCCTTTTAATCAGGCAAAGTTGGCTGTATCCTGAGCCGAATAAGATAAAAATGTGGTCGTGTTTTCTTCTGCCATGATTTAGTCATTTGATTCATTTGACATATTTCCACATTTTACATTTAATTTAAATTTTAAACTAAATCCGCTAAACTGCAAACGAACTATAGGAAGCTACTTTCTTAAGAAAATGTTTATTAATTCAGAATTTTCAAAAATTATTTGCTTTTCCTAGTAACAGAAGAAACGCCAATATTATTACCCCCTATGTCTTTATTACTAAATTTATTACCTTTATAAAAAAACGAAACAAAATAAAAGTCGCGCATGCAATTCTAAATAAAAGTCTGTAAAGTGTATGGACACACAGATGATATCTATCAAACTGCTAATTTGCTAATACTGCTCAATAAATCGTTTAACTAAACAACAGCAAGTTTCCAGACACATTTGCGGAATGCTCGGCTTCTTGGTAATTGATAAATTGTTAATTGTTCAGTTTAAAAGCTATCTATGAACAGAGTGCATTCAAAGATTGCCGCTTTTGGTTAACTTTCGCAATGGGTGTACGTACCACGTGCGCATGTGTGATTAGAAGAGAATTCTTGTCATGTGTGACACTTGACGTCAAATGCCATTATGAAAAATTTGCGGGAAACTGATGTGTGTGAGAAAAATAGAGAGACAGTAATTTGAAGTAAAACTCTTGACTAAAGGAGCTGCTATAGAAAATATTTTACAAACCCCAAGAATAATGTATAGAGATTATAGATTCTTTAAAATATTCAATTCAACTGAAATATGACAAAAGAACATATCTATTTGTCCAACAAAACCTCTCTAATATCTCTGTTTTTAATTGTAAAATGTTCGTATTACATTACACATTTCTGGGAATGCTTCAATTACTCTGTAATAATTGTTCCAGATATATCCATATTCATATTAAATTAATAGCTAATCGAATTAAAAATTAACACAAAAACAAATCAATAATTGACATTTTCTTAGCAATTATTCTTTTATGTGTCACTGGTGAGGTATTCAATCAAAGGTATTTTAAATTTTTTAAGTTTATCTTTCCTTTGCCACACACACACGCAGAGTGAGGGGAAGAGAGAGAGAGAGAGAGTATTTGATAAGTAGTCAAACGCAACTGTATGACTTCGATCGAATGATTGGTACAAGATTATTTCAATTGTCAGTTATTCTGGGATACCCTTAAAATGAAAACCTATATTGCGGAAGCACATACAAATTTTGCAACAACTAAAGCTTGATAACAGCTTGTCTCGTAGCTAGGCTGACAATTTTCAGTAAACCAGCAAACATATCTCGCAAATACGGCCATTCAAATTCTACTCTTTTGTTTTCCTTTCAAAACGCATTTCACCAAGTGTTTGCCCCAGCAACCTGCTAATCACCTGTAAGGGAGGGAATCGAACTCACACATAAATTATGGAACATATCAGTACCTACCCTTGTGCCACTTTATGATACATCATAGCTCCATTATTAATGTAATGCCATCCATCATTTTCGCCATAAACCCCCCAACATTCTGCTGTCGTTCATGTACACGAGCTGATGATAATTCCACCGTCAGATACCATTTGTTCTCAATCAACTTTTGAAATAACTAAATGCGTTTTTCTCTATTCTTTTTTCTTGCAGAAAACAATGGATCCCTAACAAAGCACACACAAAACAATTTTGAAACATTTTTGCAAAATTTCGAAGATTTTGTGGCCTTAAATGGTGTTAGCCGCGATGTGTGTCCCGACGAACCAGAAGCATCACCGTTGGACGATTTTCCGGAGTTGTTTACAGGTAAAAGAACTGACTACAAATTTGTGCCCCTCTGATAATTTCAAACGTTGCCACTTGAGATAGTCAAATATTTAAATTAAAAATCAATCGATGTGTGATTTCCATGCCCACGAATTGCCATTCTAAAGATATGAATTGCGTCAAATACTGCTCAGACAAACTAAAGACATGCCCCTGTTTAAGTCATCAATAATTCTGGTCTCAGCGTAGCAAAAAACAAAAAACTTCTCAAGAGGTTAGAGTTATCGCTGTGTCGATAACGTATCACAACCCTGATTATTTTCAAGTCAATTGGAGTCAAGTGTTGGCAATATTCAGCTCGTCACTGCTTTCAGAAGAACATTTGTATTGCTTTTGGACTTCGATTATATTTGGAAATATTTAAAATGGCGACAACATGGGTCTACTGACAATAAAATAATAACCGTGGGGTGGAAATAAATCACAAGAGGTCCAATATTCTTAGATAAGCATTTGGCAAAGATTTCATTTCTGATAGGGGCTCACTAACTGACAGCTAGTTAAGCTCTCCTAGACTCGTGCAAAAATAAATATTCATATCATTTAATCTTGAATTCAATGTCAATTTATTTACAGAGGAACAATTGCGCCAGGGCTGGGTAGTTTTACATGTCATTGGCGCCATTTATTTCTTTATTTTATTGGCCACTATTTGTAATGATTATTTCCTGCCCACCGTCGAATGCATCTGCGAGGATTTGAATCTTTCCAAGGATGTAGCTGCTGCGACCTTTATGGCCACTGCCACATCCATGCCGGAGTTCTTTACCAATACCATCAGCACGCTGTTGACAAATTCAGATATGGGTTTGGGTACAATTATTGGTTCGCTCATGTTCAACACCCTGGGCGTTGCTAGTGTGGCTGCATTGGCAATCAATAAGGTAAGCCACAAAAGGTTTTGTTTCCAGAAGTTTTACTAATCTCACACACCCTAATTGCTTCTAATTTTATTTACAGCCTGTCCAATTGGATTGGTGGCCCATTGTCCGCGACTGCTTCATCTATGGCCTGAATACAGTTATTCTGATTGTCCTGGCCTGGGGTGGTAACATTACATTTGTTGAGTCCTGTATTATGATGGGCTTCCTTGTCATCTATTATCTGGTCACCTTCAACAACAACAAATTCATGCCCGCCATAAGAGTCTTTGTCGAAGACAAACTGAATTGCTGCATCTCGACAAGATACGGTATGATACTATATGATCACAATATGGCTATTGGTTTCTAATTTTTGGGTTGTCTGGCCGACTTTTTAGATCTCACCGAGCCGCCAGAGAACAGTGCCAAGGCCAAATTGCCTTTGAAAAAGGATCCATTGACTGGTAACGGTTTGTTTGTGGTAAATTTGCCGGAAAATACAAATTCCACATCATCACGTACGCATCTGGCTCACTCCAAAAGCTGTAAGTTATTATTTTCTAAATAAAATATCTAGAGATTTGCAATAGTTAAACCTCTTCTCCTTTACTAGGGGATGGTGAGGAAGCTGCTTTGGAAATGCCATCCAAACTATTTGCTTTGCCTCATGGCGAATCAAAGCTCATGAAATTCTGGTGGGCATTTACATTCCCGATCAAATTCATTCTGAAATGCATTATTCCACATCCGGCCCAGCATCGCAAATTGTATCCCCTATCGTTTATAATGTGCATCATTTGCATTGGAGCCAATGCCTACATGATTGTTTGGACGCTGACGGCCTTCGGTGAGTAAAGAAAGAGAGTTATGCTGCAAGCAGATTTCTAAAAGACTTACTATTTAACAGGTGTTGCCATTGGAGTGCCAACAATTATTATGGGTCTTACGTTTTTGGCGGCCGGTTCAACCACACCTGAAGCTGTCTCCAGTGTAATTTCTCTGCGAAGTGGTTAGTATTGTATAAAGTGCCTTAAATTCTTTCAAAATTGCTAATTGCTAACACCCCTTCTAGGCGAGAGCGGTATTGGAGTATCAAATTCTCTCGGTGCCAATTCTCTGGCCATTCTCTTGTCTCTGGGTGTACCATGGTTCATTAAGAACTGCATCCACTTTGGCGAAGACCAGAACATGATCAATGTTGCTGCCCAGGGCATCGAGTATAGCATATTTATTTTAATGCTCTGCACACTCTCCCTGTTTCTGGGACTCAGCTTTACCGGGTATCGTCTCACCAAACGTTTGGGCGGCATTCTCCTGACCGTCTATGCCGTTTTCATTGTTTTGCAGATCTTAATCGAAATGAATGTATTCTTCCCCAAGAAATGCTAACACCAATGATCCGATCTAAGTATTTTAGTTGTCCTTAGATTTAAATTGATTATAAATTTAATTAAGACTGTTTAGTTTATAAAAAAAAAAAAAAACAAAAACAAAATCGCCTGACAAAAGCGAGCAAAAACGAAACGGAATTTGTCCACATTTCCAAAGAGTGCTAAAACGTAGTTTAAAAATGTTTTCAAACCAAAAATTAGCTGTGTTTTTCGTTAATAATTACCAAGTACAATTTTTTTTTTTTTTTTGAAACACACCTTCCCCCTATTTTCATCATTTTCGATTGTCCCTTAATTTGAAATGGGGGAAAATGGTGCTAATGGGGGATAAGTGAGAAAGTAAAGTATTTATAAACCTTTTATTTTGACTTGTTCCGAGCTATCGAAGTAAGTTTGTATACTCAAGTGTATTTATATTGTTTAATTAAAATATAATAGTAGATTAATTTTCTTATTTAATAACTTATTAGTTTTATACGCTTTCTATTTGTAATAAATCGTATTTAATTGTTATTTAGTCTTTTAGATCGAATAGCGAATAAAACACAACGAAACAAATGATATAAAAATTAAATGAGTGAACATGTTTTTATTTCAGCAAGTAGAACTATTTTCATTTTATGGCAGATCAAATAAAAAGTCTGCCTAAGGAAATTTCAAGTCATATTGGTTGACTTGTGCTTTTACCTAAAACAACAGGAAATTGTCCAATCCAAAACTATTCAGAACCAGTTAATCCCAAATGTTTTTAATAGTTTCAAAACAAATTGAACAACTGCTTGAAAAATTTAAATGCTGCCAAAGATTCATTTCATTCATTTTTGACCAGAGTCTTACTTATTTGGGATTCATCTTACATACTTACAGTGGTGAATTACTGTATTCGAACTTAAAATTGTAGCTAGGGATACAAAATATTCCCGTGGCATAGCCATTAGCGCCAAATCGAACAGGAACAAAAATTAATCAAAATTAACATAAAAACCCCAAAAGTTCTGAGGCTTAAAACTAATTACTACTAAACTTCCAAAGGTTGAATGCTATGAGAACACAAGTTTGAAATAACGGACATTTATTTCTGTACTTAAATGACACATCATCATAAACATCCCTTATTTCGTACAATGTAAACAAAGGATACAGCTGTCATTGAGGGATGTCTTATTTGACATTGCATTTGCAAACAACAAATTCGTCAATTCTTTGGATTTATTAAAGTGTTTGTTGCCATTTTTGGTATTTTTTGGAGCAACCAGACAATAAATCATTGAGACGTTCACTCGCATCCATCGGAGATCCTTTTATCATTGATACACTTTTACACGGAGTCCTATAAAGATGACACCATTTGACGATTTTTCCTATTTAATAAATTTCGTGTTACTTGGGGAGGAACCGGTAAGTTCACCGAAAATATTAACCAAATATCAAAATAGGTTGGTTTATTGAATTCCATCATTCCAGACAATTGAAGATTTCATTTTGTTGGTGGGCACATTTGTGGCTTTTGTTGCCTTCATATTATGGTGCTGCTTTCCCATACAACCGAAGGTAATTTGTTCGAGCGAAATATTGACTTTCCACAGCCATAATACAAGGGTTTCTTTCAGGACTCAAATCATCGCCAATTCTCGTGCAAAACCATTCACTCCATTGACAATACGTCACAGCAAATTCACACCAGCTACAGCAAGACGTCCTCTACAAATTCACTCATGTACAATGATTACGTGGTGAGAAATGGTTCCAGCAGTGGGGCCAACGGTGGAGGTGGACAAACCAGTTATCATTGTTGTACCTAAATCCAAGGGAACCAAGGCAGTTGAAAATGCGGGGGTTTTCGCAAGGGAAACGCTTAGTAGTGCAAGTGCTGTTAACCAATTTATTAGCATGTAAATGTAGAAAAGCTGAGCTACGACTTCCCGTGGAAATTTAACGTAAAAATAATGGCCAAGTCTAGCCAAGTGTATTCCTCCAAAGATGCATTATACCCTAAAGTATTATTTAGACTCATAAATTCCACAAAGGTTGTTCAAAAAACACATTGGACTTTTGTTGATGGCTTTGATTATTTTTTTTATCGTTTTCAAATTTGTACCCACAACAGAGGGAAAGCTTCTAAAGCCTCTACTGATCTCCCAGAACCCGAAGACGAAATGCAATGTAAATATTTATTAAAATTATTTTCTAACCTTATATAATACACACGCTTCAAGTAACCAACCAAACATGCAAAAATGTCCAATTATTTATGAATGAATTTAGAATAAATATATTAGTTTCTTATGTGTATGTATGTATTTAGTTATAAGAGCAAATGCGTTTTACAAACTAAGAACAAGCAATTATATAATTTAAATACAATACAATATTCATTTGATAGACTGATTCATTATTGATATGAAACATTAAAATGCAAGCAGTGAAATGTACAAGAATATTCACAAAAATACAAATAATTTAACATCCCCAAATAACTAAATCTAATTTACAAGTAACAGAATATTTCTTAATCCCTTCGATCTCATCCATTTTTGTTTTAAAGTCAGCTACCAATATTGCGTTACTTATGTATGTAAGTCATATAATAAATATTTTATTAAATACTATGCTAAACTCAAATCCCATAACCTTCGATATGAATATAAATCGAAATAAATGAAAAATATATATTCAAATATTAAAGCAAAATACGGTATTTTTAGTATTATACCCAAAAGAGGTCATGTTCAGATATTGAAACGAATTATCCCTCACAAAATAAATGAGGAGACTAGCTTATCACACCCTTAATTATTAATTTGTATTTTTAAATACTTGCGTGGCAGACTGTACATGAAATGTTTTTGTTAGAAATGCTGTTAATATTTTACTTTGAATGCCACTCATTAGAACCCCTTGGCAAGAAGAAGCAACGAAATATCTAATTTCATTCAATTTTTAAAATGTATTGTTATTAGTTTTTAAGAATGTCTTACCAGCAAATAGAACAACATGTCAGCAATTAAGATGCGCTATGTATGCAGAAATAAGCCAAACCAATGATTTTGTTATCATTTTACTTGGAATGCCAAATTTTTGGCAAACCTTAATAACACAATGAAGAGTACACATTATCAATCAAGGTTGGCATACAATGTTCCCACATAAAGAAATCAAGCATGTGTCTTAGTAATATAAATCGTTATTCTATAATTTAAATGCCTTATTATTTAAATGCCTTAGTAGGGATTGTGAACCCTTGTCACATCCTATTGGTTCCGCGGTATCTATCCATAAAATATCGGTAAAATGGAACAAAAAAATTAAACGCTTAAATGAAGACTAATAAGACTTTTTCTATTGTTAATTCCTACCCTACAATTCCAAACGACCATATATTTATTATCAGGATAACAAATATTATCTATGTGACCAAATTGGTGTGTTGCTTAATTGTTTTCTTGTTCATCCTCCTCTTTTGTAAAAAATGTGGGGTTTTCGCATAATTTATCTCTAACGTTTAAAACTGAAATCATTTACTGTTTATGCCAAGCTCTAGCAAGAAAATTTTTATAAATAAAATGAATTTGACTTATATACAATATTATTGCCAACGTACTATATAATACAAATATGCTCAATGTAAACACATTTTATGACCCAAGGTTATTTTTATTTTTAGAAGTTTAACACATATATAAATCTTCCAATTTCCATAACAATTTGATATATAAAGCTAAAGACAAAGAACAAATTATACATTTCTATTAATATAAATCAAGGTCCACGTTAACAATAGCTGCCATTAAAATATTCTATAAAAATAAGATTAGAAAATATGTGTCATATATTAAAATATATATTAAAAATGTTTTTATAAAACACTTTATTGAAATTGTCGAATCCTTTGATTTCACGACAAATAAATGATGCGTTTTCGTAAAACGTCGACTTTAAATGTCCGTGTAAAGAAGCTTCTATTCCCTGATATATGAAGCCAACAAAAGTAACGCATGTACCTTGAGTTGATAACACAAACCGGGGTACAAAGAGTTTTGTCGGCGTCAACATTGCAAGCATTGCGACACATTCCAGCAACGGCGGTACTTACTAAACACCGTCTTCAGACTTTGGTTGCTGTTTGACCAAATAAAAAAGTCGCGTCGAAAAACTTTGTAAGATTAAAACGTTTTTAAGATTAAATTATTTAATAATAAACGCTGAAAAATGTAATTGCAATAAATGAAAACAAAATTATAAATATCAATTGTTTTGAAATAAGAAAAAAATTGTGTTGAAAGCAAATATACGGCTGGGAAAAAGGCTTGCTTTCTGTGTTCATTCTTTTTCCTCATTCATTCTCTCAAGCCGAAAAATACTAAACGAAAAGAACGCAAATCATCCACGGTGGAGAAAATTCGGAATAGAAAAGCAAGTAATTCAATATTGCCTGTCCGCAAAGTTCGTTTCCAAAAATAAAAATTACTCAAATATATGAAAAATCCATGAAATAAAAAATAACACAATAAAGAAAAAATCACGGAAATTTGTTAAAGCGGACAAAATCGGGGTAAATTGTGTGTGTGTGCGGTTGTGCTTTGTCGTCGTCGTTGCCGTCGCTCTCTTTCTCTGCTGGTGTGTGTTTGCCAGTGTGTCTCCCCCTCCAATAGCGACAAACGTCGCGCCCAGAAAATGTGAATATAACCAAATAAATTTTAATTTAAAAAATCAAAATAGTGTGTACATAATTCAAAAAAATAATATATTTTTTAAAAGTAAAAATAATTTTCAAAAAATACAGATAATCTGTGGAAAGAGAATCTGAGAGAAGAAAGGATAGTGTTTTTGTGCAAAAAAATGTGTTTGCTGCCGGTAGCGCAGTCGTTTACGTCGCTGCCGACCTCGGCACTGAGCCGTCGACGTCTGCTGAAGGCTTAGTTAGTTGACTGCAAATATTTAGCATACACACTACAAGTCATATTGGAGTCTAATATCTTCATTATCGTCGTCATCATCATTATCGTTGTCGTCATTTTGGATGGCGTTGGGCTCTCCTCTCTTTTTGTTCATGGCAACGCCAACGACCGACATGTTGTTGTAGGAGATGAGATGCTGATGTTTTTGTAGCAGAAGAGTCGTCAATTGACAAGTCAAAGTCAGTAATTGTCGTCTGTTTGGCATTTCCCAACCTGAAAAATAGCAACATTTTCGTTCACCACCTCTCGCACTGGTGGGAGAAGATAAGAGAACATACACGGAACCAAGAGTACAAAACAATACAAACAAATCAAAATTCCATTTCCTACAATTTGATCTGACTGCTCCTTGCATTTTTCTTCGAAAACGAACTGTTCCCACACACACACACACACACCAACACATTATACACAACAAAAAGAACAATAACGTCATTATTGTCGCTGTTGGATTCCTTTTTGCCTCTCTATTCTCAATTTTCGAAGAGTTTGTTTGGTTTCTTTATTTTTATCTGTTTTGTGTGTGTTTTTCTCTCTCGATTTTTTGTGTTCTTTTGTCCCTCTGTCCCCTTCCAAAAACAGCAACAACAACAAAAACAGTACCGTGTGAACAGACAAAAGAACTCAAATAACAACGTTTCGTTTCTTTTTTTCTGTTTCTGTTTAGTTTTGTGTTATTGCCATCGCCACAAACAACAATAACAACACCACCAACACCACGACACAACAATAGCAACAAAAACAAAATACATTTAATAAATAATTTTGTTAAATTGGAATAACTTTAATTGAAAATGCTACGAATTAATATCAGCAAGACACCCGGAATTTTAACGTTCACGGAAAAGGACTATCAAAACAACACCATATGAAAAGTAAGTAGAAACGCCGATTTCCATTTTTGTTCTTTTTCGTGAGCGGTGTCAATTTTCTAATATCTCTTTGTTTCTCTTAGTGGGTCCTTGGCAAATTATTTGGCAACACTACTTTGTGTGTTGTATCGAGGGCTTATAGGGGACTAGTTCGAATACTCTACGATTTCAAAAGTCCTAACTTGGCTCTTTATTATAAAATTAATGTCCGGGACTCTGAAGAAAATACTATTTCATTGGAAAATGAGACAAATTGAGGACATTTCTGTCGTGGATTCAGTCTCGAAAATCCACCTGTATCTTTGTGAAAGGTGTACTCACTAACTTGGCACTCTTCGATAAATTTGACCACAAGGATCTAATGTACCCCTCATTTATCTCTTCGTTGATTGTCTGCTTATTGGGCTACCTTCCGCTTCTAAATGAATTTGTGGTTCGATAGACTATAATAATCATTGTGATACTAATGCTTCAAATACCCATGCTAATACATTTCGGATAATAAGCCATGAATACTTGAAAATGGGGAAATCAATAATATATTTTTGTCCTGCTAGGTACCTATAGGAACCTTAATAATCTTGAAGGAAATAGGAGGGAACAAATAAAGAACATTGTTGTTGGTAGGAAAGGGGGGCCTAATACAAGGGGGGAAACTAGTTTTGTTTTTAACTTTCCTCTCCCCGCTAACGGATATATAAGTTAAAGCTATCTTCTTTTGTAGAAGCTTGTCATTCATTGTATCCCATGAAAGACCATATTTTTTATACTTTCATTCAACACTCAGAGTAGTCAGGTACCACCATGTGCATGCATGCTTTGTTCACTGGCTCGTTTATTTAATTCATGCGCTGTGTTCATTGACATTGTGCTGTCAACGGCTTTGGGAAACAGGTCAAAGAAATCTTAAATTAAGTATTAAATAAGAAGATGTGGGTTGGGGCAGCAGATGACATGCTAATGGTAGCTTGTGGCGTTTTAACAAAGCAACAGTTCTTCTCCATTATTGATGTTTTATTTGCTTTTTTTCATATAGTTATTAATATAAGAGTACTTTTTTTCATTTCCGTCTTGCTCATTGTCCACTTTATTGAGGAGCTATTTAAATATGTATAAATAATTAAATTTATTTTACTTCACTGCATGCTTTGTGAGTCAGCATTTGTGCATTTTGTCGTTCGTCCGTCAAACTTGTTTCGTTTATTGAACTTGCCGGCAACATCGTTGCGAACAATGCTGCCTGACGCATGCTTTGAATTTCCAAAGTTTTTTTATTGACAAAGATCAGTTCTTCTCATACATTTACAAATTAAAAGTCGACGCTCTTGCTTGTTCTCGTCGGCTTGCTTTTCTTTTGAAAAGTGTTTTCATATAATGCTGTAAAGTGTTGTAATGGCATTGTTGGTAATGGCATTTCAAAAAAGTTACCTATTTTATATTAATTGGGAATCAATGCAATGGTAGAATTTTCGAATTACATATTTCTATATTGTATTTGGTAATTTCTTTTGAAATTAAATCCCACAGATCACTTGGTTCAATTCGCTTATTGGCCTGTGGAGTTCATATGCACTCCCATATGATTGGTCATTTGACCATAAGATCTACCCAAGCAATAAAATCTGCTTTTGAAAATATCAAATTTTCAGGCAAAACTTACGGAAAACAAATTTAAATCTGAACGTATGGTCTATATGGTCGAACAAAGACTACGAGACAAAATATGAGACTGTTGTGTGAGTGTTGAAGTATTGACTTTTTAAGGGAAATAACCTCAAGGTCTTCACATTGATGACTAAAATGTCAAAGACTGTTGTAAATTGAAAAAGTAGGGAGCCCACAAAGCCTTACATTTGAGAATTCTCTGTTTTTCAATATAACGAATGATTATTGGGCGCATTGCAATTACGAATTTGTCCCCATTTTCTCAGGGAGCTATACCAAGTTTTATCGTAAATCACCCATCCTTGATCCTTTTCATTTAAAAGGGGAGATTTTTCTTTCATATAAATCTCCTGATCATTAAAATTGAACTCGACAAATGGTCCAACAAAATTATTCATTCTTTGTTAATAAATAATGGCAAAGTGTTTATGACTTTATGACAATCGATTATCCATTTTGAGGGTCAAATTTGCAAGTCATTTCATTCCGCCGGCTCTCATTTGTATTTGTCTACTTTGAGCTGCTGCTCTCGTACTCGTCATTGACTCTCTCAACAAATCCCGTGTTCTATGCCAAACACAACCCCCTCAATCACAAGTGATCGTTGCCGTCGTCGTCGTCGTTGTCATGTTTTTATTATTGTTTGTTTTTGTTACTGCTTTCTTTTGACAAAGCTTTCTAAATATTGAAGTGAGTGTGTGTGTGTCTGTGCACTTCGTTGTTTTTAATTTTTTTTATTGAGAAGCACAAAGCAACACACATTTAATTTCTGATTGTACCTGTGACGGGCGCGTGTTTGACGCTGTGGGTATCTAACTGGGCAAGGGGTGAGAGAGTGTGTGTAGATTTTTGAGTTTTTAAATATTTTTTCCTTCTGCTTTTACTTTGATTTGTATTCATTCGTTTTTGTTTCTTCTTTGTTTTGGTTGGTGGGTACATCCAACCATGTTTGGAGTTCATTATTGTTTCTGTTTTTTTTTTTTGGAAGACTGCTGTTGATAGCCGTTAGAAATAATGAAAAGAAATTGCGTTATTGTTGTTGTTGTTAATTTGTATCTGTATCTTCTCTCTGTGTTGCTCAACTTTATTTAGTCAGTCGGTCGTCAAATTGGTTCGTTCTTGCTCTGTTTGGGTGTGTGTGTGTGTGTGCGTATGTTTGTGATGTCATGTGTGAGAGAGAGTGTTTGCCGCCGTCGTCGCCGCTTTTGTTGTTGTTGCTTTTCGGTGGGATTCTTGTGTGTTTGATATTTATTTGTATTACTTTCTGTCGCTGCCTTGCTGTTGTTGCTGTGCCTGTCGTGGGTCATTGTACCTTAAAAACGTCATGCTCTCTTTAAGTTTGAACAAACACCAGCCAAAAGCAGCAAGCAGTTCCTCCTCTTCTTCTTCGTCTTTTTCAAAAAATAGCATTTCATTATTATGAATTTGATTTTCTTATTACCACCGACCTACCTATTATTCGTTTTCGTTTTTTTGGCTTAGTTTGTTTTTTGTTGCTCCGTTACCAAGAGCTTTTATTTCAACTGGGAAGAGATTGAAGTTGGCAAATAAAAAGAATAGAAAAAAAAACAAACAAACGTTGGTCTAAAATTGTACAATGAACTGTGCGAAATTCAAGTGTTATCTTGGTTTGGTTTTGCTGCCAAGTGCTAAAAATATCCAGCAAGGGCTGACTGGCCGTACGGCTAAAAAAGGTGATGCTAATTATCGTCTATTTATTGGTTGCACTCTTTTTTGGTGGTATTTTTCTTAAGCAAAACACAATGTTTTTTTTTTAATGACAGCCAAAAGCTGAAGATAACTCTTTTCATTGGTAGTTATTATTAGCTCCTAAAATGTTAAGATTGTGATTGATTTTGAGGGGTGCGGTGTGCTGGAGTACCTATCTGGGTGCGAATGGGGAAATGCAATTATAAAATAATACTGAAATAGATTTACGCGGTAAAAAAATCTTAAAAACAACTCAAGTGTAGCAAATACTCTTAGATTTTACCCCAGATTTTTGACCAGAAAGTCCGAGTTCAGGTTGAACATACCCAGAAGAGAATATCTCTAGACCCAGAAAAGATCACAAAATGTTGCATTTTGGAAAGCTAAAAGTGTCAGCTATAATTTGGCATCAAACGATATCTATATTGTCTGTATCGGATAAGTGGAACCGGGTCTTGAACCCGAACTTTCGGGTAAAAAATCTTGGGTCCCGGGTCCCTCCCCCAAGAAAAAAAAATTTCCTTTAATCGGAGTAAACACACCTTCCAACAGTAGGTCGAATATAGTGTAAATATAGTAAAATATAATCATCACTTATTTTTCACATTACCAGTAATGAGAAACGTCGGCACTGTAATAATTAACGTCGCTAATCATTACTACTCGGTTAGGGTGACGTGCCCTTGTAAAAAATGGATTAGAAGGTAGGTTTGTAAGCAGTTAAGCTATTCCAGAAAGTTTAGGCTACCCATTATTTGGTAATGGAAATTTCTACTGGACGGTATTAGCATTAATGGTGTGTCTTTGCAAACTCTTCGATCTTAGCTTTTGTAGCCAGAGTTGCTCACACTGTGCTGCCGTTACTCATTCTTTGTCAGAAAATGTTACATTTAAGTTTGAAATAAAACTTGGATTGGATTGGACAACTAAGCAAATATTTAAGAAAGCCCAAATCTCTACTTCCCACCTTGCTCAATCATAAGCAATCTAATTAAAAAATATTAAGTATTTAGCGAAGTAACCTTTGGCTAGGGAAACCATTCCTCCTCTCTCTTAAAAATAGTACCTATCTATTTGTGTTTACACTACTAGACCCTGTAAACATTTGGGGCTGGTTCATTTGAAATGTAATTTTATTTGCACGCCAGACATTGTTGCCGGAAGAGAATGCAAAAAAAGTAAAAAACAATGCAAGCAAACAAAGTTTGTTGTTGTTAGACATTCACTTGCACCTCCACCAAATCATTCATGTCCCCTTTCGCTCCTAACAACCTTAGACACTGCGTTTTCTGTTCTAGGCAGCCGGGGAGGGATAGATAATTATCAGCATTGTTATCGTTGTCGTTGTTGTAAAACAAAACTTAAATAGGCATTTTGCGGTATTGGTTTCGAAAGACTCTCCGTTATTAACAAACAAATATCCCGCACATACATACGTAGGTGTGAGTGCATCTAGGTGCTTGACACGTGACGATTAGGCGCCAGTTACAGATACCAAAGGCCAGAAGTGATGATAATGCGGCTGATGACGTGGGCGTTCAATTTACAATGTGACGCAGAAACAATATTCCTTAACTTCCTCTCCTCCCTTTTTCATTTCTGGATCTATTTTTATTTCACAATTTTTGCAACAAGAAAAGCGTCCGCCGCCTCATTTTTGCTGAGTAATTGAATGCGCACAAATGCAAAGCTGAATTTGAATGTTTCTATGACGCTTTGTTTCTTTCTTTGCCAGGCACTGGATGAATGAGTGATTGCTTCCATTGGCAATTTGTTTTCTTTTCTCTCTCTCTCAAAGTAATTTGCGCACTTGAAACTTGTTTCGCTGAGAGAGAATAAACAATTACAAGATGATATCAATAACATAAATTACAACAAAAATAGGAAGGCAGATAGGTATAGGCCATGAAGATATTGTGAAGCATTGAACTTGTTTTGAAAACATTTCGAATAAGAGCGTGTGGCAAATATTTAGAAAAGAATGTGTGTAAATAGATCGTTGTGGTTACTGTTCCCAGCAAGAATTATCGAGCAACTTCCTTCTCAGAGAGTACGGCATAAAAATGTATGCTCTTTTGCAAGAAAAATGTAAGCAGACTTAAAATGTCATCTGTGAAAATATCTGTTACCCGAGGCGCATCTATCTACATTTTGAGGAATATTAGTCAGGCCAGGAGTCCGGTTTTCTGCCGACTTATTCAAGTCATAGCTTTTTGATGGCAGATCAATCTCTTAGAAAAATTTGCCAGCTCTGCAAGTGAGATCCCGGATCTTTCAAAGACACTATTACATTGAGAATAAATCGATTGTGACTATTCGTACTTACCCCTCAGCGACTGCTCCTGAATGACTAGTTTTGCCAGAAAAGTGTCAAAAAATATTTTCATGCAATTCGGGATAAGTGAACGGAGGCCTCGTATGACTGAACGGATTCCCTTGCATTTGGAAGGAATAATATACTTTATTTGATCTGATGCTACGAACTTTAGATATTTTTCAATTTGATTTTTTTTCGAGTTAAAACAGGTGCTAAGGGAAGTCAAAATTCTCCCTCCTCAAGAATTGAGAATGTGTTCTGTCTTAGTTTACAGTGTGTCTTTGCCCTTTGCTCTGTAGTCCTACCACAAATATGCACCTGCCAAAAACTGTGCGCCTTAGCAACGATTTGGAGTCACACATTCTCCACACGCAGGCTGTGCACACGCACCAAACGAACTTGCATATTACTCTGCACACTACAATCCATGAAGATAACATTAAATAACTGACTGGTCGACCGACCGGCTGTATGGATGGACGGAGGGACGGACTCTGGGTGGAGTATGGTGTAACAAAAAAAGTACAAAGTTTCATTTCAGTCAGCACCTTGTTGCCTTTTTTTAGGCCGGTGATGATGGCACACATCAGGAGCCTTAGCAGACAGACAGACAAACAAACAACCGGCTGAACAGCCGGCTGGGTCAGTAACAGAACCCAATATTTTTATCATCTGGAACGTTTTTACAATACGCAACCGATTCGAGTTTTTGGTTTGTTGCAACATTGTAGGAGACTTGCATCACTTCTCCATGACATAATTATTCTGTTGTCGCTTTGTATGCCAAAGTTTTTTGTTTGGAAGCCACCATCACAGGATTAAATAGTTGTTTTTGGCGCGCTTCATTTAATTCGATTGCCGGGCTTAATAATTTTTTTTGTCAAATTTTCTGGGAAGGAAAAAATTAAAGTAAAAAACAACATTTTCAAACAGGCAATAGGGCTTAGACTTTTTGCAAATAAATATTAACTCAAAGTTGTTTTTTGGTACACAACAGTGACAATATCGGAGATTTTCTCAAGTTTTCAATGTCGAGCCCATTCGATTTTTAAACAACGGTTTTTTCTTTCTCATTTTCATAATTTTTCTATAATTAAGTCTTTAGAGATAAAATGTAGTTGTTTTTGTTGCTGTCACAAAAATGACAGATTAAATGAAAAACAAGAACAAAAAAACGCTAATATTTTCTTCAGTATTTAGGTCAGAAGAATATGACGTATTTTCCTATGACAACAACATTGGCAAATTGAAACAACAACACAAGGTTTTAGTTGCCTACACACATACATATATGCGACCTGTATGTAAATATTCTGTCAAAAGTATGTGTGTGTAGCCGTGTGTAAATGTGTCTTGAGCAAAGTACGCTCAGCTGTAGCTAAGCGAGACAAATTATGATGGGAAGTAGATTTTTCTTTTTGAAAAGCTACACACCAACCCATCGCCATCCAAAAAACAAACCATAAGTTACACATTTCCAGAAAAGAATCTGTTTAAGTAGGGCCTTTAGCTTAGGGCTTTTTAAAATGGTATCTCCAGACTTAATGAAGACTTGTAGCTTTTTATTTAGATATACGGATACCCACTTCAAACCCCAATACTGCCGAGTTGTAGGCTATTTATTTTGAAATAATTGTTTTTAGATAAAATATGTCAAAACCTTTCCCAACAGCATTTTGAGAACCACCTCGGCGGAATAATTCATTACAAGGTAATGCAAACAAAATTACCTGGATGTAGAAAAATAATGGGTTATTCCTTTAAATTTTACAAGTAAATATATAACTTTTTCTCTCTGTAAAAAACTTGATTAATGATACAGCAAACTCTCTCTCTCTCACCAACAAATGATGGGTTTTACATTGACACTACATTTTGACAACAGTAACTAGTTACCAAACATCATCCTACCCCATATTTTCGCATTGAAAGCAAGTACTAAATACTTTACATTTAAGCTTACAAGTAATGCTTGTGGTATATAGTTGTGTTTAAAGTAATGCTGAAAGTTTGATTGATTCTGTTTATTTCCAATTTTTTGCTTTCAACCCAATTGTGAATACATTATGGGTACTAGGATGACAAACATTACCAGATCGCTTCAGCTCACATGTGTGCGCCAATTGTTGTGAGGGCGCGTGATAGCTTTTAGAGCGTTGCGTGTGTATGCTGTTGAGTTTTGTGTAGCCTATTTTTACCACCTTGGCGTGATTAACAGCAAAACGCTTTAGTAATTTAGCGCTTTTTAGTTGGTTTTCAATGTTTTCTTTTGACTTTCTTCGCATTTTTTTATTTCTCCCTAGTTGTGGTATTTGCCAAGTGAAAGTGTTTGGTCGCATGAATAGCTTATTCATCGTTTGTAAAATGCGGCAAAATATGAAAAGTTTGTAGTTTATGGTATTTTATGCCGGTGGTCTTTACATGTTTTGACAGACACACGCTTCAACCATTCAATGACATATATTAAATGATGGAATGTATTAGCAACAAAATATGTTTTTGAGGCATATTTGTTCCCCTTTACCTCTCTTTTTTATTTCAATCCACCTGTGTGTTCTATACTTATAATTAAATGCGCCTACTTGGTATTCTATGAATTTTCTTAACAAAAATAATAATATTAAATTATATATCCACATTTAATAATAGCTTAACTATATTTTTGAACTAAAAACAATGGATAACCATGGACCAATGCCTACATAAGGTCGGCCAGGAAGAGTACTGTTGTCAAAAATATAACAATAAACTTGGTAGTTTTTGCACCATTGTGATTTGACTCTCTTTCAATTTCAAATCACAATATGTCTTTTGACAGCAAACTTAGTTTTCAGATGGGCTTACTATGCCATGTCATGGACTAAGAAAGGGGCGGAATTCTTGTTTATATAAATATGAAATGACAAATATTTTCTCTCTCTCTTCTATAAAAGTTTTTATTTTACTTTTTCGTAGAACAATAAGACATTTGGAGAGCTGTTAAATAAATTTTTGTTATTAAACCTAGGTTTTCTAAAAAAAATTGCCTCCTTGCCTTATTACAGGAAGCTCTTATAAATAATCGGACCTACTAGAGACTCCTATTTTTGCAAATTTTACTACTTTTTTTTAAATAATTTTTAAATTATCAATTGAATTCTTTTTTAGTATTAAAGACCATTTTGATCTAATCAATATTTCTCTTATTCTTTTTTCAGATTTTCCAATCTTAAATGCGGCTTCAAAATGATCCGGAATAGATTCTAAATAATAAAGAAAACGCCAAGAAAAAGTTTAAAAAAATATTGTGAAACAGAGAAACAAGAATGTCATAATTTCAAAAAGATTGCAATACAATAATAACAATTGTATACCATTTTGCAACAAAGTAATAAAATAACAACAGCAAAAGAAACAAGAAATGCCCCATTTTTGTTCACCGTAACAGACCAGAGGAAAAAAGTTTGTAAAATGTTTCGTTGTCATTTAAATTTTGTGGCGTTAATTTTGAATGTGAAAAATGTTCAAAGTACTTGTCTTGAAAGACCCAACTACAACAATAACAGCAATATTATTATGCACGTTGACAACTATAAAAACAACAATAACAACATAATTTTGTAAAACCCAACAAAAGTTAAGTGAAAAAGTTTCAAATTAACCACTGAAAAAAGTTTCAAAAAAAAAAAAAACAGTCTTAGAAAAGTATTAACTAAGACCAAACATATAGTAGAGCAACCCGTAATAAGAATTTGTATTGAAAAGAAAAAAAAATACAAACAAAAAAGAATATGTACAGAGTGTGTTCAAAACAGATCAAATAATACCAACTACTTTTGGAAATTAATACATAATAAATAGCAAAGCAAAAGCAAAAACAAAAAAAAAACGAAAAGAAAATAATAACCACAAACATAGCAACAACGTAATTTAATATATTAGTGCATTGTTGTTACCTTTCCCCCCCGACAACCCCTCTCGTTCATTATTTCCACACACCGAAACAAACAAACAAACACCGTTGGAAAAGTTATTTTTTCCAAGAAATTTGTGGTTTTTTGATACGAACCCCGGCGACACTTTAAATTCTTTGGAAAAATCTGGACGGTGAATCCCCGTTAGGCGCACTTGTTTTTTTTGTAACCAACAGAGCCACCGTTAGCGTTACTGCAGCTGCTGTTGCCACATTGCTCCCACTTCCCGCGCATACCACGACAAATAGAACGGTCTTTATATGTATAGACTAGAGGATACAAGCGGCGCCGCCATGGACAAAGCCAAACAAAAATGTAAGTATATATCTACATATATTTATATATATCCGTGCTGTGTGCCTATTTAAAAATACCCACGATTTGTGGCAGGCAAAAGAAAATATTGAACAATATACAGGGGTGGGGCTTATTGTTTTTAAAAGATCGGCTTATTTAATATCCCTTTCAAGAGCTGATGTTCGTAGGATGTGTTTAATATGCCCATAGAGTCTGGTTTTATTTTTATACCCTCCGCCATAGTATGGAGGGTATATTGCGTTTGTCATTCCGTTTGTAACACCTCGAGATATACATTTTCGACCCCACAAAGTATAAATATTCCCGATCAGCATAGAATTCTATGTCGGTATAGCGCTGTCCGTCTGTGGAAATCACTCTAGCTTTCAAGCGACGTTAAGTAAGTTGATAAAATTTTACTTACATTTATATTATGTCTGCAGGACTTTTGGTATTGGGAATGGCCCATGTAGGTCCACGATTTCGTATAGCTCCCATACAATGGTACCTCCCTATTTTCGGTATTTTGGCGACATTGTTCACCGGAAATGACAGAAAATTTTCCATGCCCGAAAATATATAACGGTACCTCCCTGTATTCGGTATTTTGATGATTTAAGCTACATTACTCAATGTTTTTATACCCTCCACCATACTATGGAGGGTATATTAACTTTGTCATTCCGTTTGTAACTCCTCGAAATACTCATATCAGACCCAACAAAGTATATATATTCTTGATCAGCGTAAAATTCTAAGTCGATTTAGCGATGTCCGTCTGTCTGTCTGTCTGTTGTAATCACGCTATCTTTCGAATGAATTGAGATAGATGGCTAACATTTTGCACACATGTTTATTTTTCCAGTAGGCAGGTTAAGTTCGTAAATGGGCCATGTAGGTCAACGTTTTCATATAGCCCCCATATAACGGTACCTCCCTATATTCGGTATTTTGATGATTTTAGCGACATTATTCACGGGAATTGTTTCAAATTTGGTATTTGAAGTTCAAAATGGATACTACACCCTAAGACAGAAAATTGTCTGTGCAGGTCCACGTCTTCATATAGCCCCCATATAACGGTACCTCCCTATATTCGGTATTTTGATGATTTTAGCGACATTATTCACCGGAATTGTTTTAAAATTGGTATTTGAAGTTCGTTATGGAAACTACAGTCTGTGACAGAAAATTGTCTGTGCGGGTCCAGGTCTTCGTATAGCCCCCATATAACGGTACCTCCCTATATTCGGTATTTTGATGATTTTAGCTACATTATTCATCGTTTATTTCAAGTTTCGAATTTGAATATGGTAATGGCTTATGACAAACAATGCCTATGTATGTCCACGTCGTATAGACCCCAAAATAACGGCTATATTCGGTATTTTTAAAATTTTAACAGAATTTTTTAAGGATTTTATTTTTTGAATATTTCCAAATTCGTTGCAAATGGTGGAGGGTATTAAAAGTTCGGCCCGGCCGAACTTACTGCTTTTTAACTTGTTTTTTTTTCAAGATTCGCATTTGAACATTGTAATGGCTTATGACAAAAGTTGCCTATGCAGGTCCACGCCGTCTAGAGACTCTGATATAATGGCTACATTTGGTATTTTAAAGATACTAACAGAATTTTTAACGTTTTTTTCTTTTTGGAAATTGCCAAATTCGTTTCAAATGGTGGAGGGTATTCAAAGTTGGGCCGGCCGAACCTACGACCTTTTTACTGGTTTTGACTGCAGCTAGGTACTTTGTCCTCATTCCATTTTTTCGTCTTTCACCCATGTCCCATATCCCACTTAAAAAACAAAAAAAAAACAAAAAAACAAAAACATAATTAAAAGTTTATGGTGTCTCAATACACTCTCATACAACATATAATCCTTCAAATGGTAACCCGAGGCCTCAAATCTTTTTTCTTTTACTTGGAGATTTAATAATGTCACAATCGGACGATCAGGGCCATAGTTGTAAGAACAAATCACCTTTTCTAATCCGAAAATAAACCATTCGTCGTCACCTTTAAATTTCTTTTGAGTTTCAATTATAATTAACTTGACTAATTATAATTTGGCTAAAATGTTACCCGTTTTACTTTGGCCAAAATGAAAGAGGAATGTCCTACCAAATGAACCATGCATGACTAGTCATGGTTGCTTTAAATAGCTCACGTCTGGCTAATTGGTTGGCTATTTTTGGTCAATGCAAAAAAAAGGGGACACATGCCTACAGGAGGAGACTTTGCAAGATCCATACATGTCGTATGTGGTATGAGCTCGTCACCGTCATGGTGGATGGTTTGTTGGTTGGTTGTATGTTGGTTGCTATGAATAATCAAAAGTTGTCGTCCGTTATGCCAGCGTTTTGGTTGTTTGTTGTTGTTGTTGCTGCTAACATTTACAATTGACACAAAAATAGCGGCAACTAATTTGTGTGGTAAACTTTAGCGTGGGATTTTTTATTGGAGGCCGGCATGTGAAGAACTGGTCCCCACCCCGCACTTCGTATGCAAGCGACGCTTAGTAACCAAACATATGGTTTATTTTAAAAATTTTGGAAACTGTCTCCCACAATATTAATGCATTAAAATCTACGTATGTATATGGAGATGTTTGTGAACAGTCAAACATGGTTATTTGGGATTAACAGTGGTTGCAAAACAGAACAGAACAGACAGAGGGAACAAAGATTTCGCCAAAACCTGTCTCACAACAGACTGAGTTCAAAGGCAACGAACTCAACTCGAACACAGATATTCACCCTAAACTTTTGCCTATCTTTAAAACCAATAGTTTGTATTTAATAAAAATCTACTGTACACCCAGATAGATAAATTTTGTATCTTTGCAATTATTATTGTTTTTTTTTTTAATTATGCCACTTAAATATTCTTCGTGTGAGCCAAAAATTAAATGCGTATTTCTTCTTCACTTCTTAGAAATTCTTCTCTTGCACCAAAAACCAACAGATTATTGAACTTTTTCGAGAGCAAAAATCCTATTTTGACAGCTGTGTGATTTCTGTTTCTTAATTTTGGCATCCCAGTTCATTTTCTGATTGGCCTCGAATGCATTCAAAATATTTCTTATTATACAGAACGTGATCGAGAATATTGAACTTTATTTTTCGTTAACGCTAATCGCTTAATAGCGGGCAGCAAAATTGGGTTGAGTAGCAAGGAACCGGTTTTTACGAGGGAAATATCTTTCTAATGAATTCAAAGAATGTATTTGTCATGTTCTGGTGGACAACATTTCTAATACTTCTTTCTTCTTCAGCTTATGAGTGCTCAAAATTGTGACTCTTAACAGGGGAGGAACCTGAAAGCATAGGCTGAGTGGGAGGTACAAGAAAAAGTACTCCTTCTTACTCCTCATCTTCACTCCATATCTAACGTTGGTAGATGTAATGGGCTGATATATACTGGGATGAATGTGTAGAGGGGACATTAGGCTGGCTGGCTGATGGTATCACAACCTCTTGTCTTGAAAATATTAGCGCCCAAAGTAAAACAAAAGCAAGTTACAAAACTGAAACCACACGCATTTATTAAAAAATATTTCATAACTAGATGGGAGAGAGAGAGAGAGAAATTAGGAGAGCAATTAGTATTTAGATACAGTTATACAAGTTTTGTTCCTGGACCTTTAAAATAGTATTATATTGCACTATTTGTAACATTTTTATACCCTCCACCATTTTATGGAAGCTATTAGCTTTGTCATTCCGTTTGTAACTCCTCGAAATATTCATGATAGACCCTACAAAGTGTAAATATTCTGGATCAGCGCAAAATTCTACAACGATTTAGCGATGTTCGTCTGCCTGTGTGTCTTCTACCTGTCTGTCTGTCTGTTGAAATCATGCAATCTTTCGAAGGAATTGAGATAAAAGGTTAACATTTTGCACACATGCGTATATTGCCAGTAGACAGGTTAAGTTCGTAAATGAGTCATGTCGGGTCACGTTTTCGTATAGCTCCCATATAACGGTAACTCCCGACATTCGGTATTTTGATGATTTTACCCGAATTGTTTTTCGAATTTCGTATTCGAAGTTTGTAATGGGTACTACAGCTTATGCCTAAAATTTCAGTACTTCCCGATATTCGGTATTTTGATTATTTAAGCGACTCAATTCAAACGAATTGTTTCAAATTTCGTATTCGAAGTTTGAAATTGGTACTAGTTTGTAATGGGTGCCTAAAGATTTCTTATGTAGGCCCACGCCGTCGTATAGCCCCCATATATAGGTCATCATTTAAACGGTATTTTTGAAGGGTATTAACTACTTGTTCACTTTTGCATCGTTCCCATACACGATAAAAACTCGTAGACAAAATATGACGTTCTTTTGGCTAGACGTCCTGTTTTACTTCTTTGGGCTAGTTTTGATATTTTTGAAAGGTTTTTCGCTTCCGAGTTTTTTTTCTCTGAGTTAAAAAAACTCAGTTGCAAGAATGCCTACCGGCTTTTTCTCTTTCAAACTAATTTTCCAAGAAGATGTTATTTATAGAAACACCAATTGACACAGGTGGAGGTTGCAAAGTTTCGTGGTAATGTCAAAACATATTAGGTACCTTTTCACATTAAGTCAATCTTTTGACATTTGACATCTAAATGTTATTAATGTCAAGTTTAATACAGTATCAGAATACATGTAGGTATGTGACTGCTGCTGCTACTGATACTGTCATATGGGCAAAGGCAATATTGAAAATGTTTCTTTGTTTTTTAATATTTCATGCAGCCCCCATGTATTTTTAGTAATTTCGTCTAAATGCCGCCTGGCTCAATCTTGCCCATCTAACCCCACTGCAAGACCACATAAATGTGGTATTTACAAGAGTTTGTTTGTGGCTACCACATGGTCTGCAAGTGTGTCTGTGTGTTTGTATGTGTGCTGTTCGTCATTTGACGTCAAACCTATCGATTGGCGCGGACACAGATGTATTCACATTTTCCTAGAAAACCCAACAGAAAAACAGAACGTTTTGGCAGTTTTTGTTGTGGTGGCTGCTATTATTATTTTTATTTTTTTATAAACATAACAACCAGACCTTTTAGCTTCGAGAAAAAAATGTACCAAAAGTGAAAAGTAAAGAAGCAAAGAATTAATCTCGCGGTCACACGGCGGAAGAAAGTCATGTGTCACAGAGCTGTTGATAGATGATAGGTGACCCTATGTCATTGATATTTGGTAAATGAAGTGGCTGGGCCTTGAGATATGAGATTCATATTTTAGTGAATTTTCGGCTACTCTTTCGAATCGCAATTCACACGCTCTGCACAAACTATTGTGCAATAGTTTACATTACTTTTTCTTTGCCACTTGTATTCTGCGTTGCCATTCCACTGTTTGCATTTCACATTTCTATATTTGAGAGATGTGCTTTTTTCTGCTGCCGCTGCTTCTTCTTGTTAGCATTTTCTTCATTCGCCTGGCGACAGACACACAATTATAGACATCTCCTTTGTTGTTTTTATTTCCCTTTCGATTTGTGGGAATTTGAAATGGATGAAGAATAGCGGATGGATATAGAGGAGGAGTGGGGAGACAACCTCACATACTTTCAATGACAAGAGCAGCGTCATTGCTGCAACCCTTTGGTCACTTTTATTACATCTAATAATGTTGGAAAGTTTTTCGTTTTTGTTCAATGTTTTCTCTCTCTCCCTCTCCTCATGCTCGGCTACTAGATGTCTCCTCTCCTCCTAGGCTGTTTGTCTGTGACGGTCCAAAAAAAGTTTATCGTCTGTTAAAATATTGACATCGAACATTTATTTGAATGAAATGAAATAAAACTGTCAAAAGTGACCAACAAAGTTGCTTTTCATTCAATTGCTTGTCATCTTTGTCGTCGTCGTTGTCGTTTTGTTCACCTCTCCCCCCACAAAATGTTATGCCGTTGTTCCCATGGCAAAGTTAGTACTTATGTCTCTAGAAAATATAGAGGGGTTTAATGTAGGAATTTTGAGAAATTTTCCGTGTTTCATTATAGCTTACAATGGGGGCAAATAACTTCCCAAGGATTGGTCAGAAGAAATTTAAATCAAATAAAAATCAAAAATTTCGAAATTTTGTTAATTTTTAGCACCTTGCTCATAATACAGCATGAGATATTGCTATTTGCGGACCTCTTGAATAAGTATTAGAAATTTACATGCCATTTGGTTAGTAAATACCTATTTTAAATCAATTTTAGCAGAAACAAGAAATTGTAATTGTTTTGCAATATATTGCCTACAATGATTTATTCGGATGTATATTTAAAGCATTTAGTCAGTAAGTGACTGAAACACAAGCCCACTCACGGACAGGTCGTCCAAAGCCAGGTTAAGAACCAAAGTCCCTTAGTTCTGCTGCGAAGGTGTGAGCTTAGGCAGAGATTTTTTTAAAATCTGGCCTGAAAATTTTGGCAATTATATAAATGAACACTTAATTATGATTAGACTGTGTTAATAAACGTATTAATTATTGGTGCACAAGGGGTTAATTGATGGAAAATGGAAAATGTTGAATTACACAACATTGGGGCGGTGCTCAAATGAAAGGTCTCGAGAAGTACGTTGTAAGTATATATGCCTTATATTCCTAAATGATTTCTCATAATCGAATTTTTCCGGCGGGGCTCAAATTAAGCGTCTCTAGGAGAATTCTTCCAATTTTCTAACTAAGCCGAAATTGTTTGGGAATATAAGGCCCTTTCCTGGACAATATCGCAAAAAGTCTCAAATTTTTTTGAAAATATGGTAGATGAGAGAGAGAGGGAGAAATATTGTGAAAGAAACTTGACATTAAAGTTATGTTAAAGAATATGCAAAATAGCCATATATTGCATTATTTAATTAAATATCATTATTAAGTTTTGCTTTTTATACCCTCCACCATAGTATGTAGGATATATTAAGTTTGTCATTCCGTTTGTAACATCTTAAAATATACATTTAAGACCCCACAAAGTATATATATTCTTGCTCAGCATAAAATTCTATGTCGATTTAGCCATGTCTCTCCGTCTGTGGAAATAACTCTAGCTTCCTAACGAAATGATTTAGATTGATAAAATTTTACTCAAATGTATATTATGTCTGTAGGACTTTTGGTATTGAAAATGGGCTATGTGGGTCAACGTTTTGGTATAGCCCCCATATAACGGTACCTCCGGATATTCGGTATTTTGATGATTTTAGCGACGCTATTCACCGAAATTGTTTCAAATTTGGTATTTAATGTTCGTAATGAATGCTACAGCCTATGACAGGAGATTGTCTGTGCAGGTCCACGTCTTCATATAGCCCCCATATAACGGTTCCTACCGATATTCCGTATTTTGATGATTTTAGCGACATTATTCACCGAAATTGTTTTAAATTTGGTATTCGAAGTTCGAAATGGATATTACAGCCTAAGACAGAAAATTGTCTGTGCATGTCCACGTCTTAGTATAGCCCTCATATAACGGTGCCTTCCGATATTCGGGAGGGTATTCCAAATGTTGGAGGGTATTCAAAGTTCGGCCCGTCCGAACTTACAGCTTTTTTACTTGTTTTAATGAAAAAATCTTTCACAGAACATCAACATACGGCGCGGTTTTGGAAAGGATTTACTTAAATAAACCTTTGTAGCCAAAAGGGAAAAAATGCCAAATCGACCTGGTCACTTAGTAACAATGCATATATTTAAATATATATTTAAGATCCGCGTCTCATCCAAAAAAGAATGTTTCTAGATGTATTTTGTTGGACAAAATGATTCATTCTTCCTAAATATCTTTTATCATTAATACCACTGTGGCTATTTGTGAGTTTTTTTCTTTTGGCATTTTCTAAATATTACGTATTGTTAATGTCCCTCCATCTCCCTCCACCACTTTGTGTTATTCATCAAGTGTTTTGAAAACAGAAATACACTTTGTGAATTTGGTTTTTTTCGTAATGTTTTGGTTTCTTTCCGATTGTCGCCGACTGACTGATCTCTGGCGTTTTTCTTCGTTCTTTGGGTATTTCGATTTGCTTTTTGGTTTGTTGGGTATTCTGAAAATAAAAATACAATCAAATTCAATTGAGAATTTCGAAATAAAAACGAAATACCGTGCACAAACACACACACATAAACACTCTCACACACCAACAATTCTGTGAGACCGAGAAATGCCGAAATCGTCAATTCAAAGTAGAAAATAGCGAAATGTTTTTCTAAAAAGATTTCGCATTGGGTTGCAGTTTTCGTTGAAATTCGGTAACGGATGGTTTTGGGAGAAGCAACAATAACAAGTGGAACTTGGCTAAAATAAATTAGTTTGTGAAGAAAATATTGAAATTTTACAAAGAATTTATGACAAGAAAATCGTCGAAAGCAAATTCCAATAAAAACTAAAATTCGAACAAGTGTGTGCGTGCGTGCGTGTGTGAGTGTGAATATTATAATATGCAATAGCCAGGCAACCACCTACACCACTAGTTCGCGTATGGTCTCCACCAAGTACCCAAAACGCTTACTTAATCAAATTTTATAAACAAAAAACCAAAAAAAAAAAAAAAAAAAATTCAATTCACTGCCAAACCGGAAAGAGATTTACCACAACGAACGCGTTTCCAAAGAGCACAGCCAACGACAAGGGCCGTCCGTCCCGACCTGATTAACACAAATTATCCATGTACCCACTGGTGTTTGTTCTTCTGTTACTCGGTGTTTTTTTTTTCAACAAACCACAATTGTTTATAATTAAAAGTCTATAAAAAGCAACAACAGCAGCAACATCAACAAAAATCCATCAAAAGTATTTTGTAAAAAAAAGAAAGAAAAAAAATCCGAAATTATTTATGCTGTATTCGACAAAAATAGCTAAACCAAAACCATATATATTTTTACATATATAATTTTTTTTTTCGTTTGCTTGGCAAAATCCAACAACAGCAAAAAAAAAACTAAACATTTAACAAAATTGTGTTGGTGGTATTGGGGATGCAAGAATTTGTGTGAAAAAAAGCAAATAAAGAGAACCTAATAACGCTAATATAAAATAGTACACGGTGCTACAGATGGAAGCAATTGCAAGTTTATAATCTCCGAATAAAGGGCTACTTCCAAGTATCAGTAGTGGAGTTAAAATATTCCTAGAACAATTGTTTGGTGGAAGAGTTTTTACATCTCCTCGATTGGAGCATTTAATTTTCATACGCTACCCTCAAATACACTCCCTGAGGCCATTAGGCCCTACCTCGAATCAGCGCCATTTTTAATTCTTATACGGTGCACTTTAAATGCGGAGTTTAGTGTTTCCAACCATTTTGTAGATAACAGGATGAAACCGTTTACTTACTTTCTCTCTTGATTAACCCTTTCTGAACCGGGTTTGGTTTCTGCCTTTCCTACATAAACTTGAATTTGAGTGAATCGGATTTTTTTACAATCCAGAGTAGATTATTTTTTACCTCTAAGAGTCTTAATGTTCAATTAAAGAGGATGGTTAAAAAATGTGGCGTTCCCTGGACCAGGACCATAAACACTTACGAATCTTCGATAAAAATATCAAAGATTACTAAAAACGAATTTGCCATAATCTTTGGGCATATCTAGTTATCTAAGTTTGTCTCCCCAAGCATTCGGTCTACCTTTTGGTTGGTGGCTTTGAATGTAGTATTTGATGTCATTTTTAACCCTCTGCGCACCACATTTTGTCCTTGGCAATAACATTTTTACTGGCACATAATTAATGTTATATTCTAAATTATATTTAAAAAAATAATTCCGAACACAGTACGATTCAAATAACTTAAATTATTTTCTATAAAATTGTGCCTTTTTTTTACTTCGACATAAATTGTAAGGCACCGATTTAATAAGAAGGAGAATTCGGAAATTAGTCAAGTTTTAGCTGCAACAAGTAAAAAAAGCAGCTAAGTTTGGCCGGGCTGGACATTTAATACCCTCCGCCACTTGGAAGAAAATTTCAAAATGTTACGAAAATTTCGTCGAAATATACCCTTCAAATGAAAATCGTTATACAGAGGGCTATACGAAGACTAGGACTTGCACACGCAATTTTTTGTCAGAGACTGTAGTACCCATTAGGACCTACCAAGACGTTTCTGTCATGGGTTAAAGCATCCATTACGAACTTCAAAAAAGGAATTTGCAAAATTATATTTATACCCCAGTGATTACCTCCTGTTTTTTGATAGGAAATAATGTATCTCGAATCAGTAGCTTCAAACATTGTCCATGACTTCTTTGTAATATTTTATGGGTCTATTATATATACAATTATATTGAAATTCGTTTCACAAAGGGTTAATACATGAAGAACATCGTTGTAAAGATATTCCTTTTCATAACAAACATTGAATCCAAAATCTGTAGCACCGTGTAAAATATTTAACAGAAATTCGGACAGTGAAGGAAGAATTTTGAAATCATCATGTCTGCCGCTGCTTTATGCTATTGGCAGGCATCAACCGCTGGCGTTGTTACGCCAAATGCCGCTACCACAATCACATCGACATCAGCTGTACCCGATAGCACTACTAGTCCCACCTCGACAATGTTACCACCACCGAAGGCGGTGGCTAACGGAAGCGGTAGCGTCGTCAGCAATTCTATATTTCAACGTATCAATAGCAGCCGTAGTCTGAACAAGCAACAACAACCACACTATTTCGCTAACAACCAACCGAACAGCGTTGGCAATGGCTATGGCGTTGATGACGATGACAGCAACCTGCCAGATGGAGATTGGGAAATGCATCAGCGGCAGCGTCATCATCCAACAAAAAGTAATTCTGATTTCATTATAAATGGCAGTGCTGGGGGTGGTGTAGGCTCAGGCCATGAGGCATCCTATCACAGAAATCACTATGGGCGACAAGAGCTTCCACCACCTTGTTACGATGACGAACTTCATTATTATCACCCTGAAAATGCCACACATCTTGGCCACAACGACTATCAACAGGATCATCAGTACAACGCTGGCAATAGCAATGCTTACAATGAACCTGCCCATGTCGATGGTTATGGCGATGATGATGCTCTTGTTTACACCGATCAAGGCAAAAATATCGATGAGCGATTGCTGGTCGATCATGAGATAGCCCGCAGTCATCAGCTGCTACGAAATTGTAGGTGGTTTGTATTTTGAAATGTTTGTTTGCATGGTCATACATTGGCTCACACGATGCTCCCCCGCGGTGCAGTGAGGGGCAAAAGAAGGGCAGCATGAAATAGTTTTGTGATAGGACGATACTTGTGAAAATGTATACAGGTCGGTGATTAGTCCACCTCAACTGGAAAGTGGTTCTTAGAATATCATCCTTTATAAGTATATTTAAGTACCAAGACCAAGCAATAAGTAGTTGGAAGCAAAAACCGGTAAGGAAAGATCAAAAGTCGGCGGGGCTGGATATATGATGCCCTACACCACTATGCGTATTTAGTAGAGCTCACGTTATAAAAAAGTTTGTATTGGGAATTTATTTGAAGTGGATCAGCTATGAACAATATAACATTGCAGTACGGTGCATGATATGACTTCGATAAGATTGAAACGATAGATATACCGATATACATATTGGTCTGAACCGATTTTCACTAACATTTTAAGCACTTGCTTTTAGGCTGAATTCCGTCAGAAGTGCCAAAATTCAGTTCATTTGGACTGATATTAGCCATTTGATGCATAATAAACCTGAAATGGGATAAAGACATATAAATGGGAGCTATATCCCAATCTGATCCGATCTCGATAAAATTTGGCGAGATATTTTTGAGCTCCATAAGTTATCTGATATCAAATATCATTGTTGTGGAGTGTATATTGCGCATGTGAGGGACTTAAATCCCCAGATCGGATGAAACATATATATGCGAGCTATAGCTATATCTGAACGGATTTTTAAATTTGTTGTAACTGCTTCTAGACTGAATTCGGGCGGATGTGCCAAAATTGAGGTCATTTGGACTGATATTGACCATTTGGTGCACATTTAACCCGATATCGGCTGAAGATATATATGGGAGCTATATCTAAATTTGAACTAATTCTCACTAATTTCAATGGGGTTCGTCCTTGTCCCAAACAAGTATTGTTTGAAACATTTCATCTCAATCGGATAATAAATGCGACCTGCATTTTGTTCACAAAAAATACATGGACAGACTGACGGACTGGCATGCATAAATCGTCTCAGAAAGTGATTCTATGAAGATCCTCAAAAGCAACTATTGGCCTATCTCGCTTCCTTCTCCCTGTTACAAACAAATGCACAAATACATAATACCCTTACCCACTATGTGGTATAGGGTATAAAAAGTTGTCTTTTCGGTAGATTTATATTATTCTTCAATAAGCTGAAAATCGATTTTCATCCACCCAAACCGACTGATTTTAGGTTCATTAGAGAAAATTGCAAACATTGGCCCATGTTTCTTTAACAACATTTTCGTCAAAATTGGTCATAAAATAGAATAAATTTAAATATTTTGAAAGTTTTGATTTTCTTTTCCAACGAACTTGGCTATTATTTAGTTTTTGAGTCTCGGTGGACGTATCAAAATCTCTACCCATATACCCATCATCGTGCCCACTTTACTTGTCATGTGCGGTGATGGCTTCGTTTACATTTCCTATTGCCAATTGATGACACCCTTTTCTTCAAGAATTCGCCATTGTATAATAATTTTTATTCTATTCCCCCTTAAATATTGTGCAATGATTTCTTAGCTCTCCCGTCCTCCTCTTTCGATCAACAACAATGCGATAGATACGTGTAAATGTACAACAATCTAGCCAAGATAAATGCACAAGAAACCTGTCATTTATTTGTCTATCCTATCCTATCGTCCCATTACAGAAGAAATCGAGACTTTTTGGCATCCACAGAATTTGGGTGAAATTGTTGGTAATTTACATTATTTTGGCTTGGGTTCTGGCTGTTTTTTTTTTTTTTTTCATCCTCTTCGTCGTCGGCTGCTATGTGGCGGCGTTGGACATATTCAGTGCCTTTTAATGTTCCGGTTGTTGTTTCCTTTTCAGCTTGTTGTCATTACATCTTGAGATCTATGCTGGGGCAATTCGACGATGTTGACGATGATGGCAGCAGCAGTCGAATGAAAAAGAAACCCGTTTTGCAAAGAGTGCCACTTTTCGTTCGAGTTGTTGCTGGCCTTTTTGGTGGGAGAGGTACTTAACATTTTGGCCAAGGTGTCAAATTCCAAATATGATGCAAAAATAAATGATAAAATCAATATAATTGTTTAGTGTAGGAGTTAGCATTACAAAAATGGGATTTTTGATTTTTTCGAAGAAGTGAAGAATGATTTTGAACATATTCTTGATTGGGAACAACTAATCATAATGAATGAAAGAGATTTAAAATGTCTCCTTAGGATTTTTTTAAATATATAATTGAAAAGGTATCGTTTTAATTTTCTCGAATAAAATAGTATTTGACCTCAGCAGCCTTCCACAAAAAGACCCCTCACCCTATTGTAAATTCATAATCTAATCTATTTTTTCACAAAGAAATTAACCTTTATAATTAAGTATAAATTTATAGCATAATTTTTAATATTAATGTTGAATTTTTTTTCTTTATTTTTGTTTCAGTATCTGCAGCTTATGTTTCCAGCGCGGCAGCTGCTGTCGAGGCTGGCAGTGGAGGAGGTCGCCAGCGACATGCTCCACTCTACGGTCGTTTTGTTGGTGAAGAAGAGCTTCCTGCAACACATCGCGAGGTTATGCATCATGTAAGTATCATTAAACACTTGGATATGTCTGATACTCCATGAATACATATTGTGTTTCGCAAACTATGTACTCTGGATCTCGGGGACCTCTTCCTTCAGGGTCAAAGACCTAGTTATACTGACACCCCAAAACAATAACAGTTTCAGTATTATGTGCATACTTTCTAAAATAAAAAAAGTCATAGAGCAGGGCCTAAATAAATCAGTTCCAGGAGAAAGAAAGTTTTTATGCGATCAGGAGCCATGTTTTGTCGAGATCAAGCCCCATTGATGACCATGCAATAGAGAGAAACAGTTCAGTATGACGAAAAATGGCAGGAACGAACAGCTGACGCTAATGACAATATAGGACAAACTGGAACCGCAAATGGTCGCGACGGTCTGATGAACAACTTGACCTTATTACGATGCTAACCAAAAGATAAAAGATTGACAGAATATACAGTTTTAACTCCAGTAAAATGCTAGCCAATGAGACAGAAGCTATCAGAGGTCAGATTTGTTGTTTTCACTCGCGAACGGGATTGCTCAAAAGTACGCGAGAGATCGTGATTTACTCCTGTTCGAAACATTATAGAGGGAACCAAAAGCAGAATATACAACAACAGTGTATTATGCTTTGTTTGAAGGTTTCATTTGCTTGTGTGGGCTGAGAAAATACACATACCTACAAATAGAACGGTATGACAAAAACTAGAGTAGAATCTGTTGGTTTCCGAGTGAATTTTACTTCCCATCAAAAATGAGGAAAGCATACTCGCTCCTATTCGAGTGACATAGAAAATAGAGTGTGATCGATTTTTTCTACTCCCAAGAGTGTTTCAGCTCGTGTAGAGAGTGAAACTCGGGCGTAGATCTAAAAGCTATAAAGTAGAGATTAGTAGGAACATACACCATATGCCTCAACAAGAACTCTTGGTGGAATAGGGTAAAGATATATATCTCGTAAAACTATGAGAAGGTTAAAGAGCCGAAAATTCACGCCTACATAAAGGAAAAGTAATTAAGTCGAAGTTGCAGAGCGATGTGGGAAAATGCATCACTAATGGGGACAACATGGCTTAATTTAAATTAACTAGAAAAGCGTCTCCGGAGAAATGCTCTCTGTTAAGAGAACAGGTGCGTCGGAGAAGGCACACATCTCTTGCAATTAGGCAATCGACTCTCAGTCAGTCCTTCTACAGGGTTGCCCATATTCAACGGACCCATCTGGCAACGCCATAACTTTTGACAGAGATGTCACATCGCTTAATGACATACCGCGTTTGAAGCGTCAATCCAAGCAGATTTTGTGAAAACTCAATGTGCTTTTAAAACATTAAAAAATGTGAGAAGTGCGCATTCTAAAAACATCATTGAGCGTTTATACGAAACATTTTCGACTGGTAAGGTAAGGCGATCGGCCGAGAATATCGCTAATGTACGAGCCAGTGTTGAGAGGTCCCCAAGAACATCCCAAAAGCGCCGTTCTCAGCAGTTGGGCATGGCTCGGACCACTTTACAACGGATTATTCGCATTGATTTGCATTTGTTCCCGTACAAAATTCAATTGACGCAAAGAATGTTGCCTGCGGACAAGCCTCGTCGATTGGAATGGGCCCAAAGGTCCGTCGAATATGGGCAACCCATATATACGCCCTTCGCAGGCTTCTTTTGACAAGATGGGCGGTTTAATACAAATATTAACATTAACGGCATCCATAAACACCATGGATGGACCTTACCGTTTCCTAGTCCAGGGAAAAGGTACAATTTCCTTGCACAACATTTAATGATCTTGGCGAACTATGAGAAGTGACTGAAAGTTTGGGTTCCGTATCGAGAAGTCGCAATGCTAAAGTTTTAGAATCCTGGTTTACATCCGGGAGGTTAGGCCATATTAAGTTCAACAAACTGCAATGAGAATGGAGGCCTCGATATTATTAAGAATGGTCGTAGACACTTTCCGGTTAGGGGAAAGCAAAATTTCGTGTTTAGATGGACTCGACTCCGTTGACATCCTACTCTGACATTTTCAAATATTATTCCTATATTTTTGATTTTATCTATCATCATCGTCCTCATGACGAGACCTTCATATATTTTATTTTATATATCTATAACATAAACTAAACATATTTTCTCTTTCTTCTCTTTTTTTTTTGTTTACCACCCAACCAACCAACAGCGATCTAGTCCAACGTCTTCGTCAGAGGTGCGCGCCATGCAAGCACGAATTCCAACACATTTTCGTGATCCCGCAACGGCGCCGTTACGAAAATTAAGTGTGGATTTAATAAAGACCTACAAACATATAAATGAGGTAAGTACCAGCAACCACGACAAAGAAACAACAAAACTGACGCCGCTTGGGCGCAAGACCGTATCCAAGAATAGACCGGCTAACGGGCAGACAGACCACCAAGACCCGAACAGACGCGGATGGACGGATGGCAGCAGCAGATAGATGGCCAGTAAGAACATTGGCCAGAATTGCTGTGTGACACAATAACAATAGCAACAACAAGAACAATTTCAAGAAATTATTGCCTCCAATCATTGTTGTGTGACTGTCATCCATCCGTCTGTCCATCCGTCCGTCCGTCCATCGAATCGCACCGAACACCGAGACAAACAACAAAAGTCTTCCGCTTAAAATTTGCTGACATTGTTGTTTGAAAATCATTCGCACTGCTGGCTGGCATTCGTTTGAACTGTGACGGCGGCTAATCAGAATTTCAAATGGGGAAAAAATTCTGCAGTTTTTTTTGTTTTCATTATTTTCTATAGATTTTTTTTGCCTCTTCATGGTCTTTGTTTGCCATACCTCGCTTGGTATGTTGCCCCATTTGTGGGTCAAGGTTATTTCTAAACTGACTGACTGATGGATTGACGGATGGATGGATAGATGGACGGATATTGATGTGGGTCTGTCGTCTATGCTTGTGTCATTTGTATTTTTATTGTATTCGTGAAACGTAACTACACACTATGTCCAAACATACATATCTATGCGACTGTTGGTGGCCATAAAAAATGGGAAAGTACATATTCAGGCTTTCACACTGGGCTGGGTGGGGTTTTTCGAAAAGTTCTCCAAACATCAATTCCATGGTCTAAAAAAAATATCTACGAAAATGTTTGGCAAAATTTAAAAATTTACAGTAAATGTGAGTGTTCAACATATTCTTAATCCAATTGTTGCGATTTTTTAAACCCTCTGGATAGGTTTTAATTCCAAGAAAAATGAATACTCCTCGAATTCCATTGAAGGACTCAAAGGCCAAGCACACTCTTCAATATTTTGATAATGGCAGTGTTGGAGTCGTTGAAAGGAGCGATGACATTCTAAGGTATCTGATGGTATCATCCGACAAATGACATTTTTCGTTTAATTTTGGTAATTCCGGTCAAAGTCTTATCGCCGCCGCTTAGTTTTAGTTATTTTAAAATTCTGGCGATATTTTGTAAAAACCGGCCACTTTGAAAATAACGAAATAATTGCTACTATTTTGACTTGACATCTTTTTTCCCAACATCTATTGCTGGAGTCACAGGCGCTAAGCATTGTTCTGCTAGCTAGCACACAGTTAACCAGCCCTCTATCCATCCACCCATCCCCCCAATCATATGGCAAATTGGTACGGAACAACCATCCCAGCCGTCATCTAACTTTATTCAGTCTCGACTTCTCTTCTGTAAACACAGCCAACATGATGTATCATGTCCCGAAAAACGGCACAACCTCGCAAAGTTGGGAGTAAAAGTACAACTAGAATATTTCTATTAATTTGCTCTTGCCATGCTCAAGTCTACGCCACAATGTTCGGCTGGTCATTCGGCGTTAACAACAAGAGGATGTGTGGGCCATCGACAACAACAGCCTTCTCCAAAAACAATAAAAGGTTATTTTACTGCGAACGTCGAATCACCCTTTTTGCCAATCGATGCAGAGGCAGACAACGAACCAGACGGACAGACAGAGACGACACATTATTTTTGCCGGCTATTGATGATATTAAAGTTCCGCACGATGTTCGAAATGCAATGCCGCCATGCCATCCTGGCTATGGCTAGCTGGCTGGCATTGAGGCAACTTTTCGGAATATTTATCCGCATTAAAACCAAAACCCTATTGATGACAAACACCCAGAGAGAAGCCTGAAAAACTTTTGCTCGATGTGTTGTGGCTGACTCTAGCTGGCTGGTTGGCCAGCTGCTATAAAGGTAGAGAAAAGTTTAACGTTTACAGAGCAGCCAACGGCACAGAGAGAGAGAGATACACGGCAAACATAGATTCCACACGGGTCGCTGGTCGCTCTGTGTATCTGTTAGCAGCTCGCTCTTCTGCACTGGAACACACTGTTTGTGTGCGTATGGCATGTAAAGTTTCTGTGCGGTGGAGATGTGGACGGCAACGGGCTCGTCAACGTTGCGCCGGCAGCGTTTGGCATACACCCATTTTTAAGCGTTTGCTGAGCAACTTCTTTGCAGACTTTTAGGCGCAACTCATTTTGGGGCCAAGCAACTCTTATACTGTCGCTGTATACATACCTAGAGGAACATGCATGGTCGGTCAACATTGTCTCGGCAATGGCATTTGTATATATTTTTTGTTTCTTTATTCTTGGAGGAAACATTAATGAAAAAGCGTTTTCCGGACAGCTAATTAATCTCTTAACTTTATTTCATGGTTGTTAACAAAGAAATAATCATTTTTCAAGGCAGCCATTGCATTACACTGCTGTTGCTGTTGTTGTGTTTATTGGCGCTATTTCTTTCAGCTGTACACTCTCCCTCTCTATACCGAATGTTTGCGTCAGTAATAATTTTCTCTGCAACTCTGTCTGGGGCCTTGTTATGCCCGGTCTCTGCTGCGCTGCAGCCGACACCTTCTGTCGCTGCCGCTGCCAATGTCTGTTGCTGCTACTTTGGTCTGTGGCGGGGCATTGTTGTTGCTGCAGCTGCTGTTGTTGCTTTTCCTGTAGTTGTTTTTGTGCTTATACATCTTCTTTCTGTACAGCAGAATTCTAAATGTTCCACGGGTTAGCAACAACTTTTTTGCAATTTTTGATTTTTCATTGCATACTTCTATGGGTTGAGATGATGGATGGAAGGAAGGAAGGAAGGGAAGGAGGGATGTAGGTAGAGCGTGTGTGGAGAAGGGACGATGCAAGCTGAAAAGAGGAGTAGTTGGGAGGGTGGCCACATTCGTTTTTTTTTTTTTTTTTCATTTCGAAAACAGGGAATGAGGGAGCCGGCTATGAAACTTAACACAACAAGCACACGGCGGACGATTCGTTTACTGGCTAAAGGACTGAATGGATGGATGTCTGGCTGGCTGGCTGGCAGTTCGGTATGACTGTCTGTATCGAAAGTGAGGGGGATATGAGAGAGGTATGGGTGGAATTGTATATCTGTTCGACGAGCCAGCAATGTTTATGTCCGCTTTTTATTCTGACCATTTCGTAGCTATGTGTTGGCTGGCCGTACAGCTAAGAAGGGAGTCGGTTAGACAGACCGCCATGCAACATTTTGTCATGTTTGCATTATATTTGCCTTGTTCGGGGTTTGTATTGTTGTCGGACGCCGTTATTTCTTCACTTCTCCATGTGTTTCCTTGTTTTGTATACAGTTGTTGGATTTGTTCTCTTTTTTCTGATTCTCGGTTCTTGTAGCCGTTTGGTTTGTTATTCCCTTGCCAGGCAGGCAGGCAGCCAGCCAGCCAACCCATCATCGACTCATGGCCAACAGACACATGCGCTTTTGGTAATGTTTACATTTCGTAGACTACCACCACCGTGTCACCGCCACCTTTTTTTAAGTGAGCGCCACATTAACCACCATCTCTGCCCCCTCCAAACGTCCTTATTCTGAATACGTTGGTAGATGTCCACATTTTATAGAGATTCTCCACGCTGTATGTTTCTGCTGTGGTCGGCTTCTATGCTTGCATATAACAACGGATATGGGAGAGCAATATTGTATATGGATCTTTAAGTTTTTGACAAATATCGATTTGGACAAAACTCTTGATTTCTTTGTTGCTAATAATTAAAAAATGATTGGACCGAACCTTCAAATAGCCTCCGCAATGAGAAAAAGAAAATCTTTTAAAATAATAGTGTAAAATTCGATATTTATTTGTTGTTAATCAATATCCGAAAAAAGAAACGAAGCCATATTAGAGCGAACTGCATTTAAAACTTCAAATCCGAGTAAAATCGGTAGGAGAAGGTCAGGAGGTACTTTTATATGGTGGCTATACCACAACACTGATTCATTTTGGGTTTTTTTGGTAAAGGGTTGAATACCAATTACAACCTACAAGAACCAAACTTCAGAAAAGTCGCCTAAACATGTGGTGAGAGATTCAAAATGGTTCAATTACGAACCTGTGTTAAAGATTATAGACCTCTATACCAATTCCTTTGAATCTAACGGACAGTCTGATCAAGAAAGTATATACTTTTTAGGTCCCAACCAAGGCCTATTTAATAAGGTCACACATGAGGCGAATTCAGGCCTTTAGCCTACTCTTGCTGTCAAAAGTTTGTCTGCTTATAAATTGGTCAGTGATCTTTTTCTGTTTCTCTAAGAATAAGGCCTTTAGTGTTGGCCGTTTCATTCAATTTTAAATATTTATAATTTCTTTCAATAATAAAATAAACAAATTTCCTTTCATGACCAATTCCATGTAAAGTCTGTCAAAATTGTTTATTAAATGTTTATTTTCCTCCTAATATTAATTTTTGCGTTATGGTCTTTGTAAAAGCTCTTGTAATCTTGTAAAAAAAATAAAAATGTCCCTACGTGTTTATGAGTATTCTCGATTAGATGGCTCATTGGATTGTTATCATCTTTCATGAATCACCTTCCTTTTTGCAGGTTTACTACGCTAAAAAGAAACGACGTGCCCAACAGACACAAGGTGAAGACGATTCCTCAAACAAAAAGGAACGCAAGTTATATAACGACGGTTATGACGACGATAATCACGATTATATAATAAAGCATGGTGAAAAATTCTTGGATCGCTATGAAATCGATTCATTGATTGGTGAGTTTTTGGATTGCAAATTGATTGGGGAAAAATAATGGAACATTTCAACTCTTTTTGTATTCTAGGCAAGGGTAGTTTTGGACAAGTGGTCAAGGCGTACGATCACGAAGAGCAAGGTTATGTAGCAATAAAAATAATTAAAAACAAAAAACCGTTCCTAAATCAGGCACAAATTGAGGTTAAACTATTGGAAATGATGAACCGGGCAGATGCAGAAAACAAATATTATATCGGTAAGTTTGGTGGTTGGAAAACGTAATGCTATTGAGTGTCGAATTGTCGTCAACCATTCTACCACTTTTCATGGAAAATTCATTTGATTAACATTTGTTTCTTTCTTCCGCCTCTCTTTGCAGTTAAACTCAAAAGGCATTTTATGTGGCGCAATCATTTATGTTTAGTATTTGAATTATTATCCTATAATTTGTACGATTTATTACGTAATACAAATTTTCGTGGCGTATCGTTGAATCTAACGCGAAAATTTGCTCAACAGCTATGCACTGCTTTGCTCTTCTTGAGTACTCCCGAACTGAATATAATCCACTGTGATCTAAAACCCGAGAATATATTACTTTGTAATCCCAAGCGATCAGCCATTAAAATCGTTGACTTTGGTAGCTCATGTCAGCTGGGGCAGAGGGTAAGTCGAAGTGGTTCTCGTCTTAATTGGTATCTGGCAATAATAATGTTCGGTCTTCTTTTCCCTCCACAGATATATCAATATATACAATCTCGTTTCTATCGTTCGCCGGAAGTCTTACTGGGCATACCTTATGATTTGGCCATTGATATGTGGTCTTTGGGTTGTATTTTGGTGGAAATGCATACAGGCGAGCCGTTGTTCTCCGGCTGCAATGAAGTCGATCAAATGAATAAAATCGTCGAAGTGTTGGGCATGCCACCCAAATATTTGTTGGATCAAGCGCACAAGACTCGTAAATTCTTCGACAAGGTCGTCTCCGACGGTTCATATGTATTGAAGAAAAGTCAGAATGGTCGAAAATACAAACCGCCTGGGTCTCGAAAGTTGCACGATATATTGGGCGTTGAAACGGGTGGACCTGGCGGCCGGCGTATGGATGAACCTGGACATTCGGTGGCGGATTATCTGAAATTCAAAGACTTAATACTGCGAATGTTGGACTTTGATCCGAAAACACGCGTAACACCCTACTATGCTCTGCAGCATAATTTCTTTAAGCGTACCTCAGATGAGAGTACCAACACCGGTGCTGGTGCAGTACAACCTGGTAGTATAGCAATATCTTCGCCTTCCGTTAGTTCAACGTCGTCATCAACGGCCGCATTGGTGCCTGGACAAATGTTATCGGCCAGTGCGGTGCAACATTCAGAGCAACAAAGTCACGGTAAGTTATTCGAAACGGTTGTCGATTATCTTCCAAGTAGTAGTTAATTAAGAGATATCTTTTACAATCTTCATTTAATTTGTTAACTTTGTGCGGAATATTTTAATTTGAACAATTTTTTGTTTTATGGAAGCCACTTTTTTAGTCAAAGGCGTTAAATGAACACCTTAACATTTTATATTTTGGGTTTATTTGGGAAAACTTTCAGGGGATTTCCAAGTTGATTTTAAAAGTCCCGTTTAAATTATAAAGGCCATGTAATTGCAATTACGTAAGCTTTTGAAAAGATTTTTTCGTTTGAATTAAATTTGGTTCTTTCATTTTTTTTTTTTTTTTTTTTTTGAGTTATGTTATCGATTTTGGTAAAAAAAAAATTGTTTCTGGTTGGACTTATTATTTGTCGTTTGTTCAAGTTCTTTTTAGAGACTCTGCAAATTATTTCTCAGAAATGGAGTTGTATTGTTTTAATTCGAAACGATGATGATTTGCATGTTCAAAATATTGTTATTGGATAAACAATTTTAATTTTTTTAACTTATTTTTTATGGTAGTCAAAAACACGTTCCACTTTACACACTCCATGCTTAAGTTTGATTTAATCCATAATTGGAACATAACGATAAACTGGAATTGTACACTTTTGACAATAATAAACAATACTAGTTTAGAATTAAATCAATGTAAATTTTAAGTTTTTTTTTTATGTTGTTTTCAATAGCTGTGCAATATAATTTATTATCGAAATCTAACCAATAGTATTCGCAATGCAAATTACAAATTATTATTATTTTTATATTTTCTTAAGTTTATACACAAAAATATGTTGTGGTATTTTTACTCAATATGAAAATTCAGTTGGTATAATGCTATATAATGTTATGTATCTTTCTTCTCTTTCTTCTCCCTATTTTATAAAAACATATATTTGTACTCTTTAATTTGACAATATATTTGTATGAATGTAAAATTTAAATGTGCTCGATTTATATGGCAATTTTAACCAAAACATGGATCCAACATTGACAGATGATCGACGATGACCTGGAATGATGTTTAGCAGAGACAACAATCAACATCCAACTTCATCAAAGGACAACATCATTCAACATTTACATCAATCAACAAACCCGAAATCAACATCTACATCAACATCATCATCCAATACATCCATAGCTTCCTCAGGTTCTAACACGGCTACCATGAATATAAATAGGGTAACAGCAACATCAACATCAAGTTCGACAACCATAAACACTACAAACACCACAGCTGGACAACAGCATCAATCAACACATAATTTAATTTAAATGGATTCGAGTTTGAAAATTTTTGCCCAAAAATTCGCAAAGAACACAAACAGAAAAAAATCTCTGTACATACAAACCTTTTGTTGTAAATTTTCCCCCTCTTTTCCCCATTGATTTCCGAACATAACTAATATGAACCATTGAATTGGGCTCTTACTTTTCCCGTTTTGTGGTTAAATTCATTTTTCATCAATCTAATTAAAAGTAAGCAAACAAAAAAAAGAATACGTATGCATCAAACGTAACCTGTGGTAAATAAATAGCATATTATTTAATTTAAACTTTAATTTAGTTCTGTATTTAATTTACTACAATAAGCTGTATTTAATAATTTATTTTAAGTTAGAAAATTTTAGGTTACATAAAGAAATTTAGTTTCAACTAAGAGAAAGTCTGAAAGAAACAGGAACAATTTAATAAATGTGGTGGATGGGTGGGGAAATGTCTAATGAATATTGAAAAAAAAAACACCTTGTGTAATGGCTTGAGATTCTTAAATAAACACACAAAATTCCAAATACAGGCTGAGATAAAAAAACAGTACATTTTTTCCAATTTTATTGAATTAAAGCAAAAAATGTCGAAAATAGCATCAAATTTTAGAATAAGTTTAGATTTGTTCGAATTAGTCACCTTTGGCACGAATTATGGCCTTCAAATGGCCATTAAAACCGTCACACGCTGCCCGAATGTTGCTCTGCGGTATTTTGACCCATTCCCGGCGAAGAACTTGCTTGAGGTGATCGACAATTGCTTTCCAAAACACTCCAGACACGATGGCTTTACCCCGAGCTCATTTTTGAATATTTGCCGAATGGAATATTGCGATTTGTTCAGCTCACGAGCCATTTTTCAGCACTGCGAAGCGGGTTTCGATCAGTCGCTTCTTTACTTTTCAAACCTTTTCTGCTAATGTTGCTGTTTTCTTCCGTCCACTTCCTTGACGTCGGGCTACGCTACCAGTATCACGGTAACGAGCAATGGTACGAGACACAAAAGATTTATTCACATTTGAATACTGGATAGCCACTTGCGGGTTTCCAGCCAAATATAAAGAAATCACACTATCACGCTTGAATACTATCACGAATAACTTTTTTCTGGAAAATTCTCACCAAAATGCTTTTGTACGCTTGTAAACAATATAATGAGCTGTCACTGGAATAATTTTAAGGACTTTAAATATTAGTCTGTTTATCTTTCGATAGCCTCTATTTCAATGTTTTAGACATTTCCCCCTTTTTTGACGTTCTTTTTAATTCTTCAAATTCATTTATAATTGTTCTTTTCCATTCAAACTCTCTCACAATGTGGTGTATAAAAGTTTAGGTTTTTCTCTTTGTTTTAAGCGTATTTATATTTTAAATATAAAATAAATATTTATATAAATTGAATATGATATTTAGAAATGCATTGCTATTAAATTTATGTTATTTTTCCTACTTAATAACAACAAAAACAACAAAACGACTTTAAGTGACTGCCATAATTTTAAAACTAATAACAAAAAATACAAAAAAGAAGAAACAAAAACAAACTCAATACATTTCTATTTAATTACTAAATAACAACAAGGAAATTATATTTTTTATTTCAATCCATAAAAAATATGAAACTGTATTTAAACAAAAAAAAAAATCCAATAAATTCTTCTTGAGAATTAAAACAACAGCAGCAATCTATACAAACGGATAACAAGGATTAGTTGGTTCAACATTGTCGTAATCGAAATTTAAAAATAACTAAATAATAAAACAAAACTGCGCAGCAAAGGAAAATAAAACATGAAACGTAGTAATAAATGCAAAATTAAAACTTATAGTTTTAGTAAATCCAGCAAAAGCAAAGAACAAAACCAACCCAAACCAAACCAAAACTTTAGGACATTTTCAAAAACACAAAAATAACAATTGAAACATAATTCCGGCGTTAAACAACTATACGATTACAACAAAAAGCAAAAAAAGAAATTAAAACATTTTTGGCTACCAATGAAGAGAACTATTACAATTTATATAAATGAACACGAAGATGAAGAAATTACTATTAGATTTGGTTTAGAAATATAAGTCTCAACATAGCTCTCCTAAAGAGCAGATGCGTTGAGAAGGGACTCTAAAGAGAGATCCACAAAGAAAAATAACAAAAACAACATACATTTATACCAGCATATTCTACAACAATAAGAAAGAAATCCTTCAAAAGAAAAAAAATAATAAATTATAAAAAACAGAAATTGAATATCGTTTGGTTTTTATTTCATTTTGGAAGACATAATTTCTTCTCTCTAAATTACTCCCTCTATATCTCCCCAAAATCCTTCTATCCAGAAAAAGAATAACAACTCTATACTAAAACAAAAACACATATTTTTGGCATCGAACTATTACTATACAAAAAAAGAAAAGAAATAAATAAAAAGAGAAAAATATAAAAATAATAAAAAGTATATTATGGAAATAAAAATGAAACAGTACTAAAAAACAAAAATAATACAAACAAATATTTTACTACATACCTACTTTTTGGACTCTATGGCAATGTTTATCCAATTAATCAAACCATATTTGTAACTAAAACATTAAGACAAACACACTCACCATAGGCTTTATTTAAAAGAGAAAAAAAGAATAAATTCAAACTAAATAGAAAAACAAAAAAAGTGATTTTCGTTAATACAAATTTAGACATCTGATTTTATTAGGAACCGTTTTTTATGACTGTTATGACTTGCATACTTTCCAAATTTTAAAACTACTTCTGTTCTGGTTGGAAACTTCAGCCTTTTCGACACTGATTTGAAATAAAAACAAATTTATATTGGATTATAGCCATAGCTTTGCTCGATTTTCTTCAATCTATAATTTGGTTTGATTTGTCTCAAATTCCAAATAATTTCCCTCTTCTTGTTCTGATTTTGGTAACAGTTATATAAAGCATTGTTCCAGTGATTTCTTTTTTAATTTTCCGATTTGTTTTCATGTACAAAAAAGAGTTTCGCAAAGTTATAAAACATAACATGATTCTGAAAGAAATTAAAAAAATATTGAAACAAGTTTATAGTTTATAGAGCGATGGAGTAAAGGACAAATATTTATATGAAAAAATATGCATTTATTAGGTGACTTTAACCACCATAGAGTTCATTATTTGCAGAGTAACAATGAAAACCCAAACAAACCAAAAAACAAAAACATATTTAAAAGATGAATATTTATACAATTTAAAAAGAGAATATGGCTGGAGAATTTTCGAGGTTTTAAAATAAGTGAATTCAAACAATTATAACCAAGTCTCCTGGAAAGCTGTTATGGTTTTGTTTGTTATTCACTTACTTGTGAAGTTATTCTCTTCAGACTTTATAATTAAAGGTAACAAATGCTGTAAAAAATAAATGAACATGATGGAAGTAAAAAAGAAAACAAACTTAGCATTTTCCATAGAATTAACAAAATAAATTCTCCATACACTTGTAAAAAATACCACAAACATCTAACTTCCCTCCCCCCGCCACCCTTCCCCCCAACTTCCCATTCCCCCCTCATACCAAAACAAACTTGATTAGCAATCGTATACAGAATAAACATTTAATACTAGAATACAAAGTAAAAAAAGAAAGGCGAAATGAAAAAAAAAGAAACATTAGAATATAAACATAATATAATTAGGCAACGGTAAAAACAAATCATAGTTCATAAAATAAAAATTAAACAAATAAGCAGCAAGAAACAAGCGTAATATTTAATATTAACAACAAATAAAAAGTGAAAATACAACAGAAAAACCAACAGAATGAATGTTCAAAAAATAAGCGTGTGTGTTGTTGTAACATATTGAAATATTATTAATGAAAAAAAAAAAAAAACAAAGGACAAAAAGCAAATACATAAAATTACCTATAATAATAATAATAGCATACTTTTAGACAACAGAAGGAAACCCAAAAAGAGAATACATTCCAATAAGGTCATGCTAGCACTAACAACCAAACAACAACAACAACAACTCATGAAAACAAAATTAAAATGGCATATATTTTTTCACTAAACTCAACTAGGTTTACTTTCGGTTCTGTTCACAATTAACCGGTTTTAGTTTGCATTAATTTAAGTATGTCAAAATGTTCTTTTCCCATGGGAATGCATAATTTGAATTGGATTAAAAAACCTAATGAATTGGAATTCTTTCTTTTACTTAAGAAATTATTTATTTTCTAAAGGATCTTTTAAAATAATTTCTTAAAATTTTGAATAGAAGGGTGTTGAAGATAATTATTTTGATCAGAAAGAATTATTACCGCATTTTTTGTTGTCTTTGACTAAAGGTCTCTCTCTCTCTCACTCTTTGATTTATCAGTCTTAACATTTATTTATTTTTTAGTTTCTTTTAATTTTTTAAGCTAAAGTAAAGTATAAAAGAAAGACGAAACAGAATGATTATAAGAAGTAAACAAAATGTTATACAACTTTAAGCCATTTATTATTAAGTAATATAATAAAAAGTGAAAAAAAAAAAAACAAAAAAAAAAAACGTCACCATAAAAACATCAATACATAAAACAAAATACGAAATTATAAAAAATAATAACAAGACATTGATAATATAACAGAATTAATATTAATTAAACACACACACACACAAACAAACATATTTCATTTAACTTTAAGTTAATATTTCATAACTATTATTAATACATACAACAATAACTGAAGAATGAGAACAACAAACGCAAATAATACATAATAATAAACCAATACCAGTATAATAATAACAAAAACAACAAATTAATAATTATATGAAGGAAAATGAAACAAAACAGAAAAAAAGAATAAAAAACTTAATAAAAATTTATGATATAATCAACAAAAAAGAAAAAAAAAGTCTGCTTTGTGGCGAACAATTGTGTTTCTTTTTCGAGGATATTTCCATTCTTCAATTAAGGGATGGTGTGTCCAAATTCATGGTATTGCCTGTTTCTTATATCTGCAAAGAGAAATTAAGCTGCCGGCTAAGTCACTATTCGGTCTGATGTTTTAAAATAAAACTATTTTCAATGCAAATATCTAATTTGGGGTCATTTTTAAAATATAGGCAAATAACCTAAAACAAAGAAATGCAGAATATTTTCTCTTTCGAATTAACTATACCTCTACTAACACACTTTTTTTGTAAAATGGTCTTTTCATAATTTTTTTCTATTCCCTTTTTTTATAATAGGCCTTCTCATACACCCGTCTGCCCAGCAGCCAAACAGCTTAGGTGGCGGCGGCGGAAATTTTATGCGCTCACGGGCCATCTGTGGTGGTAGTGGAGGCAGCAGCGGTGGTGGCCCCCCGAGTTTTGACCAAAGTAGTCTCATGATGAAGTCCCTCTATGAACAACAACAACAGCAGCAACAACAGCAACTTTTGGCCGCTCAGCAGTCGTTGCAAGGCCTACTTTCGCCGGGCAACAGCAGTAGTTGTAGTAGTACCACACAAAACAATAGTCACCATCAACAATATCCCCTGGCCATGGACTGTGACCCACCACTGTCGACTCAACAAATGCCACCACCACCGCCGCCCCAACAGCAAATGCGTTTTGGTCTTGGCTCATCGTCGTTGCAGGGTGGCGGCGTAACATCTACTACATCTGGACCCGTTGGTGGCTCCTCATCGTCGTCTTCTTCGGGCGGCTCAGCGGGGTCGGCCAGTTCACGTTTACGTCAAAATTCAGGCAGCAGTGGCGGATCGAACAGTGTGTTCGCCAAGCAACATCCGCAACAATCAATGGTACACTCATCGAGCCAACAGCCGCCACCACTGCCACCACAAGGTGTAACACATCATCACAATTATGCACCCGCATCATTGCCCTTAGATCTGGTACATCATCCGCTTTCGGCGGCTGCCTCGCATTTAATGATGACCGATTCAAGTGTTATAACAGCCTCTGCATCAGCGACCGGACCTGCCTACTCGTCTTGGCCCAGTTCAGGGCCCAACAGTCATGCTTTTGGCATGCCACCCCCGCCGCAACCGATTCAATCGAGTATGGTTGTAGGGGACATGGTGCCGCCACCAATACCGGCCCATCACTTGCAGCAGCACCATCAAATGCAACAACTACAACATTCACAGAGACGCAATGACTCGCAAGGACGTCTACCAGCCGTCAGTGGGACGAGTAGTAGTTCGAATTCGAATAGTGTAGGTCCGGGCGGTGGCAGCAGTGCGACCGGTGGTAGTGGTGGTGGCAGTGGTTCATCGGCCAGTGGGGACGCTTCCTCGCCAATGGTAGGCGTTTGTGTTCAACAAAGTCCTGTGGTTATTCACTAGTTCCATGGAATAAACTGCGTAACTGACAATGTAGAATGTGTCAAGCATTGTCGTTGCCCAGCCCAGCCCAGCATCCCCTTCCCAATTCCTCTCATTAAGTTTCGTTTCGTCGAGAAAACACAAATGTATATTTTCTCCTATTTCATTTCCATAACAAAATAATGACCTCCGCCACGATCGTTTGCTCTTTTTATATTTAATTTAAATATATACAAACACATATACATACATATTTTATTTGTAATAATTATAATTATTGTTAAATATATATTTGTATTTAATTTAAAATACTGCATAATTTTATCAGTTTCGTGAATCGAATAAAAATAACGCAGTGCTAAAGCGAATGCAAGCAAGGGACCATGGCAAGGGTAGGAAGGCGGGGCCAGTTCACACACTTTTAGGAATGACGTGCTTATGAATGTTATATTTTTACCGATTAAGATGCCTTAGAAGAACTGAGGTCGAATGTAAATTTAAGCAAGCGCGTATATACAATTGTTAATTTTTTATATAATATTTTATGTAATTTCATAACCAAAAGGCAATAAAAATTGCATCGCCTATTGTCCACTGAAAACACACAGAAATTTCCTAGCCTTACTGTGTGAAATTGTATTCGAAAGAAATCATAAATGGCCTCCATCCATTAAAGCCTACAATGCGACTTGATGAGTAGAGCTCTTGGCACCGTGTCATTTTTATAATATTCATATACATAAAGCAGTATATAATAATATGCATATATATGTAGCTATATACATAAAATAACTGTTGAAAGATATCATTATATTTTATGTAAATCAAGCAGCTGCTTTTAAATAAAAAATACAACAAAAAACTACTCAAACTATCTATGAATAAACAAATAAAAAAACAGCTCCAATATTCTAAATCACAACCAATTAATTTCCATCAATTTGCTTTTTTCGCATCCGTCCATTTAAGATACTATATATAATCCATGCCCTTTTTCAATAGAAATAATTGAGATATGTCTCCTTTTTATTTTATAAAAGCAGTTGCTGAACTTTAAATCATAATGACTATTATTTGTTTCGATAAAGTGCTACTTTAATATTAGCAAATAATATATTACATAAAGAATACGAACGTTTTATTTGTTAAGATTTTAATTTAAATATTTAGTTGAAAAAGAATTAAACAAACGAAAACACGTCAAATAAAAAGGACTCAATAGTTTACATTTCATTTGAAAATAGTACACAGAAGAAAACCCATCAAGCTCACACTATACACACATACATACGCATACATACTGACGACGACTCCCACATCAGCTCATATACAAAAACAATAGTTGAATTTAATTTTATTTTTCATAATTTATTTAATTTTTAGTTCAATTTTTGTACACATTTTTCCTCGCAAGCCTTAAAAAGCAAAAAACAAATATTTAAAACTATGTAAATGAAAGCAACAATCTGCCTATTTTATTAAAAACAAAACTGTCACTCCACCCGTTCTACTATTTTTAGTTTTAATTTTATAATAAAGAAAGAAGAAATTAAGTATAGCGTTAAAACTTAAAATTGTATTTATAATTTTGACTTTAAAATTAAAAATAAATTTAAAATCGATTAAAATCCAACAAAAATGTTTGGCATTTGGACCAGCAATTGTTATGTTGAAAATGTATAGGTGGCCATATCAATGAAGTTTCCTTTGGTAAGTATTTAGCCTTGGTGGTAACTGCAATATGTAACACCGCTTCTATGTAAATATTTAATTTTAAATACTATTCGTACCTTTTGCTATTTTACATATTTTATACAACAATCCAATAAATTATACACCTTTTTTGAGATAAATAAATGTTCCCTTTATTAATTTTTTTATAGTTTTTACAACGGAAAATCCACAGCAATAATAAAAATATATTTTACAAATTATTCTTGTAAATATAGTAAAACACTCGAACGAATTTTATTTAACCTATCAATAAGTTCCACTACAGTATAAGTACGGCACATGGAATTGACATGCCGCCACCTTAGAACATAACTTGGGCACGGTAATGCTTTTGCAGTTTATTAGCACGAACACCAAGTTTCATTTGCCATTTAGCATGAACTCGCTTCATCAAATGAATATCATGAGCCTTGCGAGCTGCCAACTTCTGTTCGGTTTTGGTCCAGCCCAAGGACCGATAGGTGCTCAGGACGTGATGTAATTTACTTGATTTCTGTGGAACCAAGGCGCGATTTGGATTCAAGCGTTGTTTGTAGTAACGCAATAAAGAACGATGTCCAATTGTGGCACCGGAGGGTAAAACAAGCTGATATTCATCGCCATCCAATAGCTCTGGTACAACCTCTTCATCAACATCCATGCCTTCTTCCTATAAAACAAAAGCGGAAGTCGTCAAATTTAATAAACATAATTTAGACATTTTCCAATTGCAACTTACATGATCGGGATAACTGGAACTGTAATCGTAATAATCAGCATATTCAGCCAAAGCCAAGCCCTCGTGCAACATTTGACAGTGACCCTTGTCAATCATGTGCTTTCTAACGGCATCCAAGGAGTAAAAGGTCTTGCCTCTATCATTACACCACAGGCATATAAAGAAAACCGCCACTTTTTCACCCAAATAGTGGATCAAACCCTCAACATCTGTGCAGTATTCAGTGTCGGGTATAAAGAAGGAATGTGCGACGGACATGTGTTTTAAATTATCGACCAGATCTTCAGCTTTGTGTTCGCAGAATATACAATCGTTTTCCTTTAGCGGACTTTCGGCAATCTCATCCAACTCATCAGAGTCTACTTCTTCCTCCTCAATATCTTCGTACTCATCATCGTCGTCGTCCACATCATCATACTCCGCCACTTGTTCAGCCTGTTTCAGAGCGAATTTTCCTTTTCCCTCAGCTGCTGCTGCAATAGCAGGATGTGGTCTTTGTTGTATTAATGATTTGGTGGTCACCTCCTTTGTTTCATTGCCACACTCCCTCTCAAATCTCACTAGGTTTTCCTTGTGCTTCTTGCTGTTCAAATGATTGTCATGGGCCTTCTGGTTGCCAAATTGTTTCCTGCAGGCATTGCAGTACAAGCTCATTTGACGTTCCTCATTGGCAGTGGCTTCGGCATTACGCATTTGCAAGACGCGCGATTGGAAATCCTCTGCGGTGACAGGAGGCAGTTCAGCAACACGTCGCTTCAGATTGTAACGATGCCAATCTGTCTTGTAATGTTCTCTTTGTATGTCCGCCGAGGCGAATTTTACACTACAGTTGATGCAGGTGAAATTGGACATCCTGATGTATATGGGCTGAGAGAATGACGAATTTCACAATTGAATGGATAAATCACTTCTTTCCTTCTGAAAAAATAAAAACAAATGATAAAACGTGCAACTCGACATTCGATTAATCGATTAATTGACTTTTAGTACTAAAAATTCGCAGTCGACTATGGACTGTGGTGAAAACCGATTAATCGACAATTCATAATCGATTGTGCGATTCATTGGTTGTTCTGTTCCAGAATTTTGCACGAATCTACACCAGAACGGCAAGAATGTAATAGCATGTTTCCATTGGAAACCGAACAACGTTGTTCGCTCTCAGAATTAGGTACACGAATTAACCCGTTCATACGGCACGATTCGTAATTAATAGTAAAATAATTCCATTTTCAAAAATTTTGTTTATTGATTTTAATGGGAATTTATACGAAAATACATGAAATTCTCACTAATATGAATAGAAGAAATTATTGTTTTTCTCACAAAGAATAATTATATCATTAATTTTACAGTTTTCATTCATGTTTTCAACTTTTTGTATTAATTTTGACATTTGGAACATATTTTTGTATTTTTCTATTTTTAAATTCTGCTGGAGAGACACTTGTCAAAATTTTTTTCTGCAGATACGAACATTTTGAAAATATTGCCTCTTTTGTTTGCAGTTTTCTGTGGAAATTTCAAATCGTGGACAAAATGCGTACCTCGAATGAAAGAGAAAACAAAATGTACTTTCGTTTGAATGTACATACGCCATTCAACATTGTAGTTTTAATTCATAATTTTCAGTCTTCCCAAAAAATTTTAAAATTTCATTAAATTTTTCTGTTTTTCATTTTTAAATGTCATAATTTATTTTTTCGATAAATGCTCTCATTTGTTAGGGATGGGACATATTTTTTCGTTGTTCTGAGAGTAATTTGATTTGAACAACTTACAAATATGAGTGTCCGCTCAGTAAAATTTGTGTGAAGAATTAAGTTGTTTTTTCATAGTTAAGGGTCAAACAACGAATAGAGAGCGAATCAAGTGTAGTGGAAACGCCACATAAAAGTTTTTGCAAGAACAACCATTGGGTCGCACATCGATAACAAATGGTCGATTAAATAGTTCATAGCCGATTACGACTTTCAGAACTATGAGTACTAAAGGTCGATTTACCTATCCCTGGTTGCAGCACGTTTTCTTCCATTGTTTACTTTCTCGTTTTCTTGTCTGCTTGTCGAGGTCTTGGCAGAATAGTTTTATTCTAGCTTTCTTTTCTGTTAAAAAGCTTCCATTTTAATCACTGCAATGGCAACTGAAGGACTACTTCAAGTGATACACAGTGTCTCTTCGACGGAGAACAATTTTTTCAACATATACGTGGAAGGTTTGGATGATCAAGTCTTTGGCATGCAGGCAGACCGTTTGGCCGATGTGATTCAAAACATTAGCTCCTTGCTCTCCAAATCTGCAACCCGTTTGTTGGGCCTACGTTTGATGAATAAATTTCTTGACCAGTGCAGTGAAGATGTCTTCAACAAAACCGGAAATCTATGGACCTCCCTAGCCTTGAAGGCCTGTCATGCTCATATGCAGCCGAATGAATCCGTGCTGGCCTATGAAGCACTGGGAAAAATCACCTCGAAATCGTTGCAGTCGGCAGATTTGACAAAATCATTTGCTAGTACACATCTGTCGAAAATTTATGAGTCTTTGAACTACGTTCCAGCAGAAAGTGTCAGCTGTGCCCTTCGTTGTGTGGAGATATGCCTGCGGTGTTATCCTGCTTCAAGTGGACCCTCGAGGAAAACTATTGAAAAATTCTTGGCCAAGTTTCATGACTCACTTGATGGCGACATTGTGGCCTACAATGGAAAATGCTTACACCTGATGCAGCAGGTTAGTGGCGGCGAAGTTCGTAGTTCCAGCCACAAAGCACAATGGAAGAATTACCAGACCCAGTTGGTGGGTAGTATTCATGCCATATTCAATGATATGTTTGCCCATTGTAACGAAATATGGGATGATAATATTGTAACCGATCAACTGAATATGGAAAAACTGGTGCTGTCCGATGAACCTGTCAATAGATCTGCTCAACTTTACATAAGATGCCACAACTTAATCCAATACTTAATAGCCGCTCTGAAAGAGACATTTCCAACTGAGAAACCTCTTTTGCCCAAGACTCTCTTGGGGGTTATTAACCGTGGTCTGAGCGTTACTTTGAATCTTCTGCACCAGAACCCCATAACGGATAATATTGCTTTGGCCTTGCTGATGCCCAAGGTTCACATTGATTTGTTACATTTGTTGGATGCTGTGGTATCGATTTTAAGGGGCCATATATTGCCCTATTATAATCTGATATTGGGTTTGCTAATGGATATTATGAAGGCGACATCGGTAACTGAGCACAGTGGTAAACAGAAGCCTTTTGCTTTGCTTCGTGCCAAAATCTATGACAGTATTTCACTGTGGTGCAAAATTCAAGGCAACTCCAGCCGTTGCGATTCAATTGCAGAATATCTAATCAATGAAATATTGGCGGATATTACACCAGAACAGAATGAACTCACCTTGCAGGTTTGTGCTGGATCCGGCAAGCATTTATCAAAAAAGATGAAACGTCAACTTCACAAGGCCCAAAATGAGCGATCCAATATATCCAAAAACAGTGTCAAATCAGCGAAGAACTCTTTGCCGCAAAGGGATGACAAAAATCATTTGGTGGCCATTGCTGCTTTGCGTTGTCTTCAAGAATTGTTGCTGTCCGTTGCAAGTTTCCTCAAACCGACAAAAATAAAGTTACTGCAAAGTACGCTGGTACAAATTTGTAGCAACTTCTACGAATTGGCCGGTGATATGGGTCAATTGTACTCAAGTGCCCAATGTCGCCTTGAGATTTACAATGTCTTGTATGTAGTTGTATCAACACCACATCACTTGTCTCCACCACCAATGGATTTAATCATGAGTTTGCTGAACCACGCTTGTAGTCGTGATGGAAACGTAAAAGTTCGTAACCAGTGCGCTAGGATTGTGCAGAATCTCGAAAAACTTATTCACCCTCAAAAGGAGTCGTTGGTCTTTCCTATTGATGCTCGGGAAATTCGGAATGCCTTCATTATGTTGGGCCAAGAACGACTATTGGGTGATAGTACAGCATTAAACGGTTTTGATGGCGAGAGTGAGGTTGAAAATGAAACTTATGAATCAATCAATATCGAAGATAACGAGAATGAAAATGAGAAATCGCTGGAGGGGAATATGGACATTATTCCAAATGATGAAGTCATCAATTTAACAGACAACTTTGTAACACAAGTGGTAGATATTTCCAGCGATAATGATGACGAAGAAATGGAGGAGCAAGCAAATGGAGATGACGTTCAAGTTGTAGAAAATGGCACGGATGGTAATGATATTGAATTGGTAGAAAACGATCGAGATGATAATGTTGACTGCCAAATCGTTTCACCAACTATGGAAAACGGAAACGGTCTTCCAGAAAGTAACAGAGCCGAAGATCATTTTAACGAAAATCCAAAATCGCCTGATATAGTTTTGCGTGTTGAAGACTGCGATAGCCCCCTTGTTCAGCATGTCGATGAGGTAGCGCAAGATGAACCATGCTCGAAAAAACCAAAAATAGATGACAGTAATGACATTGAAAACATTGACGACGAAAAACTTTTGGAAGATATAGCTGCATCTTTCGTCGATGATTTGGCTTAGAAACAAATATATAATCAATGTTTAATAATAAAAGTTAAAAAAATACTTGTTTTAATTCTTTTTTATGGTACAGTTATTGAGACCTTCGTTATAGGGAGTTATGGATAAGTCAAAATACAATATTGTTAAAGTAGTGTCTCGGGGCTGAAGAATAAATAAACTAGACGATACTGTGTTATGGAGAGACTGGAAAGTATTTTCGTTCGTTTCGAACTATACATGGGTTAACCCCAATAATTGACTAATCACAAAAAAATTTTAAAAATGATTTCCGAATTCAAAATTATTGCTATTGATCAATTATCAGAGACGATTTGGATCAAGATTTACATGTGAAGCATGGTACAACGAAGATAAAATAGGTTAAATTAGAAAAAGTTGCTAGTAATGTGCAAAACAACTTGTTGCATTGATTTTGATAAACAAATTAAAGTTAATTTTTTTATTGAAAATCATGTCCTATATATCACAATTCATTCCGCCACACGAAGAGTACATTTATTCCATATATATTAAACTTGGAATGTTATGTCATGCTAATAAAAAAAACTATAATCGTTTTGTAGCTTTGTCCTACCTTGATTTCATTGTACCATGTGTAAACGTTCCATAAAAAAGATCCTGAATTCATAGGGGATTCACAAATACAGGGCTTTGCAAATCGTAAAAAAGAAACTTTGTTAGGGATCTTTAGATCGATCAAAGTCATATACATTTACCGATAAATGTAAACACAATCGATACGTATGTTGTCAACATTGTGTGCCATCTCTATTGATGACCACCGTTCAGCAACTTCCTGAAAAATCTCCAAGGAAACCATCAAAAAACCCCATAAAATGGACGGCAAGGACAATCGATCGAAAGAGTAGGTTTTATTGTGTCTTTTAGTATAAGGGACTTAACAAATTTCCTCTGCTTTTCTTTAGAAAACGGCATAAGATGAAAACGTTCTATCGCAACAAGAGCAAGTACTGCAAAACATCTTCCAGTTCGGAAAAACATGATCCAATTAGAGGCTACGTTGATGTGGTGGACTCCAGTGATGAACGTTTTGTGGATCGCAATGAGTGGGTCAAGGGTCGTGGCCAACGAGTAGCTACCCAAATGGAGTATACCCGCGATATGGGCATAAATCTGGAAGACGAAGAAAACGAACAAATGAGAGCCGGCGATTTCCATTTGATGTCGCAAATGCCTCTGTCTGTTGGCGGCCATTTTAAATTCTCTTCGGAAAAACAATGGGAGCAGGCAGAGAATGAGGCTTTCCTTGAAAACACCGAAGCAAGTGAATATTTTACGCTTAATCTGAAGCTAATCAATGTCGGTGTTCAAACGATTCCCTTCTATAAACGCATGGATTTTTCCGCATCCATGTTTACCAATGAACAATTGATAGGTATGGAAAAGTCTGCAGAGCTGGCCGAAAAGACTTATCAGAATGTTCTAAAGGAACATATTGATAATCCTCGAATTCAAATTAGTTCTGCTAGTCGTAGAACAAATTCGGCTAAAAGTCAAAAGTCCCAAGCTTCCAATGCTAAGAAGCCTGCAACAGAAGCTCCTGATGAGCTGGATGAACTATTAAACATGACTACAGATCAGATGTCAAAGGCCAGTGTACAGTCTGGTCGAAATACACCAGCCACAAATGCACCATCTACACCGGGAAATACTGTTAAGCCATCCGGAGACAATAAGGATGATATACAGCAATGGTTGGATAATGTTTTAGAAGAATAAGTTGAAAATGTGTATATTTGCCTTTTGTGGATAATTGTAAATGAAGGAGATATAAATAAATAAGAAAAGAGTAGTATGTTTTTGGTTTTCTTTCTTGAAATTGTTTATAAATACGTTATTTGTGGGGAGTGATGGGAAATTGACCATCGACTGAAAAATAAAGTCTTCAAGATATCTTATCACAAAATTGAAGCCAGTGGGTGTTAAAGATTACCTTTTTGATGAGACCCAATGCTTCTTTTCTTTGTTAGTCAAATCTTTAAATGACCTGGTTATACCTGTGTAAAGTACTGAGAGATGTAGAAAATCAGATTCAACCAATTAAAAGGCAAATTCTAACGAGTATGATCATTACGATGGCTTGGCTTTTGCAGCCAACAACTCCTGCCTGCCCTCTTCGGCAGCAGTAGTAATTAAAAATAAAATGTGCAACTTATGATACTTATGCAACAAGAAAAAGAACACAAAACAGCCCCAACATAATGCTAAAGTTGATAATCTTTTCATGTGAATGCATAATTAAAATTTATTAAAATATAAAACTTGTGCCAACGCACACACTCACATTCGTTGCCGCCGAAGAAACGACGAATAGGGGGAAGTGCAGCAGCGCAATCCAAGTACAAGAGCAACCAGCATCCATAGATACTTGGCAGCAAGGCAGCAAGGATGACAACAACAACAACGATAACTTTGTAAGAAATGCTGCAGCAACAAAAGGCAAAAAGTTATTTACATTTGAAAGTTCTGCATTTGGGGTTTGAGTGTCACACCCACAAAGATTTTAGCTCGTTAGTCGTAAAATATTTTTGCTCACTTTTTTCCCGTGGGCCTTTCACAAAGCATGGAAGAAAGCTTCAGTACTGAAATGCACAACAATCTTGCATAGATTTAATATAAATGTAAGTGTTTTGTTAAGATATGAAAAAAATATATATCTATCGCGAAATATGAATGCATAATGAATGCCTGCCTCTCTATATATGCAGGTTATGCAGGCATGTGGAAACAAGCCAAGATGCATTTAATTCATATGCAATGCAATTTTTAAACTAGTTTCTTGGGGAGAGACCTATTTCATGACATAATAGCATACGTTGTTAGATAACAACATGAAAAGTTTAGAAACACCTCAAAATAATTAAAATTCGAGGGGTTATTGACGCCATGTTTTCATGACGTGGATAGGTACATATGAATATCCTTTGTTACTCATTCTATAGATGTTCATTTAAGCAAAATTTTTCGCTAGTCTCTTGCCCACTTCTAATGTTTTAATTAAAAATAATGATCACATTTGAAATGATTTTTATATTTAACAGTATTCCTATTAAATGTATTGCGAGGCTAGCAATTGTTATTAATATTTCATTAATTGTAATTAATATTTCCAGAGTGTGCAGGAAATTTCAGAGCCTTTGAAATAATTTGAATCTAGACAATACCACTATCATTGTTCAGTGTTTCGATACGAGAATTGTTATTACGCAAGCAAATAGTTTTTTGGTGTAAAATTCTGATAGTCGGCTTAGCCACAGTAAACCCAAAAATAATGTACAACAAACGATTGATATTCAATTGTTCTATATTCTTGGTATATTTTCCCTTTTATAAAAAATGATTGTGTTTGCCAACAAAAAGTCAAATTGATTTTTGAACTAAAAATTCGGAATTGTACGATTCAAAATCACAATTGAAGCTAGTTTGAAGTGCATGAAGAGTCCCTTCTATTCTATCTCGCATAGAGAAGACTTGAATTCAAATACACTGATTTAGTAGGATTTTGGGCATGAGTTTTTAAAATTCCAGTTTCTTAAGCTTTGGAACAAAAATTCTTTGATCTATTTGCATATAAAATAACGTGCTAGCCTAACGATTATCCTCTCAACTCGCTATTGATATAATTTTCACAAATGATTTCCATCTGCAATTTAAGAAGTATTGTTTGTTTGTAATATCTGATTGAGACTCATTATTCAAAATAAATGAAATGGAAATCACAAAAAGCCCACAAATTAACAATTATCTGATAACAGAGGACAAATAAAAGAAGGCAAACAAGAGGAGGGAGTGTGTATCATTTGACTGGGAATAATTGACAATTACCCAACACCACTCAAGGGCATAGAGTTCCCGTGTGTACGAGGAACTAATCATTTATTAACATTGTTGCATATACTAACAAAATCGCAATGAAGAGATCGTAGAAAGGAGTTTCCATAAAAAGAAATTAACGAGTTTCGGAATATATCTTTTTTGGAAATTTGCTCACCACCTCTAACCATCCATTAAATAATGACCAATAGAAATTTAGAATAGCTAATGGTCATTATTTAATGGACAAACATTTCATATGTTGTGAGCATTTCTGTTTTGTTTCGAATTTATTCACATGATTCTACTGCATAGTTCTTGAATTTTTAGATGAATAATTTTGGCGTTTTACTAGTATCACAGAGCCATTTACCACTTTCCGTTCCATTGCGGTCCTTTTAACCACAAATTATTTAAATTGTGTCACATAATAACAGAACATCACTACTCGACAAAAAAGAATCAACACTCAACCACCTCGACAACAAGGACAACAAAGCGTCAAGTATCAAATAAAAAAGGGAGGAAGTTGTTGACTTTTTCCCAACAGCTCTATGCCACAGGACAAAAGAAGGGGAAGTTGTGAATTTGACGAACTAACCCCGAATGAAAAATGCTTACGAACTTGATTCCTTGCCGAAAAAGTTTAATGGGTTTCATAATCATGTTTGAAATCTAAAATCCTGATAATCAAAACACAAAATCAACAAACAAATCAAGTGGGTGAGAGGTGGTTTGCCAGCAATTGCGAAATGTTAATGAGGAGGGTGGTGGTTTGCAGTGAATTCGCTGGAATAACAAACAAGTGGTGTTGTTCAGGTTTAATTAGCTGTAAATTGTCCTAATTGTTATACCCCCCCTATCATAGATATGGCCATCAAGATTTGAGTTAGGTTATGTACGCATCGTTTGGCCGCAGAGATTATGTATCAAATCCTTAATTGTTATACTTTTATCTATAGCGAACGCGACAAGTGCAATGGGTGTGAAATTGTTTTATTCGTGAGGCAGATACAGGAAAAAGCATAAAAATAATGAAAATTTAACTATTTCATCGAAACTCTATCACTTTTTTCATAGCTTTCATAATGTCGAAATGACTACTTACCTTCTTAATTCCACCATTCAGGGATGGGAAGCTGTTTTCTGTGCAGTTAAATTTGGCTAGGTAATTTCAGAAAATGCAAAATTGGATATGCTCTTTTAAAATAAAGTTACCTACTTTATTATACCAAGAGCTTCCATATTCAAGTGTTTTTTGTAAATCTTTGGAATTGAAATTTTTGAATGAAAAATTATTGAAAAAAACGCATCTTATAATAACATCCGATGGGTGTCGTATAGGAAAACATATACAAGTCTACTTATTTTTGAAAAAAAAAACAAACATTTAAAAAGTTTTGACATTTTGATGCATCTGCCTGTATTCTTCTACCGTGGGAGTTTTACACAATTTATAATCTGAAAGAAAATGCTTTATAATATTGTATATATTAATATATACATAGTTAAAGTGAAATATAATAATAAAATATAAAATACAGCTTTGTACAGAATATATTTTATAAAAGATAAGGTTTCTTTTAAGTCAAATAATTGTTGTGTACGCCTAAAAGTCTGCTACAAAAATGATAATTGTAATTAAAAAAAAACACTTGACATATGACTCTAACACAATGTGGAAACTGACTTTTGAGATCTCAGGAATGTAGATTGTCTTCAAATCTCCACAGCTAATTTAAAATTGTAGTTAGATCTTATCTATAATTTATATTCAAAACATTTGGTCCTCAAAAAAAGATTTACATTCATTTCCTACTCTCCTGCAGTCCACTCGAAATGTTACAACGATTCTTCCAATTAATTTTTATTACAGTAAATATGAAAATATTGAAAAATCAACCAAGCGGTCAATAAATGGTAATGGAATGGATAGAAGAAGCCCCCAAAAAAAATAACAATCTCCGTTGTCAGTCACTTCAATTCTATTGCGATTAACAAATTATTTCATCCGTTAACAAAAATAAATTTGCTGTGCAACAAAAATGTATTATATAACAAAAATCTATAGATACTTCAAAGTCCCGCTGGTAACATGGCAATGGAAAATAAAAACAACAACAACATCATCATCCTCATCGCCATACTTCACAACTGCATCTGAATTTGAATGGAAGAGAAACAGCTTTACAGAAATTTTACAAACCACTTCTCAGCAAAATGGAGAGGAGTTATCCGAGAATGATGGTTGGTTGGCTCCCTTCCCTCCTTTGGAAGGCACAATTATATAGAAAACCCATACAATCAATGTTACAAGTGATGTGAGAGTGATGGTAAACATGGTTGCTTTTGGAGACCTGTGTGGTAAATGGAGAAGTGGCATGCGGGGGAGCACCAAACAAAATGGAAGTCGAAAAATGTAGCCAACCGGAAAACAAGCAACAACGTTAAAAATTAAAAGGGTACTGAACGCCGAAGCGACTAGTGTCGTGTCGTGTTGGGAAAGAGGATTGCAAAGGGTGCCAGATTTTCAAAAAAAAGTTGGAAACAGAAGATTTATCCGGGTCATGGCCCAATTATTGGGTTCCCCATCAAGACCAGCTGCTCGACAAATTTGATGTCGAAATGCATTCTTGTGTTTGGAAACACACATAGGACATGCCATGGTAAAAGAATACAGATAGTCGCATCGACGCAGCTGCAGGGATTGGCCATTTTGAATGAAAAAATATTGAAATTTATAAAAATTGTTGAAAAATTCATGTCATAACAATTGGCGTCGTGTAAAAAACCTTCTAAAAACGTTGACATATCAATGTTCCCAAGCGTTGATGCATCTACCTGTATTCTTCTAGCATGGTCATGGGTCTATATCGTAGTTTTTAAACTAGGAATTCTCAGTTATATTAAAACATGAAATAACATCACATATTTTGTGTTATAAAAATTAAAAATTCTATCAGTATTTTAAAATTGTTTTCCATAAAATTTCAGAAAACTTAAAAAAAAAATCAAAAATTTCCTCAGATCTGGTAACCTTGGTGTTGTATTATTTTTACATAGCCCAGTACAAAAGTTGTTCATTGAACCAATCTGGAGCCTGCCTCAGTTATAAATGAAATAACGGTAATTCCAGTTACTTGGCAATGTTGCCTCTAGTGGCAGACAGTTATTTTACAGTTGTAGTTGTAAGGACTTGTGGAGTTCACTAACACAGCCACAAACTGTTTGTCGATGCTGCTGCAAAAGAGTGAATAAATGAACGGATGCCACGGTAGCCGTGGGTGGGCCTCAAGTGGAAGCAAATTTTTTCTCTCATTTAAGCGTTTAATGTAAACGCAATGAATAAGCAATGATAAGGATAATAAAACCATGAATCGAGCAGAGAAGGGTGCAATGAAAGGATCTAAACGAGAAAAACCCGAGCTTTTTTTTGTGTAACTTATTTAACGAGCTGTGCAACGCTAATTAATGAATACTTCAAGAAAAAATTGGTAGACAAAAAAAAAAAAACAGAAGAAAATAAAATGGGTTTGCAGCAGAATGTGTTTTTTCTCGCCTCCTCCAAATAAACATGGAAATCAGATAAATTGGTATTAAAAAGCATGAAATTGCAAATTTATTTTATAATTTGTTGTTATTGCCGCAACTACTAGTAACTTATTTATTTAGCCAATATTCATAAATGATTTGTTTTTAATATTAGATGATGCGACCTTTCATATCCACAACCCTCCAACTAAATCGTTTTGTAATTGTCGGTGGTACCTATGTGCCATTCACGATTTCCATCTGCATGTCATGTGACATAAACTGTGACATTCATAAGCGAATGAATTTCACCTAGAAAGACGACAGCAGCAGCTATCAGCCAGCAAATTATTTGCGGCTGAGAGGATAAATACAATTCGTAGTATTTTTCCAAACGGAATAAATAACAAAAATGGAATGACTTTTTTGGTGGGATTTTTTTATGATACACATCCAGCCAGGCCTAATGGTTCTTTATTATTGAGCTGAATGATAAACGTCATTCCTCGCGTTTTTGTGTCATCGTTTGTGATGACTTTTTTTCTCAACGTCAACATTCGCATGGAAAAATGTTGGCAACCACTTGAAACGTCTAACTGGTGGGGAATTAAGAGGGAGAGAGTGAGAGAGAGAGGGAACAAAAATCATCTTGGCATGAAAACCGAAACAATTGAGGAAACAGAGTTTTGTCGCTCACACCAACAAATATCACCGACAAGTGGCTACGACACAATGCTAGTTGTGTAACAATTAAAATCGTTGCTATTTAAAAAGGGAACAATTAAGTTTTTTTTTTTTTTTTTTTTTTTTTTGAAACGAGAAAATTGTCGTAATGCTTCGGGTTTTCGGCATTATCCTTAGTGGACAACCTAAGGCAGATTAACCTACAATGACCTACATGTCTTTTTCTTGAAAGTGTTTATAAACCATAATTTCTCGTATTTTTTCGTAGTTGGTGTCTGTGCAAAATACCCGGTCAGTATCAAAACTTTTCTGCATTATCTTCTAAGAATTGTCAGTATCATTATGCTTCAAAACCTTTAACTAGGCATGAAAACCATAAAACATCTGTCTACGGGATATATTAAACCGTTTTCGCATTTTCTCAATCCGGAAGATAAACTTTTCAATCGCCATCTATTTTCCACTTCTATACAATTTTATATTCCACTTACTGAGATCCATGAATCGTTTTCGAGCAATTGCACTTTCCCCGATTCTTACCATCTTGGCTGCTCTCATATCTCTCTGATTACTTCCGAGGTCCTTCTCATGTTGGAGTCCCCTAGATAGTAATAACCTTACGCAACGAGATATATTTAGACTTCTATTTCATCCTTACTTGACATATGTATGCCCTTCTTTCGTAATTGTCATTATTTGTAAATCCTATAAAATGATGCCCTTCCATTGCTCTCACCGACCAACTCTTATTCCCCTCATGCTGGTTTTGCATAAAATACCACCATTGCATTTAAAAATCTCAACAAACGTTGAGTTTTTGTTGTTGTTATTATTGTTTTGTTTGTAACGGAAGTCAAAAGTGCTCTGCAGAATAAAACACTAATGAGCAGATAATCGACATTACAATGTTGGTTGTTCTCCCCGAGGGCAGATGCTAGGTTAATGGTTGTGAGACATTGTTGTGGGTGGCTGGGTTGGCAGTTGGTTGGTTGGTTGGCTGGTTCGATTGCAAAGTTTCAATGACTCCTTAAAACGACCACGAACAAGTAAGTATTCATATAATCATTATTTTGCTCATAATTGTTGTTATTGTTGTTGAGAGGCATCGGCCGGAGGCAGAGTAAGAGTCAGAGAGAATATGTAAAATGAGCCATGGTTGGCTGGAAATTGATGGCCAGTCAGAATTAGAGAAACACAACATCGATTCAAACATTTTGCTAGTTGCAGAGAAAAAGGGGTTATTTAATGTACTCCAAGATTATTTTTTTCAATCTGGGGGGGGCTCTACTTCAAGTTTTTCGAATTTTTCCCAATCCTCTTTCGGTCTTTCCGGAATGATAAGCTTACCTATTTTTATTTTTAGTATTTTTAAATAACAATGTAAGAACACTATCCCCAATTACTCAATAATTTTTAAGAATTTGCTATTCAATTAATACTCATAAGAGCAATGGAACTCAGAAAGTCATTGGTTTTTAATTCAAACAATATTTTGAAATTTTATTATTTTTCAATTGTAAGCATTTTATTTAACAATTTTTAACTGATATTTACTTCAAAAATTGTTATTTGCTTTGTTTTGTCAGTAGACGTTTTAGAGTAATCCTAGAAAAATTATCATATAGACCAGTGGTACAGGAATACAGGTAGATGCATCAACGCTTGGGAACATTGATATGTCAAAAATTTTAAAAGTTTTTTTTTTTTCAGATATAAGTAGATTTATATATGTTTCCTTATACGACATCAATCGGAGGTTATTAGTTATGACTGGCTAATTTTCATGCAGGAATTGAGCAGCAACTTCTTTCTGAGAGAGTAAGGTAATTTTTTTCTCTTTTGTAAGAAAACTGTGAAAAGTAAACAGACAGAATCCCCGCAAAACTTGCAGGCAATCAGCTGATTTATCAAAAGAAAGCAATTTGTCTGCAAATTAAAGAAAATAAGAACGCACAATTAACAATTAATCAAGAACAAAACAATTGGGCTTGCGTGTTTCCAAATAAAAAGTGGTTTAAAATTTCATAACCGGAAGGAGAAGAAGAAGAGTTGAAAGTGTTTGTAAGAAGAAATCTGTCTAGCATGAACTGTTACAAATTTTAGGGTAACCAGACACACCTACAATATGCTTTTTCAATTTTTTTTATAAATTTGAATAATTTTTCATTCAAAATTTTCAATTGCAAAATTGGTTTGACGTTTCATTGTCCAAAATTCTGTGTCGATGAGTCTACCTGTATTTTTCTACCATGTACAGAAGTAATAAGTATGTCGCTTTCTACCTTAAACGGGCAGGGAAAGTTTACGAGAAAAAAGTGAGGCTGAGAAAAAAGTACAGCACCGCACTTTCTAAGGGAGTTCTCTCAGAGCGAATTTCACATTTCTTTATTGTACTAATTTTTTCTTTAAAACCTGCAGATGGTCATTTTGTTCACATGTTCAGTTATAAGTCTGGCCTATTATTAAACAGCTTTACTGATTTTTGACAGAATACAGTCTTGGCTGCTTCCCAGAAAAAACAAATAAAGTTGGTTTTGGATTCATACAAATGCGGAAGTAATTATTTTTCTCTCAGAAGGAAAAAGAGAAATCTAAAGGTGAGATCACATAAAACGCTTTTTTGACTGGCTTAAGTCATCGGTTGTCTTCTTCGTAAAAGAACAAAGGAGCGTAGAGTTAAAATCGTACTAAGTCAACATTAAACTCCTTTTTTTGATGAAGCCAGGAAGCCGTTATTGTAGCCGTGAAACTTGGTGGAAAATTTTATAGAAATCGGGAGAAAATATGTATATTCTGACGAAAGGCCTTCTAAATGTAAAGGTGGCTGGCTTCTTCGGCAATGAACAAAGGAGCAAAGGGCCAAAATCGAACTAAGTCAACCAAAAACTCTTTTGTTCCCCTCCGAGAAGCCAGCCGATGACTCAAGCCTACCAAATAAGCGCTTTATGTATTCCCACACTAACAGTTTTACAAAATTTACGTTCACGTACTTTCGGGATGAGTAGTTCTCTCAGAGCGAATATTTAATTTCTCCTTTTCATTAGTTTTAGCAATAAAAACATGCACATGACCATTGTGTTCGATATCCGGATCGTTTTTTAAAAAAATTTTACTGAATTTTGACAGAATATAGTTCTGACTGTTTTTTTTTTTTTGGAAAAACGAGCAGTGCTGGTGCTAGATTTATACAAATGCGAAAATAATTCTTTTTCTCTCTGAGAGGAGAAGGGGAATCTAAAAGATCACTCTATGCCCTTCCTACGGAGGCAAAATATTATTTGATGAAAATTTTAGTCGGCGTCGCCAATTGTCTGATAATAATCTTTCCTGATAGCTTACTTACCTAACTGACAAAGTTTCAGTTTTAATTCTTATATTGCTTCAAGTCAATCTTGTTATCAGGTTTATTTTATTTAATATTTTACAATAAATATGTATTTATTTTTTTTTTTTTGCATTTAAAGACTAATTTCAATATTGCACTGCGTTGGCACAGATTTTTTCTCGAAGGGTACAACAACTCTGTACACCTTGAACTATTTACAGAATGTATTTAAAAATTAATTAATAATTAACAATAAAAATTTGCTTGTGGCCAGTTAACATTAAACTCCATTGGGCTGCTGTGGATGCTGGTCAACTTTTACAGGGGACATCCGTGAACATAGCCAACGTTGCGGAACAAGGCTGCCGCAGCTGCCGAAGTTAAAAAATTGCAAGGATTTGAGGTGTTAAACGATGACAGGCCTGGGGGACAACAACCCAGCGGATTTCCAGAACCATCGCCCACATATTCCTTTTCCATTGTGGCCTGATGTCGCAACTGTTCCAAACGCAACTGATTTTGACGTTTCCATTTGGTTCTGAAAATAATTTCATATTAGCTATAAATTGTTTTTTTTTCTAATCCGGTTGGGGCCTTATACCTTCTATTTTGGTACCAAGTCTTAACTTGTGTTTCGGATAGATTCAATGTCTCCGCCACATCACTGCGATCGGCCACACTCAAATACTTCTGGCAACGAAATTTTCTTTCCAAGTACGCCAACTGGGCATGGGTGAATGCTGTGCGCCTACGCCTCGGCTTGCGACCACTTTTTACCAGATTCAGCTTGGGGTCATGCAGGAAATTGGAATTTGTTTGTCCCTGTGTCTGGCCATTTGCAGCGGCATCGGCCTCGTTTTGATAACTTGACGAATCTAGGCTGGACTCATTGTTACTCAGATTGAAATGGCCATTTGACATGGAATTTCCCCCACCAGCATAGTGGCAGTTGAGGGCTTCCGAGTCGGGTGAAGAACGATCTTCGATGTCTATATCCGAATTGTTGTCGGACAAATCTGAATCTGCAAAAAGAAAATAATTGATGATGGTAACTTTGATTTCCATACAATTTGTAACAACTATCCTGCAGTTCGACACGTGTAAACGCTTAACCACCTACAAGGCTTTTAGATTTTTTTTTTTTTTTGGTTAAAAATAATAATACCCCTTGTGAAGGCAACCCACTCGGGACATAATCATTAGAAGACAATTCAACAATTGAAATGTACTCGGATTTAATGCATTCTCAAGTGGGCGTTTGTTAGACGTCTATTTACCACACACACACATACACACACATATGTCCTGCCAATACCACCACTTTACCACGTCATTCACTCATCCAAAAGCTTCGTAATTCATCGATTTGACTTTAGCATCCATGGAGGACATTGAATGATATCTTCAACCTGCGCATCATCCATTTCCCCCATTGTTCGGCGCTGCAGAGTACTTGGGCAAATCCGCAGGCAAAACTTATTTCACTCGGACTATTTCCTTGAAATAACTGGGCTTCTATAAAAATAGCATTGTATTGTGCGGTAATTGTGTTATTTTTATCCGGCGATTTCCTTTGTATCCTGTCTGCGGCATGTGTGCCTTGGCAGACGAAAACTAAGAGCTCGGCATTATGGCCTTAATGGAGGGCACAGTTGGAATCATTATGTTCACGTGTTTGCCGAAGATGATTCCAAAGTGGGTTTTGTTTTTCTTTTGTAGCAGAAAAAAAAGGTCAAACATGTGTCCTGAAAATGTTGGTAATTTAAATAAATAAATTATGACGTCAGCAGATGTGAATATGCGAAATTATCATTCATTGAATTATTGCACATCACTTTATTGCGGGGCTATGGAAACCAATTTGGAGTTGAAATTCCAAATTCGGATTATTTATAGCCGAGATTTCAAAATTGACTTTAAAATAAATCGGGTTGCAATCACTACATGCCGCATTGTGATGTAAACAGAGAAGGTACAGAATTATTAAAACTGATAAACAAGATTTGTTTGCCTCTTCCGGATTTATTTAATCAGATCTATAGAGCGTTTAGATACGGAAGAAAACAGCAGCATCAGCAGAAATGGTTCCAAAAGTAAAGAAGCGACTTGATCTAAGCCCGCGTCGCAGTGGCCGAAAAATGGCTCGTGAGCTGAACATATCGCAATATTTCATTCTGCCGAATTTGGTTTTCTCCGCTCCGATGAGAAAACTTTCGTTGTCCAGCAGTTTGTAAACAAACAAAATGATCGTGTTTACATGCCAAAGAGGTCAGGTCAGCTGAAAATGTGCATCTTCGGTTGGCCACCAGAACTCAAGCGCCGGGCATGGTGATGTTGTGGGCCGCCATAACAGCCGATGGTCGCTCTCCGTTTGTATTAATCGACCGTGGCATCAGAATAAATGCCGAATATTATCGCGAAAATGTTCTGGAGGGTGTATTAAAGCCTTGGGCATGCAAAATTTTGGCCGCAGACCTTAAACTTTCCAACAGGACGCGCCACCCAATATGGTTACAAAATGAGGTTCCTCGCTTCATTTCCAGCGCACAATGGCCACCAAAATCTCCGGATACCAATCCGTTGGACTAATGTGTCTGGAATATTTTGGAAAGCAAGGTGGGCACTAAAAAATACCAAAGTGTCGATCACCTCAAGCAAGCGTTTCGCTGGGAATGGGCCAAAATACCGCAGAGCAACATTCGGGCAGCGTGTGACGCTTTCATTGGCCGTTTGAAGGCCGTAATTCGTGCCAAAGGTGACCAATTCGAACAAATCTAAACTTATTCTAAAACTTGATGCTATTTCCGACATTTTTTGCTTTGCGTTTGACTTTGTTACAGATTTTTTTTTGTCTCACCCTGGATATGGTCTTTTCCAGAAGTGCAAGAGTTTAAAAGATTCTACCCGATTTTCCTTTATGATATCGAAAAAAATTCTGGAACACGGAAAGATATCGAAAAAAATTTCGATGTTGCAAAATGGTCAGCCTTTATCCCTTTATTGTTGTTTTTTATAAAAACAACGGTTTTTTATTAGTGGAGAACGATGGTAATGTTTACCATGTTTAAAAATTTCAATACTTGTAGATTCTTGTAGGTTCTGGAACAGAGCAATCCTATATGGATACTAAAAAGGAATATGGGAAAAATAAATGAGACTTTTCACTGTCACACCAATTTAGGAATTGAAAATTTTGAATGAAAAATATTGAAATTTGCAAAAAGTGTTGAAAAATGCACGTCATAACAGACTCCGATTGACGTCGTATTTAAAAATCTGCTTATTTTTGACAAATAATTTTAAAATTATTTAACATATCAATGTTCCCAAGCGTTGATGCATCCATGGTACAATGAATTCAAGGTAGGGCAGAACTACCACATGATTTTAATTTTTTTATTTTTCTGGCTTAATATGTCAACTTAATTTGTTTATGTGTGTGTATCCTCTTCAATAATAAAAAATGTTCAGAAAATATTCAAATTTGGGTGTTTTCAAAAATCTTATTGCAACGTATGCATCGACAAAATCTACAGTTTTTGTCGCGAAATAAACCATAAGAGATATATAGAACATGATTTTGAAAAGAAATTTTGACCTTTCATTCAGTTTTCGCGGTTTTTAATTATTTATTCAAAATCAATGCAACAAGTTGTTTGCTTTTGTATTGTTTTGATACTAATTCTGACATTACAAGCCAAACAGGTAGACCTCTATACTTGCAATGTTTTCAAAGTTGGCCTACCTTCTCTTCATTGTACCATGGATGCATCTACCTTTATTCTTCTGCCATTGGTAATTGTTGTCTCATCTCCAATTGCAATCTTTTCTGACTCTTTATCTAACAAATACCGCGAAAAATAAGGACAAAAACAGTATCTCCGGCTCTAATTGAATATTTGGCCCATACAGCTTAATTTAAGACAAAATAAGATGCTAATAGAGACATCTCTACACACTTAGCCTTACAATCCATTAATAAGTCTACAAGGTGCTATGTGCCCTAATATACTCATATGTTCGCCCCCTTTTTTTGAATAAATAAAAATCTATTGGAAAATAATTGCTACTTGACTCCGACAAAGTGTAGAAGCGACTTCCCTGAGACATGAAAGGATAAATTGATTGGACGTGACTTTTTGCCAAAAAGATTTAAAGATGATTTCCTTCGTTATCCGAATCCCCTGTTCAAACAACAGGGTACACATGCGAACTTGTGAAAACAAGCATTTTATGGGATATGTGCGTTTTAGTGGTTTCAGGAAGGGGGTTGATTTTTTGAGGATGATTTTAAAAGGGGTTTGGAAGTTAAGTGCCCAACGGCAAAATAAAAGTTGCAAAAATCTGAATTGGCAATCAATCGCTTTTAAATATGCGTGTGTGATTATACATATGTGTAAATGTAGTTGCTGTACATATGTTTATTGTGTTGTGGATTTCCTGATGTAAATGATACCAATTGTTTGATTTCCTAAGACAAGTGTGTGGTTTTAAATACGGCAACAGCAACTATGAAAAGACGTGAAAATACATAAGGTGTTTTTTGAGTAGCTTAAGTCATAGGCTGGCTTCTTTGCAGAAAAAAGAAGCATAGGATGAACAAGTATGGGCCGAAATAAGCCAACCTAAAACTCCAATCCATATCTTAAGGTTTAGACTGGCTTAAGTCATCGTCTGGCCATCTCATTAGAGCCAATAATCCAGAAATAGTAGCATTTAAATTTTGATAGAAAATTTCAGATTTTCCGATTTTCTAAGATTCTACATTAAAATCGTGAATGAATTTCCGCATAAATCAGAAGTTTTCTATGGATGTTTTGTAACCCTATGTGTCTTTTTTTACAAAAAATGTTAAATTATTGTTAAGTAACAATATCCCATTCGTCAACAACCCCATTTTAAAACAAAAAAATGGAACGAAGAAACCACAGGACATCAACAGACCAATTAACATCTGCCGTAGCAGAAACCACAGCTTGCCAAACGAATAACGAAAACTTCAGTAGCTAAATGCTGGAGTGCACAAGCCATAGCAAATTGGAATTATGGTACCGACAACATTTAGACAAATAGACAGACACTACCCATTGAAATGTAATCAAGCAGGATGACAGATTAAACTGTGGAATAAACAACAACAAAATAAATAATAAAGCAAATGCCTTAAGCCAAAAACTTTTTATTGTATTGTATAAGTATCAGGGTGTACGACATAAGTCACATAACCCTACTTTATTGAAATATTCCATGGTAGAAGAATATAGGCATATGCATCACAGCTTGGGAACATTGATATGTCAAAATTTTTAAATTGTTTTGTCAAAAATAAGTAGATTTTTAAATGTTTTCTCATGCGACGGAGGTTTTTCTGATATGTATTTTTCAACAATTTTTACAAATTCCAATTATTTTTCATTCATTATTTTCAATTCCCAAAATCGGCAAATATTGAAAAATGAGCTCGGGGTAAAGCCATTGAAATTCCAAAAAGTGCAAGAACTTACACCGCAACAGAATGAAAATAGACTCAAAAGAGCTAAAGAGTTGCTCCGCTTAGCCGAAAGTGGTAAACTGTCGATCAGAAAACATTCGTTGTCCAGCAGTTTGTACACAAATAAAATGATCGTGTTTACAGGTCAGCTGAAAATGTGCACCTTCGGTTGGCCACCAGAACACAAGCGGCGGCCACGGTGATGGTGTGGGCCGTCATAACAGCCGATGGTTGCTCTCCGCTCGTATTAATCGACCGCGGCATTGAAATAAAAGGCGAATATTATCGCGAAAATATTCTGGAGGGTGTTTTAAAGCCTTGGGCACGCAAACATTTTGGCCGCAGACCTTGGGCATTCCAACAGGACTCCGCACGCACCTTCCAAAAATTGTTACAAAATGAGGTTCCTCGTTTTATTTCCAGCGCACAATGGCCACCAAAATCTTATGATACCAATCCGTTGGACTATTGTGTCTGGAGTATTTTGGAAAGCAAGGTTGGCACTAAAAATGCTAAAGTGTCGATCACCTCAAGCAAGCGTTTCGCTGGGAATGGGCCAAAATACCGCAGAGCAACATTCGGGCAGCGTGTGACGGTTTCATTGGCCGTTAGTAGGCCATAACTCGTGCCAAAGATGACCAATTCGAACAAATCTAAAATTATTCTAAGATTTGATGCTATTTCCGACATTTTTTGCTTTCATTCAGTAAAATTAAAAAAAAAAATGTAAAAATTATGGCGTTTGACTTTGTTGTAGTTTTTTTTTATCTCACCCTGTATGATTGCTTCTCTTTACCTTCTTAATTCTACCATGATTGATTGTCTCCCAATAATCTGTAACAAAAGTACACATATCACCAACCATAAGCGTGTAGGGTACTCCTGATGAAAACGATGTAAATATGTTAACAACTTTCTGAGCAATTTGTCACGTACATCTTTTAAAAATAACAGAAAACGCCCTAAATGACAATTGTTTTGGCTCGGCTGCATTCGCATTCATTTATCACCAACGCGTAGAGTAGAGGGGGGGGAACGTTACAGTAGTGGAGCGGGGTAGTCGTTTGCCTTTAGCCCCCAAGCATGGTGACAAGTGAGAAATGAAATTGCTTTTGTACCCAGAGAAATCATACGGCAATTAAAAATGTAAAATAATGTCTGGCTGGCTATTCATTGCCTCGACATAACCACAACTTTACGGCACTTTTGCAATATTGTTAAACAATAAGGATTCGTTTCCAGGATTAACTGAGAGGAACGTTACACCCAACCCCCTCCCCTCGCCTCCCATGCACTTGTTTCGGCCATGTAAACAAAATCAGAACTGGCCTGTGGCATTTTGTGTGCAGTTGAAAGCGAATGAGAGTAAGAATTCTTGTGGGCGTGAGTGTGTGTTTGGGTGTATGTGCGTGAGAGGATAATGTCAAAGAGAATGATGCCATGTTAATTAGAGTGTGTGTTGTTTTTAATAGAGTGCAGAACATGAATTAGAGATAAACTTGTCATGAGAGGACCAACCACAACCACAACGGCAATGCAATGGCGTTGTGCCTGACGGTGACAAGTATCCTACTCACAGACATAAGTGTGTGGCACTAAACAACAATTAGCAACTATTTAAATGTTAAATACACAATTAACTCGTATTTAGTTAGATCTTTATTTTCTTCTTCTTCTACTCTGTATATTTGTGGAGCTTGTCATCCCGATGCCAACGGATGGCGTTTTACATATCCCTAATGGAGGAGATGTCCTCAAGATTTCTATCGTACACATTTGTGTGTATGATTTGAAATTCTTCAGTATGTTAAGTATATTAAGTGGAAAGGAGAAAGTAGTAAAAATATAAACCTAATAAAAACAATGAAATTGTGTTGGATAAAACAGCAGAATTCAGAGAGAAAAATAGATGACTTAAAAGTTGGCAACGGGTGGATAGGTGTCTTGATATGATATCAGAATCGTGATTGCAAAATAAAAACTCGAAAATCAAAATCAAAAAATTGTAAACGATGATTATTTGAATTAATTGACTGTCAAGAACTTTTGTTACATATGTTTAAGGCACTCTTATCTTTTAATAAAAATTATCCCGTTACCCAAAAAATAAATAGTGAAACATGTATGCATATCGGATAATGACGCAATCATTGAAAAGTTTTTATTACAAAAAAAAAAAAAAAAAAAAATAAATAAATAAAATAAATAAATAAATAAATTTGTTAAGCTTGTATATTGGTTTGAAAGATGTCCGTTTTCCGGCCCTTTAATTTTTCCCCGACGGGTTAGCCCCTTTAAGGAAGATTTATTTGATACATAATCTAAACGTACTAGAAGGCAAAATATTGCTATCAACTGCATTGTTTTGGGTCCATGGTCTATAGGAAACCCACTTTAGGATGAAATTGACCAATAAACAAATACTACCGGTATACATCTTGACAATACGGTTTAAAATCATTTTGTCTAATTGGATGACCTATTCGATATATTAGATTAGATGACCTATTAGGATATTAGCGACAAGTGCCGAGGCTTACTTTAAAAAAAGAATAACTATTTTTTTAACGAAATTTGCCTGAGATGGAAGATATGTGTTATTGGGGGTCATACGTACTAGCATGTATGGTAGAAGAATATAGGTAGATACATCATCCCTTAGAATCATTGATATGTCAATTTTTTTCAATCAGAGGTTGTTCTGATATGCATTTGTTAACAATTTTTACAAAATTGAATAATTTTTTATTCAAAAATTTCATTTTCATAATTGGTTTGACAGTTCATTGTCCCACCAGCTGTATCGATGCGACTACCTTTATTCTTCAACCATGCTAGCGTGGAAGAATTAAGGTGGAAGTACATAAAGAGCTTTTCTGACTGGCTTAAGTAATAGACTGGCTTCTTCGTAAAAGAACAAAAGCGCCTAGGGCCAAAATCGAACTAAGCAAACCTTTGCGTGCCCAAGTCTCTAATACACCCTCCAGAATATTTTCGCGATAACAATCGGCATTTATTCTGATGTCACTGTCGATTAATACGAGCGGAGAGCGACCATCGGCTGTTATGGCGGCCCGCACCATCACCTCAGAAGGTGTACATTTTCAGCTGACCTTTGTTATAATCTCCACCATAGTATGGAAGTTACATTAAGTTTGTCATTCCGTTTGTAACATCTCGAAATACACATTTTAGACCCCACAAAGTATATATATTCTTGATCAGCATAAAATTCTATGTCGATTTAGCGATGTCCGTCCGTCTGTGGATATCACTCTAGCTTCCGAACGAATTGAAGTAGATTGATAAAATATTTGAAGTTCATAATGATACTACAGCCTAACCCAGAAAATTGTCTATGCAGGTCCACGTCTTCGTAGAGCCCCCACATAACGGTACCTCCCGATATTCGGTATTTTAATGATTTTAGGGACATTTTCACCAGAATTGTTTCAAATTTGATATTTAAAGTTCGTAATTGATACTACAGTCTACGATAGAAAATTGTCTGTGCAGGTCCACGTCTTCGTATAGCCCCCATATAACTGTACCTTCCGATATTCGGTATTTTGATTTTATCGACATTATAACCGATTTTTTTTGAATATTCCAATATTTTTTTGAATATTGGAAGTTGCGGATTTGAAAGCAAACCAGCAAACCGTCGGAGATTTACATTGTCCGATTTGTTCTTCAAGGTTGTACGGAACAAATCCACGTTTTTGAAACTTCCTGTCTTTAGTTATTAAACTAATCAATGGCGCAATAGATTTAGGTGGGTAAGTATTGATTTCATCTGCTGTTTTTCCTTTTTTATTTCAACCTAGACATTTCAAGATATTTGATATGTGAGACCTTTGTGTCTTAACCGTTGATAGTTTTTCAAAGTAAACCGTAGTCTTACCATCTTCGTTATTTTGTTGCTGATGATTTATTAAATCCCCAAGAAGATCTCGAATCAAAAATGATTTGGAATTTTGATTGTGCATCGTAGATAGATATTTATAGTTTTTTTATTTATTTATTTATAAAGTTATCAAAAGTTGAGCTATCAAATATTTATTTTTTCTTGGATTAAATTTTTTTAGTCGAAAAAATTGTTCGTTTTCCGTCGGTTTTGAAATTCTTTTAAACTGCGTTTTAGTTGCGATTTATGTTTTATCCGTTAAATGTTGAGCATGCGACAACGCGAAATGAACAACTGTCTAACACCGCAGACGTTAATTTTTGTTTATAACTCTTAGCGAAAGCGTTATGGCATTCCGGCCAGAAGTCAGGAAAAAAAGATCCAGAATGGATGGGTGTCCTTAAAAGTTAAACAACGTTAAACGAATTACAAATAAACACTGACAGTTATGACGTGATGAGCGCCATAAAGTTGTTGTTGTTTTTGGCAGGATACGATGGATTAAAGACGGCAGCGAACACAGCCGCCACAGCAGCATAACCACCCACCACCGGTGATAGAGAATGCTGCAATATATAGAATATGAGGGTAAGGATTAAATGTTTGCTAAAATCCGTTTATATTTCAATTTACACTCTCCCAGTTGCAATTGTGTGTGTTTCTCGCGCGCACCCTCTCTCTCGCTCTTACATTCTTTTGCTGCATGTTGTAGAATTTAACGGTAATCTGCCACCCACAAAATAACGTTAGCCATTTTGTTTCTAAAGAGTAGCTCATCTTCCGTTTCCTCTGTGCCACAACAGCTTTTTCTCTTCCATCTCTTTCGTACCCAAAGAAAAGCTTTTTTCAAGTAGTTGTCATAGAAGGAAAGGATGGGTGGGCAGTTACCCTAAGTGGAGGGTGTTAAAACGGCTGCATTCTCATTGGTTGCCTTGAATTTGTAGTTGGGTATTTTGGTTTGAAGGAAAGAAAAGCCCACCCCTGATTAAATTTTGGGAAAAGTACGTATTTCTGTTTTTTTTTTTTGGAAATAAAAATTATAAAATTTTTAAAAATCGTTTACGTTCGATTAAAGCTTAAAATAGATACACTCGAGTTATAACAGACAGAATGCGAGATATAATATAATTTTATATTTAAAAAACTCAATTTTATATCTAAAGAATTTGTGGAGAAGAAGAATTGTCTTATAAATATGCAATACAGAATACCTATGATTGCACTAAAATCTTCATCACGCAGCGTCATCAAAAAATATTTCAGTGCAAACTCAACTAACCATTAAATCATAAACCAAATATCTACATCCTGTTCGAACTTTGAATTGAAATTATCATTTTTTTTACAAAAACAATTTTATTTAAAAAAAGTATGAGATTAATGTATAATTTTTCAGTTTATATTGAAAGCTAGAACACAGGGTTATCCACTGATGCTGCTGATTCTATCCAAATAGTCCTTGATGTGCAATATGCCATGGTCGGCACTGGCAATGTGCAGATTATTGCCACACACATATTCCGTATTAATATGGGGATTGTGGAGCTCACTTATCAAAGTGCTACAGGCGGTAGATGGATCATTGGAGGCCTGGAGTTTCCTCTGCAATCAGAAAATTAATCACTCATTTCGTTCGGAAACATTTCTTAATTTTTCATTCATTCATACCACCCAAAATTCATTTCCTGGCAAGGCATTGCCATCCCAGGCATAGGTTACCACCAACAACATATTCTCATAATCCGGAGATTCCTTAAACCAATCCGGGTTAATTTAAAGCTTTTAAGCCAAGTAACCAACTTACCAACTTGTCATTGGGATTTCGTTTGCACAGAAACGTTCGAATGCCACCACAGGGATGTTTATCTGATTTCAAGAATCCACCATTCTTCAAGTCCTTCCATTCGTTTAGATTGAACCAGGCAAAGTGCACCACTCCAATACTATTCAGCTGAGGTAACAATTTGTTTAAACGTTGACTAAAAGTTTCCAAAAAGATTTTCTCCTGCTGAGCGGCTGCTCGCCACACACCCAAACCGAAACCCACCACATGTATGTAGGCTAATTTTCCAGCCAGTTTGGCTCGATTTTCCGACTCCAACAGCAGCATATCAAAGGCTATGGCATATCGTTTCTTCATTATCAGGTTGTCAAATTTTAGCAAGGGATTGAGTGAGTCGCCAAAGCGTGGATTTTCGTCCTTCACAACATCTTCATAGAGGTTGTCATATTCTTCATAGAATTTATTCCATATACGGCGATAATCTTGCAACCTCTCCAGTTGATCAATTTTTCTCAGAGGATTTAGACGTTCCAACAAGGACTTCTGTTTTTGGTTTTGCATTTCGAAACTCTTGAGGCCATAGCCATTTTCTCTTACATTCTGATTTTGGGATATAATTATATCCTGATATTCCATTACTTCTCTGCGCTCAAATCGGGCACCAATCATGCCCAGTACAACACCTTCACGTTCGATTTTTGTCGCATCACCTATGGGCTTGCCGCAATTGGCCCGATTGCCATCGTTGATGAAATCGCTGAATGAGGAAACTGAAAGTAGAGCTGAAATCTAACGACACTAATTAACGCAGTACTTGCTTGCTTGATATTGGGAAAAAATGTTACCTTCACTTCATCATAGCTGAGGACAGTCTTTAAGACCAATGGCATTTTTTCATCTTTGCTACCAACATATTTATAATTGGGGCCAAATCCCGTATAAGCATCCAATAGCAGGTAATCATCATCTCCACCAAAGAAACTAACACATCTTTTGGTGAGAAGTCTTTGAATAAAATCTGTTAGTGTCATGCCTTTGTAGAGGCGTTTCTCCAAATCAGAGCCTGTCAAGGGAGAAATAGGGGAGACAAGAGTAATTGAATTAATTTATTTTGGAGAGAAAACCTTAAAAAACTCTGAAAACGAAAAGCTAGTAAGCAGAGGAATTCTTTCAAGAGATATTAGCTCTGCTTGATCCGCTTTATTTGCTTTGTCTTTGATTGAGAAAATCTGCATGTATTCATTTGTATATGGTTTATTATGCGAATGTTTTCACCCCTAGGAAATATCTCCGTTTCCTTTTGGAATATTATTTTCATATTTGTTTTAATTTAACCATTTATGCTCATATGCCTTTATATTTGAATTATTTCTTTGTTTTAACAGTCATTCTAAAACTTGTTCACATAACCTCAACAAACTAAAGCTCTTGCACGAGCAAACAAATTGGAGCTTCCTTTTGCTGGAGTTGCCATATGTTGTACTTCATTTGTGATATACATACCACATTTAAGTTTGTGCTCCAAAAAATCTGCTATCAAAATGATGACTTTTTCATGTATCAACGGATAGGCGGAAACAATCTGTTGCTTGATAATTGGGTAACGCTCTGCAGGCTGGGACTTGATGCGGCAGCTATCTATGGGAAACTAAACAGAATTGATGGTTTAAATTGGTGGAGTTTATTCCCCAAACCCAATGTGAACTTACATCAATTGGAAAATTTGAAGACTTCTCCAAAAAATCTTCAATTTCAATATTTTTCGCTTGTGGCTTTTCTATCGAACGACATTTTTCAATTAATTTCTGACCGAATTTTGTTAGGTTTTTATCGATGCCACTGGGTGGCCAATCGTTTTCGAATTCCTTGCCAAACATCGACATAACTGCGGAGAGCAGATACTCAACTGAGACTGGCGTGTTTTTGTTGTGTTGAGGTTTGTGGCAAAATATTTACAAGTCTCTATTCGGTAGTGGCGTGAATCATCATCATTGTCGTCATCACTCAGCTCATTCAGCACATTGTGGCTTTTCCATACCAACGTTCGTTCTTATCACATTTTTCTGGGTACAGCACCAATGCAACTGGTACTGGCTACCTTGTGGAGAGGTTTCATTCTGATATCACAATTCATTTGAACGCTGCGTATTTATATTTTTATTGTGGCTAAATGTTTACTTTATTTTTGCTACAAACTCTCTTTCCTCTCTTTTTTACTTTTTATGAGATGATTTTCGATATTACTCAGAGAGTATTTGTTTTGGTAAATAATAGGTGTGTGCGATAACATTTTCAATAAAAATAAATTTGCTACTTGATGTAATTATAGAACATAACATACAATATGGATGGATCATGTGAAAGTTCTTTTTAGAATATTTTCCCAATAGAACCTTAATTTGCTCTCACATCCTGTTCCCATTTATATGGTGTATATATTTTTCTATAGAAGACTTGAAGGACATTTAGGATTTAAAGTAAATTTATCCTTTTTTTGTTATTAACATATATATACACATTGTTTATGTTTATTTTAGAATATTACTCATTGAATAGTATATTTTACATAGTCACCTAGGTGAACGATTCCAAACTCAGATGTGGCTATATGAAGATTATCACCACATACCCATTGTGTGTTGATAAATGGATTGTGAACTTCGGTTATTATGGTACTGCTGGCAGTGGCCGAGTCACTAGAGCCAGACAAATGTTTCTGAAAGCAGTCTTTTTTTTAAAAAATTATAAAATATACAAATTTTTATCAACTTACCAACCAAAACTCATTACCCGGTAATGCATTACCATCCCAGGCATAGGATATTACAAGTAACATATTTTCAAACTTCGTTCCTTTGAGTTTATCTGCCGGATTTCGATTTTCAATACGAATACGTATACCACCCAAGGCATGTGATTTGGAAGAAATAATAGAATCGTGCCTCAGCTCGCCCCATCCATCCAGATCAAACCAGGCAAAATGTAAGACCCCAATATTGTTTAGTTTTGTCAACAGGTGTTTTACTCTCTGTTCGAATGTTTCCAGAAATATTTGCGTTTGCTGTGGGGCTATGCGCCAGGTACCCAAACCTATGCCCACTATATGTACATAGGCTTGTCTATTTTCAGAGGCCGCCCTAGATTGTGCCTCCATTAGAAGGGTATCAAAGGATAGGCTGTAGCGTTTCTTCATAGCAACATTGTCGAAAATTTCTTGGGATCCCGGCCTAAAGACATCACCAAATCGCTTGTTATCCCTTGAAACTTGATGGTATAGTAAGGTGGGTTCCTCATAAAATTGCTCCCATAGTTTACGCTTTTCCCTGAGACTTCTCTTTGAAAATAAATGGAATTTTATGCTGTTCCAGAGAGTAAATGTTTTTGGCTGGCCATAACCCCTTTCAATGGTATTTTGTTGGTGGCTTATCACAATATCCTGATAGTCCATGACAAAGGGCCTTTGAAAACGAGCACCAATTAAACCCACAACCACAGCTTCGCGTTCTATATTATTGTAATCTGTTTCAATTACTCCACGATTTCTACGGTTTCCATTGTTTATGAGTTCACTGTACGAAGAAATGGAGAGGAATGCCGAGAGCTAAAAGAAGACATTTAATAAGGCATCTAAAGTAGATATTGGATATGCTGATATGGTCCTACCTTTACTTCATCATAAGAAAGACAATTTTGAAGAGTTAATGGTTCCTTTTCCTTTTCGCTGCCTATGTTGCTGTAGGCATCACCGGCCCCAGTTTCTCCACTCAGTAACAAATAGGCATCCATGTAACCCACAAAAGAAACACAAGGTTTCGTTAATAAACGTTGTATGAAATCATTTAAGGGCATATTGGCATAAAGTTGTTTCTCTTTGCTAGAGCCTAAAAGGGAAAATTGAAAGGAATTGATGCTTAAAAAGGTTTTTTATTTTAGTTAAAAACTGGTATCCAGTAGTTAGACGTCTCAGACATATGTGGTCTACAATTATTAAGTATTGATACTAATGTTCTATATGCCCTCGCAGTTACAAATCGAGGATCCATGTTTACAAAACATTTTAAATTCAAAACTTGGAAATATTGTCAATATTTTAAATAATTTTTAATTAAAAAGGGAAATGGGAACAAGGAATATTTTATTTCATCATCAATATATTATTGCAATTTTTAAGGTGTACATGCGTATTTTAATAGGTTTATGTTGTTTTACATAAAAATGGGCATTAAATATTTATTCCTATTTACAGATTTTTTTTTTTTTTTGGTCATTTGTTTACAACATTTTCCATTCAGTTTTCATAACATAATTGTTTCGATAATTACAATAAATGCTGAGATATTTTCTCAACATAGTCACGAATGTGAAGGATAGCACCACGTTCACCACTAGCTATGTGTAAATTGTCACCACATATCCATTTCGTATTGATATGTGGATTGTGGAGTTCTGAAATCAGGGTGCTGCACGCTGTCGATGGATCATTGGAACCCGACAACGAACCCTGTAAAAATAAAGAATGAAATTAAAGAAAATCATTTCTCCTCCTCTGTTCACATTCGAAATACTCACAAACCAAAACTCGTTACCCGGCAAGGCATTACCATCCCATGCGTAGGAAATCACAAGCATCATATTTTCAAATTGGCCATTCAGTTTATCGGCCGGATTTCGGTTAGACATAAAAACATGTATTCCTCCCAACGGATGTGTTGACGATTCTATAAGTCCATTATGCTTCAGATCATGCCATTCGTCCATATGGAACCAGGAGAAGTGCAGGGCTCCGATGTTATTTAGTTTTGGCAGTAAGTGCTGAACTCTTTGAGAAAACGTTTCCAAAAATATTTTATTTTGGTGCGCCACTTTTTTCCATACGCCCAGGCCAATGCCCACAATGTGAATATAGGCTTGCCTTTGGCATTTCTCAGCTCGGCTCTGGGCCTCCAAAAGCAGGGTGTCAAAGGTTATGGCATAACGCTTTTTCATTAAAACATTGTCGAAAATTTCTTTGGATGGACACTGGTAGAATCTTGAACTGCCATCGGCCAGTGCTGGGTCATAAAGTATGTCTTTTTCTTGATAGAACTTTTGCCATAATTTACGATATTCGACATTGGCTTTGGAAGATTCCAGTGACGTGGAAGAAGGGTCATCGTCAATATAACCATAGCCATTTTCCTTTGTATTTTGTTGTGAAGAAATGATTATATCCTCATATTCCATGTAACGGGGCCTTTCGAAACGGGCCCCAATAAGTCCCATTACAATGCCTTGTCGTTCAATTTTGCTCAAATCCTTCTCAAATTCACCCTCATTATGTCGATTACCATCGTTTAAAAGCTCCGTGGATGATGAAATTGAAAGAAAAGCTGAAAGCTATGGCCAAGTTGTTTTTACTTTTCCAGCTGTCTCGTGTCGGATGTGTGACAACATACCTTGATTTCACTGTACGATATACAAGTATTCAATGTTAAAGGTTCTTTCTCATGCGGAGTACCGATATGGGGATAATCGCTGTAACCCACTCCTCGTTGGCCCGTCATCAGCAGGTAGGAGTCTCTGTCACCGACAAAAGCGACACAACGCTTATCCAATAGACGCTGAACAAAGTCACTGAGGCCTAAACTCCTATAAAGCGTTTTTTCAAGCGGATAGCCTAGTGATGGGTAAATAAAATTAGTAAAATAAAAGTGTGGGAATGCAAAAATAAACATATGGATGATATGCTGGATGAAAAAGGCGATATTACTCAGTTTTTCTTTTATGAACTTGTTTATAAGAAACAAAATACAAAATAATTTAGTTAAACATTGATTTCCTTTATTACATACACATCGTTACAATTTCATTTACGTACTATTTGTTTTGTTGCACTGTATATTATTCGCTTTTAGTTAATTTAAATTATGCACATAATCGCTTATATGAATGACACCATATTCAGGACTTGCTATATGTAGATTTCCACCACACACCCATTCGGTATTAATGTGACCATTATGGAGTTCTGCAATCAATGTGCTACTGGCCGTTGAAGAATCGCTAGAATCACCCAGGTGTTTCTAAAAAAAATCATTACAAATTAAATATTAACTCGAAAGTAGATTATGGAATAATTACCTGCCAAAATTCATTACCCGGCAAGGCATTCGCATCCCAGGCATAGGATATAACTAAAAGCATATTTCCAAAATTGGATTCCATTAATTTGTCGGCTGGATTTCGATTTGCCAAAAATGTTTTTATACCGCCATGGGGATGTGATGGCGATTCAATGAAACCATTATGTTTTAAATCACCACATTGGTCCACTCCGAACCAGGAGAAATGTAAAACGCCAATATTATTTAACTTCGGTAGTAGCTGTAGAACTCTTTGTTGAAATGTTTCCAAGAAAATTGCTGTTTGTTGTACAGCAGCACGCCACACTCCCAGACCGATACCCACAATATGCACATAGGCTTGTTTGTTTAAAAGCGCCGCCCTTGATTGGGCCTCCAATAGAAGGGTATCAAATGATATTGTAAATCGCTTCTTCATAACCACATTATCGAAGATTGCCGTTGAATTTGAACTTTCAATATCACCAAATCGTTTGTTGTCCTTCTTGACATTGCAGTAGAGATAGCTACGATCTTCATAAAATTTCTTCCATATCTTACGATATTCTCTACAAGGCATATTTTCGTCATAATTCTTTTTGTCAACAAATATTTTTTTAAGTGTTTGAAGGACGGAGTTGTTTGGACCATAGCCTCTTTCTTCGACATTTTGTTCTCGGCTGATAATAATGTCCTGATAATCCATCACAAACGGTCGCTGGAAACGAGCACCAATTAGACCAATGACCACACCTTCCCGTTCTATTTTGTTTGGATCTTTTTCAATAACCGCCATATTTTTACGATTTCCATTATTGATTAGTTCGCTATCCGATGAAACCGAAAGAAATGCAGAAAGCTAAGAACGTAGAAAAGTTGAATAACATCTATAATTGCGATGGCTATTTTAGTCCTCACCTTAACCTCGTCATAGGACAGACAGTTGCTAAGTATCAGTGGATTTTTTTCTTCGTCGGTGCCAATAAGATCGTAGTCAACACCATATCCAACTCTGCCATTGATCAGCATATATGAATCCATGGGGCCAACAAATGCCACACAGCGCTTGGTTAGCAAGCGTTGTACAAATTGTTCCAAAGTCATATTTTGGTAGAGATCCTTTTCTTTGGAATGACCTAATAATCATTGGGTTAACTGTTATCAATTTGAATTTTAATAAGGACCATATTTGAAAGATGTACTGTTAATTAATTGCCCAACATACAAGTAATATTTCAAATGCGTATACGAAATTCAGGACCCAGAGCTAATATCCTATGGAACTGTTTAAACACTACTTCCATAAAAAAATAAGAAGTATTTGTCTTGTATAAAAATTACAGTTTTATTATTTTTTAAGAGGGTTAACCAGGTTTTGTATTTTAAAAATGATCTGCAATATGTATGACACCATAATTCTCGCTGGCCGAGAATTAAGATTACGTTGATATACAGTTTTCACTTTTTTTTTCAATTGTAGTCTCATTTTTCCATAAAATTCACCTTTTTTATTATAGATTGGACTTAGTCTGGTTTTGTATTTTTTACATAATCTGCAATATGTACCACACCATAATTCTCACTGGCAATGTGTAAATTGTCTCCATTCACCCATTCCGTATTAATGTGGGGATTGTGGAGTTCTGTTATAAGAGTGCTACAGGCAGTGGAGGAGTCTCCAGTCGATTTCAGCATTTTCTATAAAAACAATAATGTCTTTCAAACTCAGAAAATCTTTCCAAAGGCAAACGAATACTTACCATCCAAAATTCATTGCCTGGCAAAGCATTGCCATCCCATGCATATGAAATAATCAAGATTCTGGCTTTATTGTCACATGTTTTTAGTTTATCTGCTGGATTTCGTTTTGATATGTAGCATGTAATGCCACCTGAAGGATGATTTTCCGATTTGAAAAGCTTGCCATTTTTCAGTTCACCCCACGCATTCAATTGAAACCAAGAGAAATGTAAAACGTCTATGCACTGGAGTTTTGGTAATAAATATTTTACTCTCTGTGTAAATGTTTCCAGAAATATTTTCTCCTGTTGCTCCGCAGCATTCCAGACTCCCAGACCAATTCCAACAACATGTATATATGCCTGTTGACCTGCACGTTTGGCACGTTCATTGCTCTCCAGTAATAGAGTGTCAAATGACATTGTGTAGCGTTTCTTCATCATTAAACTGTCAAAAACATCGTCTGGGCATTTTGTTGGTCCAAAGCGGCGATTATCCTTTTTTATAGATGTGAATAGGAAATCAGATTCTTCATAAAATTTTCGCCATATTTTACGATATCTGACTCTGTTATTATTGGAATTTTGATGAGGTGTAGAACCGTAACCATTTTCTTCAACATTTTGTGTTTTTGTGATAATTATATCCTGAAATTCCATAACATTTGGTTGATTAAGTCGGGCACCAATTAAACCCATCACTACACCATCTTGTTCTATAAGAGATTTATTTTTTTCAATAACTCCGCAATTCTGGCGATTGCCATTGTTTATCAATTCCGAATACGAGGAAACGGACAAAAGTGCTGAAAGCTAAAATATGTGATAAGTTTTTGATATCAATTCTACATAGATTTCATGGTTTACCTTTATTTCATCATAGCTTAAAACATGTTTCAGTAATAATGGGTGTTTTTCTTTTGTCGTTCCCACATCTCTGAAACCGCCACAACCACGTCGACCGCTGATTAACAAGAATTTGTCATTTCGGCCCAAGAAACTTGCACAACGCTTTTCTAATAGACGTTGTATGAACTGGCTTAAACTTAAGTTATGGTAAATTTCTTTTTCAATTGAATTTCCTGAAAAAATGTGCACAAATTGATGGCAGTTTATCGATATGGAATTCAAAATTGATAAATAAATAAAACTTTGATTAAACAAAATTTGAATAATTTATAGCATGTTTCCATTGGAAACCGAACAACGTTGTTCGCTCTCAGAATTAGGTACACGAATTAACCCGTTCATACGGCACGATTCGTAATTCATAGTAAAATAATTCCTTTTTTTCAAAATTTTGTTTGTTGATTTTAATGGGAATTTATACTAAAATACATTAAATTCTCACTAATATGGATAGAAGAAATGATTATTTTTCTCCCAAAGATTTATTAAAACATTAATTTTATAATTTTCATTCACGTTTCCAATTTTTTGTGTAAATGTTGACATTTTGAACATATTTTTGTATTTTTCTATTTTTAAATTCTGCTTGAGAGACACTTGTCAAACATTTTTTCTGCCGATACAAACATTCTGAAAATATTGCCTCTTTTGTTTCCTGTTTTCTGTGGTAATTTCAACTCGTGGACAAAATGCGTACCTCGGATGAGAGAGAAAACAAAATTTACTTTCGTTTGAATGTACATACGCTATTCTACATTGTAGTTTTCATTCATAAATTTCAGTCTTCCCAAAATTTTTCAAAATTTCATTAAATTTTTCTATTTTCAATTTTTAATGTCATAATTAATTTTTTCGATAAATGCTCTCATTTGTTAGGGATGGGACATATTTTTTCGTTGTTCTGAGAGTGATTTGATTTGAACAATGTACAAATATGATTGTTCGCTCAGGAAATTTTGTGTGAAGAATTAAGTAGTTTTTTCATAGTTAAGGGTCAAACAACGAATAGAGAGCGAATCAAGTGCAGTGGAAACGCCACATTACTCTGCTACTATTGTGAATCACAAAGTTATAAACAAAGTACCTGCGTATAAACAAACAAAAAACCTATGTGTAGGCATGTACATAAAAATTACTTTCTGTGCGCAACAAATCAATTCAGGCATGAACTGTGGTTTGACTACTACATATTGACTCACCATACAAACATTTATATTCCAAGAAATCCAAATACAATTGCAACACCCTCTCATGGATTACTGGATATGCTGATGAAATTTGCTTCTTAATGATGGGGTAACGATCCTTGGGTTGGCTCATCACCCTGCAGTTATTAGACCCAAACTGTTCAGGAGAAGAATCCAATTATAATTATTTAATTTAAGGGTTTCACTTCCAGGCTTACCTCCAAAGGAAATTCGGACGATTTCTTCATAAATGCCTCAATATCAACATCGACATTTTCCGGCTTTTTAATATTTTCGCATTGCTTCAAAAGCCTTTTACCGAATTCAGTCAATTTCAAAGCAGAACCGGCTTTTGGCCAGATTTGATCGAACTCAGGACCGAAAATTGACATTGTATTTTCTTAGGATCTGAATTTGAATTATGATGAAATTATTTTATAATTTATATTAACTTTGATCTGGCGTTCGCCGTGTGCGCGCTTTGAACTTGGAAGTGAGAATGAATGAATGAATTGTTGCTTTTCCGATTGATAAGACGTTTATGTTTGTTTGTACAATGGGTAGATGACTACCTGTATCATTTTGACATTGTATATTTGACAGCTAAAGCAAAAGTAAATCAGCTGTGAGAAAAAGGTAATACTTACGATTTGGCGTGCGACAAAATTGAAGTGTTTTTGGTTATTGTAGGAAAAAAGTGAATTTCCAAGGAAAAATTGAAATAAATGGCCAAAATAATGAAAATATTTCTAGATTTACTGCATAATTTAAGACAAGAAAATCTATTGTTTTTTTTAAATAAGTCTATATTGAAAGAGAAAACTCGTTCTTATACTCCAAGAAGAAAACTTACTGAATAGATCTTAGTAGAAAGCGTGGCAGAAAAATACAGGTAGATGCATCAATGCTTGAGAGCATTGATATGTCAAAAAAAATTTAAATGTTTTTCAAATATAAGTATATTTTTATATGTTTTCTTATAATACGTATTTCGGGGGCTATTATAATTCGCGTTTTTCAAGAATTTTTACAAATTTAAATAATTTTTCATTCAACATTTTCAATTTCAAAATTGGTTTGACAGTTCATTGCCCCAGCAGCTGTGTCGACGCGTCTACCTATATTCTTCTACCATGGTAGAAAGGCAAACCTAATGCCAAATGTGTGATATAGAGTTGCCAGACTATGAGATCTTTCCAAAGCTGGGGATAATTGAACAAAAATGGTAATCAAATTTATAATTTGAGAGATTTTGTTAGGAGATGCGATTAAATATGTGTATTGGTTTAAAGAAAGTTCAAATTAGAATATTATATATATCAAACATTACATTCTACTATTTCAAAGCGACGGCAGCAATGCCTTATAAAAAGGCGTTTGCAATGCAAGAATATTCCCAGGGAAAGAGAGGCGTCACCGATAACAGGATCATGTTAATATGGTGACGTGGTGACGTTATTCATAACAAATATTTTGATACGACAAAATAAAATGATGCTTAAAAACAAATAATTGGAATCAGATTTACACTAAAAAAATTGTTGAAAGTTTTTTACTTCCTATCCACCAATTCTCAAATCATGTATTTGCTCCATTGGTTTTCCTCGCGTAATAACTGATGTGAATGACACCATGTTCAGCACTTGCTATGTGAAGATTTGCACCGCACACCCACTCCGTATTGATGTGACCGTTATGTAGTTCTGTAATCAGAGTACTGCTGGCCGTTGAAGAGTCGCTAGAGTTACCCAATTGTTTCTGAAATTGGATAGGTTATTTTAATACAAAACATTTTGAGAGCAATCGATTCCAAAATTCATTACCCGGCAATGCATTAGCATCCCAGGCATAGAATATGACCAAGAGCATATCGGAAAAATCTGGCGCATGAAGTTTATCCGCTGGATTACGATTTGATAGGAATGTTTTTATGCCACCGCGTGGATGTGTTGACGATGTAATGAAACCATTATGCTTTAAATCACCGCATTGATCCACTCCGAACCAGGAGAAATGTAAAACGCCAATATTATTTAACCTCGGTAATAGCTGTTGAACTCTTTGGTGAAAAGTTTCCAAGAAAATGTCCGTCTGTTTTACTGCTGCACGCCACACTCCCAGACCGATACCAACAATATGCACGTATGCTTGTTTATTTAAATGAGCTGCCCTTGACTGGGCCTCCAAGAGCAAAGCGTCGAACGGTATGGTAAAACGTTTTTTCATTACAACATTGTCAAAAATGTCAGTTGGATCAAAGCTCAAAACATCACCAAATCTGTGATTGTCTTTCTTGACATTGCGATGCAGATAACTAGGATCTTCATAAAATGCCTCCCAAATTTTACGATATTCTATGGCCGCTATTATTTCGGGGCGGTTTTCTTCTGCGCAATGTCTCTTTGCAAGTAAATAAAAGGAAGAACTTCGGGGACCATAGCCACTTTCTTCGACATTTTGTTCGCTGTTAATCAAAATGTCCTGACAGTCCATAACAAATGGTCGCTGGAAACGAGCACCAATTAGACCAATAACCACACCTTCACGTTCAATTTTGCTCAGATCCTTTTCAATAACTGCCATATTTTCACGAGTACCACTGTTGATTAGTTCGCTGTGGGATGAGACTGAAAGGAAGGCTGAAAGCTAAACAGAAAAGTAAGCTTGTCGGCGGATTTACAATGGGCGCTAAAGCGTGTTCACCTTGACTTCATCATAGGACAGGCAAGTGCTTAAAACCAATGGTTCTTGTTCTTCATCAGTTCCAATTAAATCGTAATCATCCCCGTAGCCAGATCTGCCATTGAGCAACATGTAAGCATCCTCGGGATCAGCAAAGAGTACACATCGTTTGGTCAGCAAACGTTGCACAAAAGCCTCCAAAAACATATTTTTGTAGAGAACTTTTTCTTTTGGATGACCTGTAAATAAAAATCAAGAAAATAAACAGTAGCCAAGATCTGAATAGAGTATTTAATGCGAAGCATTGTAAATTTTTTTTATCTCTTTAGGGCACTGTATTGATCAATTTGTATAAAAGCCACTTTTACCATGGCCCAATAAGAAAGGTTGTTCAACTTCAAAAAAAAAAATTAGAAAAATACAACTCTGTGCTGCAGTCTTATAGTGTCAAATAGATTTTTAAATATGCATCAGTTGGTTTTGTTTATTTTTTTTTAACAAAATTCTTATATTTCGGGAAACCCGCAAAATAAGAATGGAATGTTGGGGTTGTTCCACAAGATTGAATCAAAAATAGTTGTGCAATACAATTTTATCCCAAAACCGTGCAATTTATATGCATTTAATTTGCAAGCGAATTTTAGATAATTGTAAATTATTGTATTTTTTATTCGAAGCAATGTACACACACATATGAATTGTGAATATGTTTTGACAGAATAAGTACTCTAAAAGAAAAATATTATATTTAGACGATAGCTTTGTTCTACATTCTGTAATTGTGCCATGACTTCTACCTTATAATGGATATTTGGTCTTACCATACTGGCATTTATATTCCAAGAAATCCAAATACAATGGCAACATCCTTTCATGGATCAATGGATATGCTGATGCGATTTGCTTCTTGATATTCTGGTAACGATCCTTGGGCTGACTCATTACCCTGCAGTTATTAGAACCAAACTACATATTTTTCAGAAAAAGAAAAAACATCCACTACATGATTATATAGAGATATAAGTACATAATATGTTTACCTCCAAGGGAAATTCTGATGATTTCTTCATAAATGCCGCAATATCAACATCGACATTTTCCGGCTTTTTAATATTTTCACACTGTCTTAAAAGCTTCTTGCCGAATTCTGTTAATCTAATGCTAGGAACACAATTGGAGCGAACGACGAATTTTTTCGCGGCGTATGTTCGTCGTCAAAAATAAAACACATATGTGTATATGGAAGTGCACACAATCACGGCACCGGCGAAAATTTCGTCGGTCGCCGCGAACTCAATTAGCTTTATTTCTATTTCATACGCCGGCGACCGGCGAACAAAACAGTACAAGGTGGCCATACTTGTACGAATTTTATGTGTTTTAGTAAATAAAGTTACTTTTTACTTTAAAATTTGTTATGGTCACTCTACTATCTGTTACTCGTATAAAAAAACATAATTAATTTGTTTATTTATTTGTGTACTTGCGCCTGAGTGAAGATGGATATCAGTGAATTTATAATAGAGAAGATGGACATAAGTGAAATTATAATAGAGAACGTAAAGAATTATGTGTTCTTGTATAATTCATTGTAGTCAACAAATGAGCAAAAAGTAAACAACTTCATCAGCTGTTTTATAATTTCGTGGGTATTGTGTTCCATACGACGAATTTTCGCGGCTCATTTTGTCGCCGCGTAGGGCGAAATTCGTCGCTCGCTCCAATTGTGTTCCTAGCATAAGTTGAGTGCCGACTCTGGGCCAAATCTGATCGAATTCAGGACCAAACTTAGACATACTTTCCCTCTTATTTGAAAGTATTTTCTGATGAAAAATAAAATTTGTTTTGTGCGTTGTGTGTCCGTTTTACGTTGTGACCTTTAACCTCGTTGTTCTGCAAGTGCAAGCGAAAATAGCAATATATCGATGAGGCATGTTTACATGATGTTTACACCAGTTATGAGCAGACTCGAACGAAAAATTACACACAGCCACATATTCTCTTTCTCTCTTCATTCCCATTTGTCGTGTTTTAATAAATGAATGCCACTATATTAATGCACAAATGTGTTTGATTAACATTGATACTGTTGCATAAAATCATTTGTTTCGTTTATGGTAAGCTCTTTCATGATTTGGTGGAGAGAGAGAGAGATAGAGAGAGGAAACATCGAATGAATATCTCGAGGCAATAATGGCCATTACTGACTGATTACACTCTATACCTTATACTCACACAGGATTCCTATGTGCAGAGGTGTGTGTACTGGATATTTGTACACCATAAACGTTCGATGTGAAAATAAATCGTACATAGGTGTTATTTAAAAAATCTTTCACCAGGCATATGTGTATAACTTCTTTTACATATATAGGATTTAAGCAAGTTCTTCTATAAATAGAGGGTACTAAATTTTTCTTCTACTGCCTCCAATAAATACACCCTTAAACAGTAACAAGTCCCTGAGTTTTACAAATTAAAATCTTCCCTCTCTCTCTCTCTCTGTAAATAAAGTCACTTGTTCTCTCATCTGCTTAAAATATCATCAATATGTTTATTTACATAAATTTATTAATAAAATAAAAAATTATTAATAAAATAAAAATATTTTTGTATATATTGCACGTCTTTAACATATAACAAACATTGTCCATTGCACAGGTGGGTCTGGGGTCATGCACACACATTTATTGCATATCTAATCCTGTAGTTTCTTCTTCGCATAATCGGCAATATGTATGATTCCATATTCCTCACTGGCCACATGCAAATTATCACCATTTACCCATTCCGAATTTATGTGAGGATTATGCAGCTCTGCTATTAGGGTACTGCAGGCTGTAGAAGAATCGCCAGTAGATTTTAACATTTTCTGAAAAAAGGAACAAATCAAATCGTCACGCCTCCATAAATATCCTCCCATGGGATACTTACCATCCAAAATTCATTGCCAGGCAAGGCATTGCCATCCCAGGCATAGGAAATAATTAAAAGCATATTTTCCGTCTCTGGGGTACTAAGTTTGTCGGCTGGATTTCTTTTCGATATGAAACATTTTATACCTCCCGAAGGATGGGTGTCCGATTTAAAAACTTTACCATTCTTCAGATCACCCCATTCACTCAAATGGAACCAGGAGAAATGTAACACATCAATGTTTTCCAATTTCGGCAGAAGATATTTTATACGTTGACTGAATGTTTCCAAAAAGATCTTTTCCTGATGTTCGGCAGCCTTCCACACACCTAAACCAATGCCCACAACATGAACATAGGCCTGTTTACCAGCTGCCTTTGCACGGGCATTGCTCTCCAATAACAAAGTGTCAAACGAGATCGTGTAACGTTTCTTCATCAGCAGATTATCAAAAATGTCATTTTGATTTTTCGCTGTGCCAAATCGTTTGTCGTCCTTTTTTACATCATCGAAGAGAAAATCAGGCTCTTCGTAGAATTTCTTCCAAATTTGGCGATAATCTTTTGGTCTGTTATCGGGCTCTTCGTCCAATGGGAAGCCGTAGCCATTTTCTTTGGTATTTTGGGTTTTGGCAATTACAATGTCTTGGAATTCCATAACATCTCTTCTTGTCAATCGGGCGCCAATTAATCCAATGACAACACCTTCTCGTTCTATAAGGGATTTATTTTTTTCAATAACTCCACAATTTTGACGATTGCCATTGTTGATTAATTCCGAATACGAGGATACCGATAGCAAGGCGGAGAGCTTAAATAAAAAGCATTGTATTTTTGTATTTAAATTATAACATAGATGAAAGGCGTACCTTGATTTCATCATAGCTCAAGACATTCTTCAGGAGCAGTGGTGGTTTTTCATTTGTTGTGCCAACATCCATAAAACCACTACATCCACGTTCGGAGGTCAGCAATAGGTACTTGTCATTTTTGCCAAAGAAACTAGCACAGCGCTGTTTTAAAAGGCGCTGAACTAGACCGGTTAAAGTGAGATTTTGATAGATTTCTTTCTCAATGGCGTTGCCTAAAAAGGTGGTGGAAATGTTATTGAAATATTGGTAAATAACAAAAATGTCATAGTTTAATAAATATATAGACGAGGGAATGTTTGGTTTGCTTTCTCATTCCAGGTGGCTCCCAGCAAGTCTTTACATAGCCAACATGCTGAAGAAGATAGTCGACATACCGGCATTTCTATGAATTTAACTTCATTGTTTTATATTTTTGATTTTTTTAAACCTTTAAATTTGACTGACTGAGTATTATCACTGAAACCCCTGAAATCTGTTGGTCTGATATGTTTTTTGAAAGATAAACGGTGATACCATTCTGTCATCTATATGTTCATTTGACTCTGCTTGCATATTCAGTAAAATACCCCTACTGCAAAACGACTAGAGAAGGTTGGCAACTCATTACATTTCTCTCGCGCTCTCACATTGACTTCCCTTTCCCATGGTTACTCTTACCGTTAAACAACTCTCATTGAAATATAATTCATTTTGTTTATATGCTCGCAATTCGTTTGTTTGTTTGTTTGTGTATGGGGTATATACCAACAATTGTGAAATTATCTTTTTCAACGGGGGAAATTACCTATTTTCTGTGGTCTTACCTACCGTATTGACACTTGTGCTCCAAAAAATCCAGATACAATTGTAGGACTCTTTCGTGGACCAAGGGATATGCCGAGACAATTTGTTTCTGTATGTTGGGGTAGCGGTCCTTGGGTTGACTCATAATGCGGCATGTATTAGTACCGAACTGAAAGCAGAAACATATTGGAATGGAGCTTCTTAAAATCTCTCCTTTCCTTCTTGTTCATAATTACCTCCAAGGGAAAATTCGATGATTTCAGTTTGAATGCATTCATATCAATTTCTTTTTGTTCCGGCTTCTTTATATCTTCGCATAGCTTCAGCAGTTTTTTACCGAAATTACTGAGCCGAAGCGGAGTATCAGTTGTGGGCCATATCTTTTCAAATTCTTGGCCAAAGGATGACATTTTTCTAAGGCTAGTTGTTGTCGCTATGTGAAGAAACTAAATTTTGTTTGTGTTGTTTCCAGTTAGAGGGATGGGATATCTCTGTTTTTTGTTTTGGTATTCACTGTTTTGCTGTTTCTTGCCAGACATCTACGTCACAGAGCTTTTCAACAGCTGTGAGTTGAACAGCTGATTAGATTTGCTCAAAGCGTATTTAAGCTTTTGATTTCAAATGAAAACTAAAACAAATAACGGCCAAGTCACTTCTGACATATTTTTGAAATAGACATTTAAGAAGGAGACAAATGTAATTATTTTTTGTTTGGTTAGCCTAACATTTTTAACAATTGTTGCAAATTGTTACTAGAAGCATAGATAAAGAAAAGTTTAGCCTAAAAGTTGTCTCATCTGCTATCTTTGTAAAAAAACGTTTCAACAGATGCCGTTCATGCTGTGAGAGAGCTCAAATCAATTCACTCAATTCTCTCAATGCACGAAATACCAAATATTTATATGATTAACACATGGTCGCAGAATAAAGGTAGGGGCATCGCACAGCTGCTGAGACAATGAACTGTCAAACCGATTTTAGAATTGAAAATGTTGAATGAAAAATTATTGAGAATTGTAAAAATTATTGAAAAATGCATATCAGAACAACATCCGGTTTGCATTGTATAAGAAAACATGTCACCTTTTACTTATTTTTGACAAAAAATTTTAAATATTTTGACATCTTCTACCATGATTCATTCTTTTTATTGAGAAATCAGCTGATTGCTTGCAAGTTTAAGCAGGGATTCCGTCCATGGTAGAAGAATATAGGTAGACGCATCGACGCAGCTGCTGGGACAATGAACTGTCAAACCAATTTTGGAATTGAAAATGTTGAATTATATTATATTTGAAAATAATTTAAAAATTTTGACATATGAATGTTCCCAATCGTTGATACATTTTTCTATTTTTCTACCATGATTCCGTCTGGAGTCGGGTACCATTAGAAAAAAAATGTAATCAGCTGGAAGCTCTACCTTATCTTTTTTATTGGAACAGGCCATAAGTTATACCAAACATCGGTCGGTCTGCTAATTGTAATGTGTGACCTCAGCGAAACCCCAAATTTCTTTTGGTTAGGAAAATTTTTTGAGTTTTTCTAATTTTATAAAATGAAAGACTTGTAGTTTTTTTTTTGGAATATATTTTCTTTTTTTCATTGGTTTCTTAATTTTTTCTCTAACTTTTTCTTGTTTTGCCTTTACAATAGATTATGTTTTCTGAGAGGGATTCGTCTTGCCATTTTTGGTTTTTTTAATTTTTTTTAATTTATTTGACTTTCTTTATAATACCTTTTTGATAAGCTTATGAAACTAAATAAATTGATTTTCGATATTATGTTTTGCTTGTAACTTTTACAATGAGTTCATATTTTAAGTTTTAATGTTTAATTCATTGATAATTGATAGGAACAAAAGAAGAAAAACAAATATGGAAAATATTAAATTAAACATTTTGGTTTATATGCGAGTTATGTTTTTTTTTTTTTTGGTTTTTATTTTTTTTTAATTGCCCTGAAGCAAAAATTCGTTTATATTAAATGAAAAGTATGAGGAAATGTTGTTGTTGTTTAGTTGATTTCCTCGATTTTGTTTTTTGTTATAAAGTTGGGAAAATAATTTTCTTTAATCTTTTGTTTTCTTAATTAAAGAAAATATTTTTTTTTCATATATGTTTTGGTATTTGGATTTTTCATAAGTTCATACGCAGCGCAGGTTGTTGTTTTGTTATATTTTTATTGTTTTCATTTAGTAATTTCTTGTTGTTGTTGTATTTTTTTATTTTTCTTAGAAAACAATACAAATACAATGTGTTATTAAAAGTAAATTATAGAGTATAGAAAGTATTTATTTGCTTTATTCTTTTTTTTTTTGGTTTTAATTCAAAATTATTATTTTCTGTTTGGTTTTTTTGTTTATTAAATTAGAAATATTAGAATTATGTATCACATATAAAAGTTAATCCAAGTTTTACTTTTTTTTTCTTGTTTTGGTTTCAAGTAGCAAATTATTATGGTTTCCTTTATCAATGTTTTCTATTATTTTTTCTTTATTTTTTTAGAAAGCTTTAAGCATAACTGTGAACTGATTTGTTTCCGAATAGACTGGCTGAGTTCTATTATTATTGTTTTTCTGTTTATTTATTAGTGGAAACGAGTTTTTTTTTCCAAAAAAATAAAATATCAGTGTAGCCAACATTTTTTATTATTTTGAAATAAAAAATCAAAAAGTTGCTTTAGTTTTGACCAAGCAAAAATTGGGTCATTTTAGTTTTCCATATATTATTTTTCATTCCAAATTATTTTTGTGTTTTTATTTTTAATGTATTTTTTGAAAGTGAATAAAGTACCTCATTTAAAACTGGAAAAATAATTACGATTTGTTTATTTTTGTAAACGTTACAGGGCATTTATTGGCTTTGCGATTTTACTTGCTTTAGTTTTGGCCACCAGTGTATGTATGACGCTAAAGCCACTAGAAAAACGATAGATATTGGAATATATACGAATCATGACGTTTTAATCATATCTTCGCACAAAATCCAAGTGTATGAGAAGAATGACATTATGTTTTAAAGGTTTTTGAAACCCTGGTGAAGCCATGGTTTATATTTCAGCCAAACCCAACTTTTTTTTCAAATTAATCTGAAAACTCAATCCCAATTTTGAGCGACTGCATTTCTAACAAGCCACACTCTGAAAAAAAACACTGATATCTGAAAAGTTGCCAAAAAATAACAAGTTAAGAATGGGTGTAAATATGTATATCGGTTTGAGTTCTTGTTTTCAAAATGTTGTTTTTTTTTTGTTTGCCTCCTTCCTTGTTTAATTAAATTTGTGTTTAGTTTTATCTTTTTAGTTATCTGAAAAATAAATGCTTTTTTCTGTTAAAAACAATTCTCTTTATTTACGGAAGAATTTTTTCTCAGTGTATTTTCTCTTGCTTATGAAAAATCGTGTTAGTGTTAGTTATTGATTGTAATAAAAAACTCACGCACACACTCTCACAAAAACAAAAAGTCTCAAAAAAACATGCATTGCCTTATTCCAAGAAATATGCTTATTGCAGGATAGGGGGACCGCGGTTGGTAATGGTTGGTACTGAAATCGATTTGGATAATGTGCACAAAGTACAATAAAAAAATGGAGGAGAATGGAAAATCATTGAATTTTGTATGGAATCTGCTTTAGAGGAATAGTAAGAAATGGGCAAAGACCTAAAATGGTAAAGACTAGACAAAATGCATGTTGAGCAAAAGGTTCGTTTCTAAAAAAACATAGAGTAACAGCTCATGACTATAAAAACCACAATTATAGAAACGATTGACAAATAAAGGTTTGAAAAATTCAAAAATGTGGTTTCAAAATTCTTTCTCATCGACCTTTCCAAAAATTTGGATATTTCCTTGGCGTTTTAAATCAGTTAACATTGGTAAGTATGTTGTTATGGTATCATAACAACAGAGGTATTTTCACAGGGTTGCCACATTTTGACTCTGTCTTGTCTTATCTTATACTTCTAATTCTTTGAAAGGGGACTGAGTTTTTGACGAAAGTATGTCTTTCGATCTAAAAAACAAATAGACGTTAAATATACCCTTTGAAATATTTCCTAAGTTGGTCATTTTTTATTCCAAAATTTGTACAACGTCTTTTTCAAAAATTGGGAATTCTAATAAAGGAATATCAGCAAAGTCTCTGTCAATTTATAATCTTGGAAAGAAATTCCACAACACCCTTATCGATTAAAGTCATAAAACTAGTTCAGCAAATGGAATTGTTAACTTTGACATTTGTTTCCAATTTGTCTACCTTTAAATTACATCTCTTCGAATGGCAATGCATGTGATGGTTGATCGACTTTTCGTTTTGTATTATTTAATTGTTTTTTTTTAGTATTATTTTAAAGAATCACTCAACCCCATTTCATGTCATGTGGTTTATTTACTCTGCTCCGCAGCAGATGGGCTTGCAGTATCAGAAATGGGGCTAGGCAATCTCTTAATAGGTGGTTAAACGGAAACTCTTTGGGATACTTTTTTTTGTTAAATCTTGTTTTTTTTTTCTCATTTAAAATACTGTTATTAATCTTATTTTATTACTTTTTAGATAAGTTTCATCATTGTTATTATTATTATAAATTTGACTAGATTCCTTGCTTAGATTTATTCATTATTTTTATTATTTATGTTCATATAAATATTTTTAATTTTGTATAATCGGTGTATATTTGTTTGGAATTTTCATGTTTTTTTATCTCTGTTAGCCTGTTAATATTGAAAAATACAAACTATTTGTTGTTGTGGTTGTTTTTGTTTTCATTTGTTTTATAATAAATATTTATTTTGTTTATAGTTTAATTTTTAAATATTAACAGTTTAATTTAAGTTTCTTTTTTGTTTAATAAATATCTATCATTATTATTATTTATTATTTTTTCTTTCTCTTTGTTAAACTTATTTTAACTTTCCTTATGGCTATTTTAATATTTCATTAAACTTATTGATATTAAATAAATTATTTCTTTTTCATTTACTGTTTAACTTATATATTTAATATTTTTCTTAAACATTGTTCTCTTAGAAATTAATATTTCGATTGCATTTTTGTTTGTTGGTTTGTTTGTTTTGGTTTGGTTTGGGTGTCAAGCCAAATGTTTTTGTTTACCTTTTGCAAAGGAAAGAACAATAATAACCAAAATGTTGCTCTCCTCTCTTTCTCTCTCTGGAATAGAAAAATACTCTCCGTTTGGTTTTTTTTTGCATGCATGAGTCCCCGCTGTTGTGAAATATTATAAAACTGCAACTCTGTTCTGTTTGAAAATATAATATTATTGTTGTTTTGGCGTATTCTGTTGGATATCCTCAGTTGGCAAATCCTAGGCATAGAATTCTGATTTTCCGTGAAGTTTATAGGCTTCTTCTTCCACTTTGTACATATCTAAGAGCTGTAAAAATATGGAAAAGCATAGTCATATAATATGTTTTCAAATAATAATGTTAGCCATCTATCTACTTGTAATTTCTAGATACATGGTCTGCTCCAGAACCTGCAAGAATCTACTAGTTTTTCAATTTTTTTTCGATAATTTTACCTTCTTGCAGTTCTGAAACAGACCAACAGTAAACAATTAAAATACTACTAAACTAAATACTACTATCAAATTCTTTTAAAAGGAAGACGTTCTCGGATCTAAAAATTAATTAATTAATTCATTGGGCCGTCTGTCAATTTATATCGAGTATTGAAATGTGACACATTCTTGGCCTAATTAATTTTCCAAAGTATGAAATAGCAGGCTCTTAGTTGAACAAGTAAAAAAACATGGAGTACCCTCCACTTAAGAGTAAAGGAAACATTAGAACCCATTATGACCCACAAATACCAATTTTAAGACATATTCATGGCAAATGTGGCAAAAATCATCAAAATACTGAATAACGGGAGGTACTGCTATATGGGGCTATACAAAATCCCGGACTTATACATACAATGTTTTGCCACACGAATTAGGACCCATTATGACTTACAAATACCAATTTTCAGACAAATCCGTGAAAAAATGTGGTAAAAATCATCAAAATACCGAATATCGGGAGGTACCGTTATATGGGGACTATACCAAATCCTTGACCTATACATGCAATGTTTCGCCACCAGACCGAAAATTGGGATGTACCATTATAGGGGGGCTATACCAAAGCCTGGACCTATACATACAATGTTTCGCCACACGAATTAGGACCCATTATGACCTACAAATACCAATTTTTTTAGACAAATCCGTGGAAAAAATGTGGCGAAAATCATTAAAATACCTAATTTTAAAATCGGAAAATGTTTATTCAAAATTTGTTAAATTTTATTCGAAATTTTAAAAGTTTTCAATGCATCGGAACCTTCGCTAGATAAGAAAAACAGGTCTCATCGACATAAAACACATACAGCAAATCCCTTTCTTGGCCTTTAGAATGCTACACTAAGGAAGTGCATTTCGCAATTAGACAATGTTTGGAATCTATGCGTAAACCAATAGACAATTATGTTTTTTTTTTTTTTGTAACCTGTGGTAGTTGGGAGTTCTCAGGAAAGTGATTTTACTCAGAAATGTTTGGTTCCTATTAATTTATCTCATCTTTTAATCCTTCAAGACTCTTATTGTAAAAAATGCAATTTTTGTTGCATACTTTCAGGGATATGAATAGAAAATCTTCTCTTCAAGATGCACAAATTATATGATACAAATATTGAATAAATACTTAAATAAAAATAAAAAATTACTTCAAATAATTTTTTCTGTATCACTTTAACACTACGTGCTTTTTTGTGGAGAGCGTAATAATGATTTTGATTATCAAACAATAGAATAATTAAATTACACATGGAGCTCTCTCAATGAGTTCTTGATGTTGTTGGATGATGATGGTGATAGTCTAGTTGATGTCACTACTTTGTTATGTGTTTCTTTTTTTTGTTTGTTCTTTTTGTTTAGTTTAGTTTATAGCATTACATAGAGGCAGATCTACTTTGCTACTGTGTCGTTCTGCGGCAGTGTGTCGTTTAGTACCTTTTGTACATCAGTACTAAATTCCTCGACTTGTTTGCTATGGGCCATTTTTAATTTTTCCATGGCACGGCCTTGTTTTACACCGATTTGCTAAAGTAAAGAGAGAGAGAGAGAGAGAGAGGGAGAGATTTATTTCCATGACCCAATTAAAAAGTTCTCCCACAAACTCACCTTTTTCTCTTCCATGAAGCGTTTGATGTTATTCTGTCTTTTCTCTCTTAGACGACGATCCTTTTCGTTTTTAGTCTTTAGGGTTTTGTCGTTTTGTACCTCTTTAGCGGTATCGGCGGAAGTCTTGGCCTGCTTGGCATTCAAGTCCTTGACATCTCTGTTCGGCAAAAGAAAGCGGATTATTGTGAGTAAATTGTGTTACAAATTGCCTGATTTACCTACCTTGCATGTCTCTCCTCCAATTGCTTGATCTGGGAGGCCTGTACGGTCAGCATGAGAGCCTTCATGGCTTCTTGGGAATCTTGCACGTGCTGGCGCAAGAGATCCCACTCCTCCTTCTTGTGTTTGGCGATCATTTCAGTCCATTGTTTGGTTTGTTCGGCAATGGCATTCTTGATGGCCGAGTCATTGCGGATCTCATCCTTGCTGTAGTGACGGAAATAGTAAATACATTTTCGGGAGTTAAATTAAATTTGAGCCACCCTACCTCTTTCCCTTGATCAACTTATCGATGGCGGCATTTTGGGTCTTCTGCACTGCCATGCGCTCCTTGGTATGCTTCTTCTTCAGGGTATCCAATTCCTTGTTTTGTTTCTTGGCCACCTTCTGGAAGCCCTTCTCACTGCGCAGAGATTCCAATGTGACCGGCTCAAAGACCAAAGGTGCTTCTTTCTTCTCTTCCTCCTTCGATTTGCCAGCATCTTTAGCGGCACCACTACTCTGCTCTTCAATGCCCAAGCCCTTCAGTTGTTCATTCTGCTTTTGGGCGGCACCGGCAAAACCTCTGGGATCCGACAGCATGGCCATGAAGTCTTCAAAGCCATCGGGTACATAGATCTTCAATTCAATCTGGACAAACAACATGGGCAAGGACATGGGGAAGTTGGCTTCGGTACGCAGCGACACATGGCGATAGCCCGCCTGCAGACCATCCATGGGCAAGATGCGTTGACCAATCATTTTGCCGCTCTCTTCATAGACACCGAAACGTAACACAGCCAGATCGGGCAAGACAACCTTACGGAATACGAAGGGATCCTCATTGTAGACAGGGTTGAGACCGTTGTTGGGCACCAAGCGGGTACGGAATTCCTTTTTCACTGTATCGGAGGGAAGACCAAACATATCGACTTCAACATAGGTGCCGACCTTCTTGTCCGACAAGAATTGACCGGCAATGATTTTCACCGAACACTGGGCAGCAATCACACCATCCACTGGAGCGTCGGCGAAGGGATCGAAGTCCTTGTCCGAGCGACGCATGAAGTCGGGTTTCAGCAAATAGCCACAGCCACCGTTGTACTCAAATTTACCCTGGTTCAGTTGCATGGGCAAATCGGACGTTTGGAAGTTCAGGGAGACCATCTGACAGCCGGCATTCCAGAAGACCTGAGGCATGTAGTTGGAGGAATCGGCACGTGTGCCCTTGGGATAAATTCGGGACATTTGGCGTTTGTTGTAATTGACAAAGTCGATGGCATTCTGCTTCAGGTAATTCATGCCGGCCGATTCGGCAAAGGAGGACATGTTGTGGGCAATGTTCTTTTCAATGGCTTTGTCGAAGCCCTGGAACTTAATGGGCTGGGCATAGTTGACCATTGAGGAGAGCCAGGGGTGGACGTTGGTGGTGGAGCCACTGTAGGCGGCCGGTTGTTCACCGCCCTCGGCTGCAGCTCCATCGGCGGGAGCGCCATCTGGCCCAGGTTCGGCGGGTGCTTCCGGTGGTGGTGGTGGGGCCTCCTCAGGCGGCTTGGCAGCCGTGGCATCTTCGACGGGATCATCGTCTGTCTTCAGTTCACCCTTGAGCCACAATTCCAATTCGACCTTTTCCACTTCGGGTTTCATGCGTTTGTTCTTGATCATGATCTTACGTTGTAACTTGCAAGGCGGTGGGAGTGGCAAACCCGGTTCCAGCTACAATTAAAAGAGGAGATGTCTTGAATTTCGGAAGGGGCGGTGGGTAATTCTATCAACTTACCGGATGATCGGGTAGGGGTTCCTTTAGCAAGAGGTCGCCAAAGAAGTCATCACAGTATTTGGCCAATTTATATTGCTGGGCACGATTGCAGTGATTTTCGAAGGACAAAATGACCGGATAGCTGGAGGCCACAAATGCACAATCGGCAATGGCTTGTATGCAGTCCTGGGTGGGAAGATTGCAAAATGATATACAGGGCTTTTATGGAAAAGTTATTTCTGTTTCTCACCTTATACAGAATTTCAGTACAGTAGGCGTGACCGTGAGTAACAATGGGCTCTTCGTCTTCACCTTTGCCATTCCAGCAATCCAACTCCACACAGCTGTGTGGAAAGATATGTTTAGCATTGGCTTTTGTGAAACTCTCCATTGTGAGGGATACTTACCGACAACCGGCCAACAGGGTCTGCCGATACATTTCCACTGAAGATTTACCACCGATTTGTCTGCCCGACAAATAGGTGTTGTGTGAGCTGTTGATGTAGTAATGGGACAGGGGCTGTTCCATGTCCTGGTACATGTCCAGACGATCCAAAAATACGGGAGCATTTTCATCGGACATCAGGTAACGCTTAAAGCCATCCAAAGAGAATTCACCTGAAAGTGGGGAAATTCGGACATGAAGAAATGAATCTCCTATACCTGTGGACAGGTGGGAGCGGATAATAGCTTACCAGCCTTTTTCCTATCCTCATTCAGTTCATAGTCGTTAATGATTTCTGTACAACGTTTCTCTTCGTAGAGGGGATATAGAATTTCATTCATGCGTGGATCACGCTGCTTTTCATTCATGAATTGGATGAACTGTTCCAGGCTTATGACCTCCGATTTGCCTTTGGTTCTAGAGAATGGGGTAAAAGGGTGATGATAAGAAAGGACGATGGTTTCAATGGCGCCCACTTACATCGTTGTAAACAATTCCTCAATGTCGTTACGGGGACACACTTTGTGGTACAGGGCATAGAATTTGTCGAACGTAAACTCATCGCGGGTCATGGTGGCACTCTTGTCATCGGGCAGACCGCAATCTTTGATACACTGATATACCAATTTTTCGGTTTTGCCTGAGGCAAAGGTCTTGGCCACAACTTTTATGGGAATTTTCCCACCCTTTTCCACCGAAAACGATAGACGCATCCAACTGTGGGGGGTAAAGAGAATAGAGGATAAGGGAAGTTGTACAAATTAGTGCTTCTGAAATTCTCTGTGTTGAAAAGAAGGAAGTGAGAATAAAATACAAGGATTTGAAACACTTACCTTGTGGTTTGAGATTAATGGGAGCTGAGATGTCAAACTTACCGGTCTGAGCTTGAGGATAAAGGAAAGTCCTTCCTCAGGGTATAGGAACTCTTTTTCAGGTCTTGAGAATTCGAGAAGAATTTTTGTTTTGATATATTTTACAATGGCAAGAAATCTCAGTTAATGAGGACTACTTTTTTGAAAGTGAATTGAAGATTTTCAGGTCTGAGCCCAGAAACCCCCCAACACATTTCGAATATCAAATGGCGATTCGTAATAAAAAAACAACCGCCTTTATTTGTAAAATTTCAAACCCCATTTCAAACAAACCCACATTGCTTTGTTTTGCCTGCATTTACATTTGGAGCCTCAAATAATTGTGTAAAGTCCTTGCCAGGGTGGTATTGTCAGGAGATTCAACTCATACTTGGAATAAAAATTGCAAATGCATTGAAAAGTCTGTTTTGCAATGATTGGCAATGTTGGGATACTTTACTGTTGTGGCCTGAAAGAAGCGCACATTTCAGCGTCATCAGCATCATCATCACCAGCTGCAGTAGCAACAACAGAGGCAGCTGCAGCAGCAGCAGCAGCGTCGGTATTATCATTCTTCTCAATCATCATTTCATGGGGAATACCATTCACGATAAGTTCTCTGTGATGGCTGAATGGCGGGAAAATTATTATTATATTCTATGACTGGAGCTCCATGGAGCAGGACCAAGGCTGTGGCGGGCGCTGTGGTAGCTGATGAATAATAAAGTGCGGGAGGATTTTCAGAGTAATGTGGAAAAACCTCGTAATAAGGCTTCTACTTTTGTTGCTGCTGTTGTCGTTGCAGCTGTAAAACTTGAAAAGCCATAAATTATCAGCAGGCCAAATGTTAAAGGTCAGCTGTGATTCTGCCATCATCCCGGACTATATGTGAAGGCTGCCAGGGACATATGAAGCGTATATGCTTCAATTATCTGCCAGTGATTAAAAAAAAAAACTGCACTCAGCCATTGTTCGGTATGGCACGGAAGAAAAAAAAAATAATCTCCGAAGTACCGTGGCATCACCGGCAGCCTCACATTTATGCTTCACATCCCAAACATTTTTTCTAAATTATTTTCAACTTACCTCCAGTGACATGACATTTGGTTTCCTTGCCAGAGCAAAATTATTTAAATTTCCAAAAAAACAAAAACGGAATTGTTGGACTTACTGTTTCATTAAATTAGTCGTTGGACAGACATTAGTGGCCTTATTATTGTGGGTAATGAACCGTAACCCGTCTTGCCAACGCTGGTGTGTGTGTGTGTGTGCGGTCGAAAGTGAGGTTAGATTTATTTTAATTCGAGAGTGCAGTTGATGTGGTTGGGATGATGGATGGATAGATGGGAGGGTAGGTGGTTAGTTGGATGGTTAAGTGGCGTTTAGTTAAGTTGACATAACATGCAGTATGTGTATGTGTGTGTGTGCGAAAACAATTGACAAAATGTAAACAAACGAAACAAGTGAAGAATCAAACAGAATAGACATGCAAGTAAACAAGAGAGAAGAAAGGAAATATAGTAATATAAACATTATTCAATAAACAAAAAAAGATTAATAAAAATATAAGAAAAAGTAGGGAAAATTCAATCCATTGAGGCATTTTATGAGAGAATATTACCCACAAGAAGATCTATCTAGAGTTTTTTATATCACATAAGTTATTTTGTACGGGAAAACCTTGAGACCTCTTTGAAATACCCAAATATCTTCTTTAGAAGAAAATCTTTCCAAGGGTCTTATGGAGAGGAGGGCCTTCTAAAAGTTTTCAAAAAAGAAGACATTTCAAAGTTTTTCACAAAGAAGAAGAGATCGAATGAGGTGTTTTGTACAAGACGTCCTGCATAAGAATGCTCTTGATATATTCACAAATTATATTAGAACACATTACTTGATGAGAATATTTTTGGAATACTTTTGGACGGATTTTTTTATATATAGAAACCCCCAACTAACTAGAAAAAATCTCCACAAAGGTATTTCTCAGAAAAAAATTCTTTTCAAAGGCATTTTTTAACAAGGTCTATCTAAAAGTCTTCTCTGTAAGTAGATCGGGATCTTGTACACAAGACGTTTCGGTATTGGAAGATCTTCATTTATGGCTTCAATAGGATTTTTTGGATTAGGTTTTCTTTTTATATTGAAAGGCCTTTCTTGAGGTTCTCAATGTAGAAAGACACTCCTTAAGACGTCTCTTTGGATTAACCTTGGTAACCTATGTAGAAGAAGGCCACCATAGAGTTCTCCAGAGTGTTACTATTCCAGAACCTAAAAAATCGACTATTTTTGAAATTTTCCGAAATCATAAACGGAAAATCGGTTATAGTTGTAAAAACTTTTACATTCTTGCAGTTCTGGAACAGGCCAAGCCTCAGGTTTGCTGTTTGGAAATGTAGTTTATTTTTTTATAACCATACCTGTAGGGGAATTCTGTAACTCATTTTTGGAGTTATCGAAAAAATTGATAAAATTCAACTGCATATAATTACGGTAATTAACGATATATGTCGGAAAGTTAGCGACGAAATTAAAGGTATCTACCAATAGATAGTTTGTCAAATTTCCTAATTATTGTTCGTAATGGGTACTACGTTTTTGTATAGCCCCCATATAACGGTGCCTCCCTATATTCAATTTCGTATTTGGAGTTCCTAATGGGTACTTCAGTCTATCACAGAAAATTGTCTAGGCTACCTCCCTATATTTGATATTTTGATGATATTAACAGAATTTTTGACAGATTATATTTTTTTATTAATTTTTTTATATATATTTTGTTTTGATAATTTCCAAAATCGTTCCAAATGGTGGAGGGTATTACAATATCGGCCCGGACGAACTTGCTGTTTTTTAACTTGTTTATAACAACATTTTGAGTTCGAAAGTAACCGATTTTTGTCGGTGCTGGCTTCTATATAGGATAAGCTACCTTGAATTTTCAATTTAAGAATCCGTCTCCAAAAATAAATATTCCCATCTAAAACTTTGTGTAGAATAAGACCTTCTCTTTGGCCTTTTTTATAAAATACCTGCCCTCAGTTTTCTGTATAAAAATACTATCCCTCACAACTTTTTTATAAGGTAAGATTCCTTTTCTTCTTCTTTTTCATGATCTTCTCTTTTGACTTTTTCAAAGTCTCTTTATACAAAATTTTATATCTGAGATCCCTTTCTATAAGAGAATATTCCTCTTGTTCTTCTATGCAGTAAGAACTCTCAGGCTATTTTTTAAGAAAACTTCCACGCTTTTATTGAGGAACACCTTTAAGTCTTCTATGGAAGTTGACTTATATGATCTGCTTATGAAGAATGCCTCCCCGATGTCCATTGTTGTAGGTTTCAAGGCAACGTATTACTTCCAGGAGCTTTTCTATAGAAGAAGTCCTTTTACAATAGAAGACGAAGGTCCTGAGGTCAACAGTAAAAGAAAAATATAGCCTGGAGGCCTTCTATAGAAAAAACCCTGAGATATTTTTACAACGATGTACCGTACCTTAAAGACATTTATATAAGAAAAAAGGCCAGTAGCAAAGTCTCCCTTGTATACGATCAGGGGATTTTTTAGAAGAAGATGTCTTCATTTGAAATCTATTAAAGTTTAGACCAAAGAAAGGCTTTTCTTAAGTCTTCTATATAAATGTCCGTGCTTGGGATCTTCTGTAGACAGGAAAATCAACAGAAAGTTCTACAAAACGTTCTACAGAGAGTAGGATGCTCTTTTTTAATCTCGAGTTTTTATGGAATATATTTTGCTATTTGAAAAATACTCAGTATTAAAAGTGGTATTATTTTCATAGAAAATATTCCTCGAAACCTGAAGATTGAATATATTCTTCATTCTACGTTGAATATAAAAAAAAAATTGTAATAATTGATTTGGTTATGTTTTATGGAAGTTTATATCAAAAGTACTAAATTACAGTTGGTACATTGTGTCCATAAAAAATGTCGTCAGAAACCAACAATATAATGCCATATGGTACTATTGTTAAAATTATTAACTTGAAAGCCAACCCCTAATCCGAAGAACTTTTAGGCAAAATTTTGGGCGCGCACACAAATATGGCGCCCAAGTTTTTACCAGATGAAGCCAGCTACTCATTGGCTTATATTTTGATCTCCAAAGGTTGTCGTCTTTTTTTTGACATTTTTAGTAGATTTTAAATTCCCGCACTTTCTGGAAAAATTTTTTCTCTTAGAGCGAGTTTAGTAATTCTCTCTTTGCCTATTTTACCATTAAAAAGTAAGAGAAAGCAAAATTTGTTGCTTCAGTATCCCCGTTTCCGTATCCCTTCGGCAACAATTCTAAAAGTTCCACTTCTTGTTTGTATATTTCCCAACTTTCATTCTAGGTTTTGCGTGTCTCTAATTGTTCCGGCTATGGCCGGCATTTCCACAACAGTAATACCGTTATTTACAAAGCAAATATGAATATAATATTATTAACATATCATAAAATAAACATCAACATCAACAATGTGGCAACTGTTATGTCACATTCAAAACGTCACAAGAGCCGGTGAGTGGTGGACGTTCACAAAAAAAAAAAAAAAAAAAACAGCAACAACAAACAATTAAGTAAAAGAAAAACAGAAATAGAAACAGAAAAGAGAGTGTAGAACAGACGAAAGAAAACACAAATCTACAGAACTTTGACATGCAATCGAAGTATTCCGCCGACTACACAATGTCTGAAACGGAAGTGTGAATGAACGCTCAAGACATGCACAAACAAAAAAGAATAGAAAATCGTTAAGAATAGAAATGCGAAACTCATTTGCATATTTATTGGACATAAGTGAGTAGAAGTTGGGTGGTGGGTGGTGTCTGGACATGTGTCCTTTGCTGGTTGTGTAGTTAGTGAAAATTTATTCATTTCGTGGACTTACTGTTTTTTCAGACACATCATCGGACAAATATTATTGGCCTTAACATTGTGGGTTATTTTGCGTAAACCTTGTAACCAGATCTAAGAGAAATCGAAAAAAAAACAACAACATGAAAGTAAAAAAAAACAATGTCCTTGGATTGGGGAAGCTTAAAAAAAAACTAATAATAAAACCATAAATTGCTTAGGAATTCTATGAACTTTATTGCGGTTAAGTTCCCTCAACTTTGAACTTTTCTTTGGCCCAGCCTTTTTGACTGATAACAATCTCATAAATCTGATTCTTTGTATTAAAAACTTTCCTATTTCGAAATGTATCAATTAAATAAATTTAAAACCACATTCCTCATAACTTTGCCTTCCTTAATGTCTGCAGCTGAAAAACTCCCCCTCCCATATTCTGGGCACGAAAATAAGAGACTCCATTGTTTGAAAAATTATGAGTGATGTGAGTTCTTCTTTTTGCCAACAACTACTTCATCACATCTTTGTTTGAATTCAGTTGTTCATTTTTTTTTTTGTTTTTGCCCTGCCGGTGTTGGCTTTGTGGGTTCTCTTTTTTTCAGTTTCCTTGGTGATATGTAAGGAAATTTGTTGTTGTGTAAAACTGCTGTCAAAAAATTGTTAGTTTTCAAAAGTAAATTATGGCAGGTCTTTATTTCAGCTGTTGAGTGTAGGTGTGTGTGTGTGCAGGTTTGGTTTGTGTGAAAAACTATAACTTTGACGAACAACTTTTTCCTTGGATTTCATTTTTTTTCTCTCAACATTCTAGATATTTTGTGTGTGCACTTGAATTAAAAAAAAAATGGTTGTTATTAATTTTTTAAGTGCCGAAATTGCTTTCAATTCCAGTCACTTTGTGGCCATAAGTGTGTCTTTTCATCTTTTTGTTGTACAATTGGCAATTGAGATATTGAATTTCAATTTGAAAGGTTATGAAAGTCTTTTTCTTCTTCTTCAATTTACCTTTGCCGTATCCGCATCCGGACACACTACATGATGATATGTTATATTTATATAGTCGGTATTGGAACATATTGTTAATGATTTCTTATCCAGGGCCGTTAAATCCGCACCGCATTTCTTCGTGACTTTATCGAGAATTTTCGGATCCTGTAAAAGAGAAGAGAGAAGTGAAAAATTTCAATGAAAACCAATAAAAAGAAAGAAACGGTTTTTAATGTCAGTAATTTACAAGGCGAGTTGGGCAGAGAGAGAGAGAGAAAGAGAGAGAGAGAGAGAGTTTACATTAGTGTCTACATTTCAATTTTTTAGACTCTAAAATATGAAGTGTATTTTTAAGCCCTCCACCATAGTATGGAGGGTATATTAGATTTATCATGCCGTTTGTAATACCTCGAAATATACATTTTAGACCCCACAAAGTGTATATATTCTTGATCAGCAAAAGATTCTATGTCGATTTAACGATGAACCTCCGTCTATCTGTCTGTCTGTGGAAATCACTCTAGCTTCCGAACGAATTGAAGTACGTTGGTAAAAATTTATTTAAAGGTGTGTTTCGTCTGCAGGACTTTTGGTATTGAAAATGGGCTATGTAGGTCCACGTTTTGGTATAATCCCCATATAACGATACCTCCCCATATTCGGTATTTTGCTGATTTCAGCGACATTATTTAACGGAATTGTTTCAAATTTCGTATTTGAAGTTCGTAATGAATGCTACAGCCCCCATATAACGATACCTCCCGATATTCGGTATTTTGATTTTTTTTCAAGTTTCGCATTTGAATATTGTAATGGCTTATGACAAAAGCTGCCTATGCGTATACCTCGTATAGACCCTAATATAACAGCTACATTTTTTTTGAAAATTGCCAAATCCGTTCAAAATGGCGGAGGGCATTCAAAATTCGGCTCGCCCGAAATTACAGTTCTTTTTAATAATTTCATGTTTTTGAGAAGTTATTCAACGAAATTGTTTCAAGTTTCGTATTTGAACATTGTAATGGCCTATGACCAAAAAATGCTTAGACAGGTCTACGTTTTTGAATAGATACCAATAAAACCCCAGTAAATCCCTATATTTGGTATTTTTAAGAATTTAACGGATTTTACTTTTTCCTTTTTTTTTTTTGAAAATTTCCAAATGGTAGAAATTTCAAAGCTCGACCCACTTGAACTTACTGCTTTTTACTTGTTTTTCATAATCATTTATTTTGGGGACTATTTAAGATGGTTTTAAGTAGAAAAATTCATAAGGATTTATTTTAAATTCTCATTTTTATAATTTCTTTTACATTTTTCCTTCATATTTATCGAAAGAGGGAGAGCTACTCTCGCAATTGGTTCGTGCATGGTAGAAATACACAATGTTTTTGAAATGGTTGGAGAGAGACATAAACAAACACTCTTCACCTCTCATACCATATAATATGAAGAAATATTTCTATAAAATTAAATCGGAAATAATTTTAAACTCTAATAATTTATTTAAAGGACTTCATAATAATTCGCAGTTTTTTCTTTCAATTTTCCCCTCCAAACACAAATTAAACACATATTAATAAAATGTCTTAGCGCTCTCTACCCATCTCTCAGAGATACAAACTGCAACGGAAATGCGCCATAGATGCAATGAAACTTGGTTTAATAAAAGCCAGGATATTTTATTAGGAAAAAAAAGAAACAGGAAATAGAATAAAAAATTGCAATCATATCACAAGTATTGAATGTCGAGGCAAAACTGACTTTGGAGTGGTTGAGAGAGACAGAGAGAGTGAAGGCAGCAATGGAAAATTGCTATGGAGTGTCATCATGCCAGTGATGAGATTAACTGTAACATATTGACAGAAGAAGAAGACGATGACGACTACGCCGCCATGTGGAGAGTGAGAGAGGAAAGTAAATAATTCTAGCATTTCCTTTTTCGTACGACATCAAGGTTGATATTAGTAAGGATTAAAGCAAGGAGGAAATATTGATAATGATGCGAGTGCACAGCACTTGTTGTTGTAACACTGCACTGCAAATGATGCAGAGGGTTGTTGCCTCCACCATTGGAAATGTCATGACGATGGTGATGATGAGGATTTCGAAAGAAAGAAGATTGAATGCTGACGCTATTTGTTGCCAGTTAAGTGAAAGTGTGTTTGCACACAAACACATCCTTGTGTCGATTAGAGATTTTTGATTGCTTCTTAATAACATGGCAAAGGAATTAAGGACATGTGTAAGGAATTATTCAATTTTGTTGACATTTGATAAAATGCTAAGGACAAATGAAAAATATATAAGAGAGGTAAAGTATGAAATCCAGAAGTGTTGATCACACACATTTGTCAATATCACACCTTCACTGAGCTTAATTCTCTCCACACTCACAATCTGACCCATTGAAAACAATGTAATCAAAGGGCAATGGAATTGAGAGAACATAAAAGTGTGACTCTCCTCCCGGGCCTGCTTTAGTAGTTCATCCAAATTTAGGTAACATTCTCGTTTGAGATCATGTGTTTCTATTCATGCGTGCCTGTTTTTTTCTTTTCTCTCTCACTTGTTTTTAACAAGCGGAAAGTACTCTTCTATAAACTCTCTTTCAATTTTTCGACATCTATACTTAGGATAGATCGTAGGAAACTATTGGCTCGAACAGCTTAGACATTCATAAGCTTTTCTCTCGCTTTTTCTCTCTTTCATCCTATGAAAACTATGTTCTCTCAGGTCGTTCTTCAACAAGCCAAGAACACTTACCTTCGGTACACCACCAGCTCTTATATCACTGACTTGACACAATTCTATGACATCGCCTTCCTACAAATAAAGAGATAAAAAAAAAAATAATAAGACACATTTTTTTCTAATTTTCTTTTACAATTCTCTTCTTTGCCGTCACTTACTCTGCCATCACTTTTCCAATATAAAAAGAAGCCGTATTCGTCGACCTTAAACATGGCATCCTTTTCGAAGTCATTATCTTTGGTATCCTTTTCGTTTTCGAACCAGCGATCGAAGACACAGCCAGTTGTTAGTTCCGGTGGTACCGGAATTATCCAATCGAACTCGTACTTTTTAGTCATGTTTTACACCACACCCGGTAAAGCCTTAAACGGCTCTAATGCTACGGATGATGGCAACAATGACTGGAAATTAAATCAGCAACAACAACGGACGAGAAGGTATCTGTCCGTCCAGCAAGTATTTGAAGGCGATTATCTTGACTTCACTTTAGACACTCTTCGGCAATTTAAACATTTGGCTTTCACTTTTGTTTATATTTTTATTTCTTTTACTGTTTTTTGTTACTATTTCACCACTCTCTTTCACTGCTCTCAAAGGAGTTTATCGTTACATCTCTGTTATTTTTTAAATTATTGCAATTTCAATTAAATTTTTTACACAATTTGTATTGTTTTTTAATTGTTTTTTCTAGCTCTGCTGTTTTTCATTTGAAAGAGAATGTTATTGAACCTAGGCTTGAGTTTTACATTGTCTCTCTTTAATCTCTCTTCGATTTTGTTTATATTGGAATGCTGCCGTTACTGTTGCTCTCGATCATATGTTTATTTGCTGCAAAGAGAACATGAAAAGAGAAGTAAAATTAAATATGAAATTTAAAGAGAATGTGATAAAATATAAAGAAACAAATATGAGTTATGTTATTAATAGAAGCAGAAATAAGAAAAATACCAGAAATGCAGTGAAAGAGAATGTGACTGTCACTCTTAAACATAGATGAGCAAAATAATGAAAGAGATATTCTTCAGAGAACTTTAAAATACATTTTCTGTGTCGATTTTCTAAGATTTTAAAAATGTTTAATGAAAAATATAATCAAAATTATTTCAAAAAGTATTTTGAAGAAAAAATTGTTGAAAATCATTCGTATATGCTTGTTTATTGATAGTTTACTCATGGCAGAGAATAAGAGACGCAACCACTAGCTAGCAATCTTGCCCTTCTATGCTCTTAAATTAAATTAATCCAAATTGTAACATTTTCCATTTTTTTTTTCAATGTTTATAGTAATTGAATCAACAAGATGCCAAATATAAATCCAATTTTAGAAAATAAGAATAGCCTCCCCCTTGTCCCTGCCGCAAACAAAGCTGAGAATAAAAATAACTTTGGAGAAAGAGACTGATTTTGAAAAAATTAAGATTACTCCTATATTCTGTAAACATATGCTCTGTCTCAGAACCTGCAAAAATCGAATACTTTTGAATTTTATTTCGATATCATGAAGGGAAAATCGGTAATTGTAGTAAATAGTTTTACATTCTTGAAGTTCTGGAACCAATTTTAGACATTTATTTTCAAACTGCCAACAAATTTAAAGAGAGAGAAAATACTATTTTTAGAGTATAATTTTTTCTTTTAAATACTTAGTTAAAAAAGGTTGCAACAAAATTGAATCTATTTCTCCTTTGAAACAACTTCCAAATTGAGTTGGCTATTTGAAGATAGCTTACTGCCCTTTGTAATAAAAACTTCCCCGGGACATTTGCAACTTTGCAAAAAATATTGCCACATTAAATAGAAATAAAACATTGCATACTTTTAGATGTCTTCTTTTGTCTGTTATTTTTTTTTTCTTTATAAAATCAAATAGATTGCAGAACTCTTATTGGCAGACATCATTAATTTTAAGTGACTTTATTTTATATCACCAAATGGTGTTTATATTTTCCGTTACGTGAGGACAAGTCGGTGTTCGAAAGAAGTGGTACGTGCGTGCAATTTATGGATGTTTGTTTGGTCTTTAAACTTTTTTTTGTTCATACCTTGGAGCTCTCTAAATTTATGTGTGTGTGTGTGTATGTGTGAGGTGGGACAATAGATTCAGCAGGCAAATAAACAAGATACCTTGTTTTTTCTTCTTTTGGTGGGGAATAATTTATGAACCTTAACATGTTTTCCACATAAAACAAGAGGAAGTAGAGGGGAAAGGGGCCGGTGGACCTTTGTCTGTTGTTTTTTAATGGCCAGAAAATTGCTTTTTAAAAGCTAAATTTGGTGGTGTTGCTAAATTAAGTTATAAGAATAGATCACATTTTTAGCGTAGGTGTAGATAATACACACCTGACATTTGAATTAAGAACAAATATGGAGGGCAAAACAATGAGCAAATGGCTTTTAAGTTTAAATGTCTGCTAGGCAAAGAATAGTCTCATAGAAAAATATGTGAAAATGAGCAAAGAACCGTACATAATTTCGGAAACGCTATGGGCTTTTATTATTTTCTGATTCCTCAGTGTATGTCCTATAAAAGTAGGCTTTTAAATATTTGAAAACAAAATTTGAATGGGAAAATTTCTGGCTACAATATTTTGTTTAACTCCTAAAATTATTCATAGATTTCCTCTTCTCCCTTAAATTATTTAGTTTATCGTTAAAATTTGTTTCATTTATCGTTGCTTCTAAAGCATGTTCTTCGAATGTACATAATCATATGTCAATCATATGTAAAGTGAGTTTTTTACATTTTTATAGCATACTTTTAAGCGCTCCCAAAATTTTTTAAGCTATACTTAAGCTAAACTACACATTATTAATATTTAAATATAATTAAGCAATGCGTACATTAAAAATATATTAATTTATGTCATAGAGTGTTTTATTTTGACTCAAAATTGTGTGTAGAGCCTAAAAGTATACCATAACGTTACTAAAGTTAAATATGGAAAGTTACTTTGCATATCGCTCTTATATTTTGGTGTAAACTAGCCTTATGTAAATTGAGCTTCGTTTGATATCAAATTTCCTTTTGGGTTCCTAAAAGTATACCCCAGAAATTCAGCATTAAAATACACCAAAGAACAGATAATCGAACTAAATTTTTTTCCACCTGTTGTGTTTAGCTCCCAAAATTAAACATTCTAGTTTCTTAAATTTACTTAAATAAACTTTAAACAATCTTTACAACATGGCGTACACGAATACGATCCAGGTTTATTAAAATCTCATATAAAATTCTATTAACTTTCATTTCCCCAAATAGTTTGGTTTTCGTAACGTATCTATCATGGGACAAAAATCTCAAGTTTTTTGTTTTCACATTGACTTTCTGGGTTAGCAGCTTGCCACCGGAGTTAAGCAGGCAAATGTTTGCTGTTTTTTTTTTGGCAATACTACTGATGCCATATAAAAACAACAGATGAAGCTATGAAATGGGAATTGAACAGACATAGAAAGAAGAGGCAAAACACAAAATTGGAAGAAATAGATTGGAATTTGTTAAACAATACACAAGCAAATATAAATATCCGTAATGCAGATGATGTTTGGGGAATACAGTAGATGTTGGATTTCGGCAACGCGATGGAAAGTGAATTTTTCCCCCTACTGCCTGCGCAAATGTTCTCTAAATCACTTTATTTTATTAAGTTCCAAATAAAATTACTCATATGTACTTTTAGAGCTTGTCGTGGCATTTATTGAATTTTCCTGTAATTTGGTTTTCTTCAAAATCAAGGCTGTGATGTCTACCACAAAAAAAAAACAAAAAAAAAACATTTTGCAATCATTCCACCATTAAATTTAAACTTGGAATGCCATGTAGGGAGGATTACATGGAACAGCAACAACAACAACAATGAAATAAAATTAAAGCAACATCAAATATAACGCCCTCCAATGAATTTTATTGCGTTGCTTTAAATTAAAATTAAAAATAACAAACGCCTGAAAATATGCTTTCAGGCGGCAAACGTTAGCATTTCCTTTACTCTCAACGAAAAACAGAAAAAATCAGAGTATACATTTAGGTGTATTGCTATATTCGGTAAGGTGGTTAAACAAATGTATAGATGCCGGCGCTAACGGTAATGTTAACAGCATCGATAACAAGGTGTTTTTTCTCTCTCCCTCTCTCTCTCTCTCTCTTTGCATATTTATAAAGCTTCTATATAAATTTCATAGAGTAAGACCTTTCAACCCTGCCCCTCACCCCATGCACAGCTCCTCAATAAATTAATGTAAACCCTCCATCAGAGGGGAAGACCAACATTTAGCATCAAAAGCTACAAGTCATAAAATATTGCATACTTTATGGCATAACATAATTTTTGTGCAGGCATTGTTGGTGGTTTGTCAAAATGCCTGGCTGGCTGGTTGGCGTTTATTGCCAACGCAGTGTAAGTGGCTGCTATTAAAGTCAAAGCCAAAAGATGTCTGTCTCCCAATACACACACACACATACACAGACGGGTATATCTATCTTTAGTCGAAGGCATCGTTTGTTTGGGCTTGATACACAAAAGGATTAACTATATAGCCATACTTAAACACATTACTTTATATCCTTGTATATGCCAAGAGACACACATATTCTCCCCAGACTCAGGGACCTGCAAAGTGTGCAGGTGCAGGTGCGGGTGTCAGTGTATCTGTGTGCCACTAAGTGTGCGTGTCAGTGTCAGGTGTATACATTTCATAGTCTGTTTATGTAATGAAAGTAACACTTAAGCCGTAATCTGATTTAATGCAATTATGATAAAGTTAACAATAAAATAATGCATACTTTCAGGCGCAACGTTTGGCATGAAACTTTGCCGGGGACCGTTTTAACAGATGCAAGCGACGAACTGAAGAATGTGGGCGCTCAATTGCAAAAGAAAAATTAATAAAATAAAATCCTTTATTTTCTCGACAAAATTTCCAAGTGGATGTCGGCATACAAAGATTAAATAATTGAATTAGTTAAACTCACATTTTGGGAAAAATTAATGAAAAATGAATTTTAAAATCTTAAGAATGATTGCAAAAATTGTAGTTCACTGCTGATCCTTGTAAGTCTTTAAACCCACAATGGCTGCCCATTTTAATCCATTTGTATTTTTGCAAAAAAACAAAAAAGAAAATCCACATAAAACAAGTCATTATTGTATTACGCGCCCACCCAACAGACGACAGCCAATAAGGCAGTCAGTCAAACAAGCGATAAATCCTTCCATGGCAACTTTTCTCCAGGGTTTATTTTAATTTTTTCTTCTTAATTGTTGTTGTTCACATTCTCTCTTCGTCTTATTACCCTCGCCCACATTAACCAGAATTACGAACAGAGACATAAACAGATGCTGGCATTGATGAATGTGGAAATGAAAAGGATGCTGGTAGTGGTGCATAGAAAGGCAGCAGTAGCTGCAATTGATTGCTGGCAGGATAATGCGGTCTAAAGTTGTTGTTATTGTTGTGTTTGTGGTTTTATCGGTTCTTTTGTAATTTAATACAAATACATTCAAAGATTATTAGAAGAAAAAAACGTATGGAATGGTCGGGTTTTCTTCACGATGGGAAATGGGGATTAAATTTTTAAGGAATCTTATCAGCGATGGAAGAAAATTAAGGCGGGTTCGAAACTAGAAAACCCTTAAAAGCTAGTTTATACGCCACGTTAGAGTCATGTGTAAATTGAGTTCTTATTATGTATATTTAGGCATTTAATAGCATACTTTAAGGCGATCCCAACAATTTCTAAATATTTTTTGAAGAACGCCCAAAAGTATGCTGTGGAATAAATGTAAAAAAGTTACTCTAAACTTGACTCTAATAAGATGTGTAAACCTGTC